CGAGGGCCTTGAAGCCGAAGAAGTCATCGCCGAGTTCCTCCGCGAAGTCGCCTCCTACGAACTGCTCGCTGCCGTCTTCGAACGATCCTGACCCGTCACCATTATTGTCAGTAAGTGCCGGCCGCAGTAGGTCAGCAAGATGCGCCTTCATCCGATCGTGGATCTGGGTGAGCTTGTTGCCCAGGCGGTCGATATCGTCCTTGGCGTAGGCCTGTAGCGCGTCCAGTTCGATGCCACTTTCGCTCAAAGTGTGCAAGAGGACCTCTTCATTCGTGAATCTGGGCACGTAGTTTACCCCCCTTTCCTTCCATGCAGGCGGCGCCTCCTTCCACTCAGCTTCACGGTATACGTTGTATGACCGGACGATCTTCTGAAAGTAGTCGCCGGCAATGTCGGTTATCGTATCCAGGGCAGAGGGCTGCAGTTCCTCAAAGCCCGCATGGTAGAAAATCTTGGCAACGGATCGTTGTAATGCCGCCCTGCACACCTCGGGGGCCATGACGGGACCTTCGCCGGCGAGAAAGGTGGGCTCGATATCGGCTTCCACCATCGGCTCCGGGTTATATTTAGGGAACTGATTCGTATACACCTATTCCAATGTCAGCGTCTAAGCCACGAAGATAATCATCACGCTTGATTGTCCCCGCAAAACTTACCTGAGTCTGGATCTGCATCTGCTTGATGACGCTGATCTTGGAGCACAGTTTGCGGGTCTCTTGCATTTGTCGAATGTTGGCATCGAACTTCTTGGTCAGCCGACTTTCAGGGGCGGTGAATTGACCAGGAGGAACGAGCCGGAGGAACTCTTCATGCTGGTTGATGACTTGTCCCTCGCCATCCTCGACCCATTGTAGCTTTGGTGGAATATCGGGTATGATGGTTTGGGGTTCGTAATAGGCGGGGAGATTCCGAATAGTCTCAGCCTCCATTCCCTGGGCTAATGTCTCGGCCACCTTGTTTCCATCTCCACTACCAGGAGCATCACCTTGTGAGGTGATCACGCCCATGGCCTCTGCCTCTTTGCGAGACTTCAGAAATCGGCGCATCCCGGCTTTGGTTCGCAATAGTGCAGGCTCATCCGGATTTAGCTTGTTGTCTTTGAACAACTGGAAACGCTCCTTCGCCACAAGAGCACGATCCTTTTTTGTGACTTGTTTCCAGATCTTGTACTCTTCGTCCTCGTACGCCTGTTCCTCTGCTTCCCTGAATGCATGATTCAAGGCCATTCCGTTGAGTGATGGCCCATCAAGCTCCATGGCATCCGCATTGCTGATCCCCGAGTGTCCACCATTCATGTTGCTGGGTGTAAGGGAACTGCCGATAGGCGTCCCAAAGCCATTGCTGCCGTCGACCTCGGAGCCCTCTCTGTGAGATTTGGCTAGGATACCGTTGAGTTGCAATATCGGTTTTTGGTCGACGCTTGGTGTCCCTTCTTTTTGGTCTGTTGGTGCTTTTCGTGACTTGTTGGTCCCTTTGGTACCAGCCTTCCGTCCACGGGATGACATTATTGGCTCGTCGTCACTATCATCGCCAGCTTCGTCCTCGCCACCGTTTTGTTTTCGGCGTTCCTCAGCTTCGACCTCTGCCCTGGGCCTGATCACGATGTCCGGTATTAGGGGGATTAGTTTCTCGGCCTCTTTGCGCATGCCATTGGCCATCCGGCGGAGGGGATTGGCCAAGTCTTGATTGTACCGAAGACAGTTATCCCAGATCAAGTTAAGGTCTGTGACGAACTCGGCCTTGGACTTGTAATGGAGAGTCTTGAGTCTTTTGGCCATTGTACCCAGGTCCATTGGTTGTTTGATGACTGACCACGGTGTTAGCCTAAACTGGGCGAACGAGTCTTCCATACGGTATCCCCAAAAACTCACTGTTATAATAGTCGTGCGCATCACGTTTGTTCACTTTGGTCAAAAAGGGAGTTGAGTACTCGGTGTGCGCCTTAAGCTCGGTCAAGACCTTGTCCAGTGCCTCGTACAACTCTTCCTGGCCGACATTTTCCTCGCTAGCCCATTTACTCCTGTTCTTGCGAACCTCGTTCATAAGCGACCGTAGTTCAGCGTCCGATGCCTGCACGCGGTCGCGCTTCATGTCTATTCGGGCAATCAAGTGTTTTAGGGTAAGACTTGAAGCGCCGAGGTTGGCACTGCTAAGGGAGCCGTGGTTGTTCTGGCTGGGAGCTCCTTGGCTGTGGTTGGTTTGTCCCGACTTGTCCATCTCTGCTTGTAGTTGCTTCTCGGATTCCTCCAGTTGTTGTTGTTCGAGCATTGCTGTCCTGTCGTTCTCGAGCGTGTAAAAGAGGGTGTGAAATCCGCGCTTGGCCGCCTCCTCGGTCGCATTGCGCGCCGCCTCCAATTCCCTGAGCGCATCCTCGGAGGACTTTGCCTGGGGTTGCGGTCCATCTTCTTTGGCTGTGTGACGATCTGCCTGGCGCCCTGGCGAGGGTATGGAGTGTACGGGGGAGCTGCCGGACTTGGACGGGGAGAGGAGTGCCCGAGCCGCGGCATCGTTGGCGGAATGCTTGGATGTTAGTTGTGTGTCTAGTTTGCCATCAGTCGTGACGGGGTGGTCGCTTTCTTGGTCCTCGTCTTCGTCGTCGTCGTCGCCGTAGTCGTCCTCGTCGATGACGCGCTTCGCTTTTTTGCGGGGGGGCTCCTGGATCGGCGCGTGATCGGTCGTGGGAGGGAGCAGGGGTATGGGGGGAGTCGGGGCGCGCTTCAAGGCGGCTATCACGGGAATGTTGTAGGAGCCGTCATCGGCGAACAGCAGCGCGATCCGCTCGTCGGCCTTGTGGTACTTGTCGACGAAGTGGGAGCGGCGATGGTCGTCGTCGGGGTCGGATGAGGGTGCCTCAGGCATCAAGGCGGTGGAATTATCAAAGGGAGTCTGGGTTCGCGGGGGCCCATCGTCCTGGCTGAGGTGGTGCATGGCCCTGATGCCGTTCATGTGGGCGGCGGTCGAGGGCGGAGGCCAGGCATGCTGACCGTTGGTGATGGACATTTTCGGACCGGACCCGGGGCTGGGACTTTATGTTATATTAAACGGGGCCGTCGGCCGGTCGCCATGCGCCAGAAAGTGCGCTCGTGTAAATCCGACACCAAGGCACTTTTGGGCGACTTGGTCACATGGGGAGAAAGAGCGGCATCGGTCGAGATGGAACTGCAATTGAGAGCGGAATAGGGGTTGGTATGGTGATGCGGCGATGGATGTCGTTGCGGCTGTTCTGCTGGGAAGTCGGACGTGAGGTTAAGTTTAGAGTGGGCTCGTGCCGTTTCTGGACAAGGGGTGGTTTTGGTCGCGGTGACAGGTGCAGCGATGCTGTTAGGGAGAGCCCCTAGACACGCCCCTAGCACTAACACCTAGTCCTAGAGTGTAGGTAGGTAGGTACCGGTTATATGCCTGTGAGTGTTTGCGACGCCCCTTTTCGACTTGCGCCCCAATAAAGATAGGTGATGAGAAAGTCTGCGCAGGTGGTCGCCGAGCACCAGGAAGTTTAACAAGGCTGGAGCTGTTGATGCGCACGGCAATCCCAAGGTGTAATGGCTGTTCTTGTCTCTTGAAGGTATGTCGCTGTTCCAAGTACGGTACCCGCCCTGGCGGAGTGAGAAGTAGCGCTCTGGGGAAATAGCCAAGTCACGTGAGTCCCGTCCTTACCCGTGCCTGGATGTCTTTGTGAACTTGTCCCGGGCTTTGGCGTGTTTGGACCAAAGGGAAGAACGGAACCGCGGCTAATTGGCCTCCGGATGCGCAAGAGTCAAGCCGTCACGGTATAAACTACACTACCTGTCTATCTGAAGAGTCTCACTAGCTATTCATCACATTGGCTTCTCACTCCAAGGAATAGAGGGTACATGGTCCAGAGAGCAGCAAGCATTGAGACCATGGGTAGAACAGGACAAGCAACGGCAGGGATCGTCGTTCTTCTCCCCGGGTCCATGGGATGTCCAGGGGCATGCCTTTCCCACCGCCCTAAGAGGGAGACGATGGAAAGTCCCGTCACTCCTTTTCCCTCGTGGAGTCGTGCCCGTTTCGCGGAGAAGCCCCGCCCACCCTGATCAGGTCCCGTCTGCCCATTCCCCAATGCCATGCCCTGCCAATGCCCACCGTTGCCCCGTTCTTACGTAGTCACTGGCAGTGTAGAGCACGTGTAGAGGTTCAGCTGTGACTGTGTGTCGATAGCGACTGAACGACTCCTCAACGGTGGATTGGCTTCCTCTCGAGCTGATTTGCTTCCTTTGTCATCTCTTCTCTCCAGTCAGCTCCCTGTCGTTCAGCTCATCCGTCTGCATCCCGCCGTTTTCCGTACCTTAGTTTGATCCAGCTTATCTCTTATCGGGTTCGATTTGGACGGGCGCTTGGACTCCTCCTGCGCCACAGCTGCTAATCCTACAGCTTATCAGCCCTGCCGCCCCGACGGCCCCTGCACACCCCCCCAAAGCAACGGTCACGGTTTCAGCCCTGAATGCTTGGCTTGCGTCGCCAGCTCCCCGAACCCCCCCCTGCCCCGCTTCCCGAAAGCTCCGACACCCTGCCTGCCTCTGCGTGCCCTTGTCGTGACCGCTGAGCTGTGACACTGAGAATCGTTTCGAGACTTTCTGCTTCCGTCAACGTTTCTTAGCTCAACGGATTGTACCGACTCGAGCCTCTTTTTTTTTGAAACCTTTTGTGTGACACTTTTGCTAAAGGTCGTCAATTGCTTCAGCCTACCTGCCTTACCTTTGCATTGTGCACCTTTCGCGACTCCCACAACTACCTTTACTCAATCCATGCGAAAACATTAAACATCAAAACGACAGACCTTCCGCGCAATCCCCAGGACAACAACGATGACGGCATCCGAAAGTGTGTTGTGATAGGCGTACTATATACCATCTTCCACCGACCGAGTATCAAACAACAGCCGACCGAGACGAGCGCCCTTTTGCGCAAATAGAACACCACACCCGACATACACACACACACAACACATTTTCTAGTATACAACAGCAAAACTACCCAGCATGAGGATACGCATGCCCTTCGCCGGTTCGTCATCCTCCCTCTCCCCTCCTTTTACTTTCTCAGCTACCTAGCCCATTCCCCGTCCCGGTCACATCCTCTCCCCCTCCATTCGAACCATACAACTAACCAACCACCCCCCAAACAGGCATCTTCGCCGCCCTCCTCCTCCTCTCCGCCTACGCCGGCTTGTCCTCCCTACACATGCCCCAAGGCGCCCTCCTCAACGACAAAACGCTGCACTTTTTCGTCTTCTTCCTTTTGACTACAACCTTCTACTGGATCCTCGACACCACGCGCCGACGCATCCTCCACCTTACCTTATCCGTCTGCACCCTGGGCATGGGAGTGGGCTCCGAGTTCGTTCAGGCCGCGATCCCTGACAACGGAAGGGAATTCGATCCCTATGATATTTTGGCGAACCTTGTGGGGAGTTTGATGGGACTGGGATTGTGTGGGTGGTATCATAAGCGGATGTTGGAGAGGAGGAGGGTGAGGAAATATACTGCTCTGCCGACTGGGGAGGAACTTGTTGATGGTGAAGGGGATCTTGATCTAGAGTTGGGAGAAGGTGTGGGTGTGGTGAGGAGGAGTGGGGAGCATGAGGAGGGCGTTGTTGTTGCTGCTTCTGCTGCTTCTGGCCCTACTGCTGCTTCTCCGGCTGCGGCTGCGGCACCAGCTACGACGGCGAAGAATATGTCGCTTGAGGAGGAGTTGGATAATTGGGATGAGAACGCGGTGGATGCGTGGGATGAGGATGATGAGGCGGGTGATGTGGGCGGTAGTGGTGCTGGTGGAAAGAGCGGGGATGCTACTAAGGATGTTGGGGCTGCTAAGAAGCGGGTTGATTGAGGTGAATAAGTGAACAAGGAGGGAGATGGGCAAAAACATATCTACATGGATGGTTGGATGAGATCATGTTGTGTCTTCACGGATCATTGCTTACTAGGCGTTTTTTTTCACGGTTACGGTACCTTTGGGTCAGTCATCCTTACGGGAGGAAAAGACTGGAAGCGGACCTTGGCGAAAGGAGGAACGGCGGAATATTGATTACTCTTGACTTTATACCAGTCAGTCTACAAAGCCTCCTTAGTACCATACGGACACACAGCCAAAATCCCGAATCAAGCATTTTATAGTATGTCATGCTTTGTCCAAGTAACAGGCTTATCGACTGTTAAACATTATCAAAAAGATATCTACATCTCTACACTCTCTAAAACCCAAAACCCTCATTATGGAACCACACCTCCCTCCCCTGCCTCACATACCTCCCAACCTGCTTCCTCACCTGCTTCCCCATCTTAGCCGGTCCACAAACCAGAATCGCCACGCGCTCCTCCGGTTCATGCCCAAAGACCTCATCAACCACCTTTTTCAAATCCGGTCTCCTCCGATGGTGCTCCTTTCCAGCAACCACCCTTCCATCCGCCGTCCTCCTCAGCGTATTCATCTCAACAGCAACAGCACCATCTCCCCCGAGATTAATCAACGGCGAGTTCTCACCCGAACCAACCCCACTACTAACTCCACCAGCAGCAGATTCCTGTGCAGACCCGTTGTTCCCAGTCAAGTAAATATGCACATTCGGATCATTCAAAATGTCCCTAGCATCATTTTCGGTAACCGCCCACGTGGCTTCCCCCGCCGTGCGCACCGCCCAGACCATTTCCACCTTGGTCTCCGGGTTCTCGGCCACAATGGCGCGGTAAAGAGGAATGGTAAAAGTGGCGCCGACGCCGCCGGCGATGAGCAAAATGCGATCAAACTCCGAACCGAGGGATAGAGAGGGGAAGTGTTTGGCGGCGCCGTAGGGACCTTCGATGTTGAGGAGGGCTTGCTTTTCCTGTGCGGAAGGAGATGAGGAAGAGGAAGAGGCGAAGCGAGCAAGAGCGGTAGTCATCGGCCCCGCACGCTGTCTCGCCACAAGCGTGAGCGCTCCAGAGTCTTGATCCACATGCGCAATGGTGAACGGGTTGAACATGAACTCAAACAGGACCTCAGCAGCATCATTAGCCGCCTTGACGTCCTTCCTGCGGAAGGCACTGCGAGTGGCAGGCGGCACGTTAACGTAGACATGGGCGCCCGGTGCCACACGAAGGAAGTGGTTCTGACGCTGGCGGGGGACGGGCACCTGGATTTTTATCAAAGAGGTGCCAGGGATGGCCGAGATGGTGGTTTCCACAGTGATGGTGTCGCGCTTGCGGAAGCCGATGTCCACCAAAAAGACTCCCAACGCCTCGAGCATGTATTTGCGAGAGGAAGCGGCGTGGAACCAGAGGACGACCGGCAAACCCAAGGCGATGAGCACGTGGGTGACGAAGAAGACGCGGTACGAGAGCTTGCGGAGCGGACGCAGGGCCGTGGTGATCATCAGGTTCAGGCCGAAGAAGGAGAGCATGCCGTAGATGACCACGGGCGACTGTATTTTGGCCAGGAGGATGTGGTTCTGGATGAAGTAGTTGTAGTAGAAGAGGGTGTGCAGGCTGAGCAGGAAGGTGGTGACGCGGGCGAGCACGCGGTGCCACCGGTTGGTTTCCTCGTGCGAGAGCTTGAGCGTCCAGGAGACGGGGTTGAAGGACTTGAGGGTTAACATGTACTGCAGAGGGTATTGGGAGACGGCGATGATGCCGAAGCGCTTGGTCAAGTGCATGTAATCACGGCTGGTGCCGGCTACGCAGAGGATCAACAGCCAGGCTGCCCAGGTGATGCCGCCTACCCATTGGTCTCGTTGACCTAGGACTTCCTCGAAGGCGACGACATCCTCGCCGAGCCACCAGCGCAGCTTGGACCACCAATTGCTTTGCTTCCGGGTGTTGAAGGAGTCGGAGCTGGGGACCGCGGTGTAGTCCCTCTTTCGAGACGAGGAGGATTTGTTGAGGGTCTGGTAAAGCCACACTAGGCCGATGGGGATCAAGGCCGAAAGCTGAGCGTAGAGAGCATATCTGTCGAGAGACTGGCGGCGGGCATGCTTCTCGGCTTGGGAGAGGTCGAGGAACTGGTATGGCCAGTCCATTTTGGGGGATGTTCTCCTCAGTTGAGGATGTTGATGTGGAAGATGTATCAACTGGTAAAGTTGAAACGGGGGGACTTCAGCTTTTTGAGGAGAGACTTGGACTGAAGAGATCGCATACTTGCATCTGTGGGGGTGGGGGGGAGGAATAGACCCCTGCCAAGATGGAATTCTCTAAGCTCTGATTGGACAATAGAAGAAGCAGATCGCGCTAGCGCGGGTTGGGTCACAATAATCCCTGCTCAGAGACGGAACCTAACCGAGACTTCAACTTTCATCTCACCTTCCGCTTCTGCTTCCTTAACGTTGGCATCAAGTGTCGTATAAGTGACCGGTAAACCTTGACCTAGAGAGAAATCAAACCAAATTCTAAGTTTTACGAACTTACTTGTTTTTGGTGTTTGTCTTAAAGAAGATCAATTGAATACCCACTCATCCCTCCCCCCCTCAAAGCCCAGGGTGGTGCATCTGGTTGACTGTACCTGCATTAACCGCACGTGGATGACCTTGAATAGCCTCTCGAATCTCAGATGTTGAATCCCAAGCCCGATACCACCGCCCGTCACTTGACCACCTGAGGCTTCCTTTCCTAACCTTGTCTTGGATCTTCAGCGTTGCAACTAGATGCAAACGCTTGATGCCAGCGAGGGTCAACATCACAGGCCCCACTAGAGCTGCAGGAGGGCTGCGCGTTAAAACCGACATGGGATGGTGGGCGATTGATAAGGTCCAATGAGTCCACTTTGTACGTTAGAGAATCATCGAGGCAGCCCAGGACAAGACCTTTATAACAGCGGTTTCCTCACGGCTACACTACACGTTCCAAGTTGTATCCAGTCTCCCCAACTCAGCAAGACACAATGGCACCCGCAAAGGCAGTTTTGACCAGCAAGGCCCCCAAGCCTATCCCGCAGCTGTCCCAGGCCGTGGTGTACAATGGCATGGTCTACTGCTCTGGCAGTCTCGGTATCGACCCCGCCACCGGAAAGATGGTCGAGGGAACTGTTAAGGACCGGACGGTATGGCATTATCACAGTGATGGTCCTGAAGACATGTGCTAAAATGTTCCCCTTCCCCTATACAGAGACAGGTCTTCAAGAACCTCTCGGCCGTCCTCGAGGCGGCTGGCAGCAGCCTCAAGAACGTTGTCAAGGTGAACGTGTTCCTCACCACCATGGACAACTTTGCTGCCATGAACGAGGCTTATGACGAGTTTATCACCTCTGCGCCCAAGCCAGTACGTGTTTACGCTTAGAAATGCGAGATGGAAAGTGTTGAAGCTTACATAGACATGTACAGTGCCGTACTTGCGTTGCTGTTGCCCAGCTGCCTTTCGGCAGTGATGTTGAGATTGAGTGCACTGCTTATCTGAATGCGCCGATCGCAAAGCTTTAAAATCGGATAGAAACTTGAGTTAGTCAACAATGTCAAGTTTTACAAAAGTTTAAGTTTATCGTTTTGTCCCACGTCCTGCTTTAACCAATGTAGTACCGGCAACTTTCCTCACCCAGTACGGCATCTTTCAAGTTTCCAAAAAACCGAGTCGTTAGTCGTCACAGATCTTCGTCCCAATCGCGCGGAACAACACATAGCGAGATGCGGAGATAAGATTAAAGCTCGGGCCACATTGCTACACTGACGTAATTTACGTACTTGTCGTTCTAAAGAACCAACTCCAATTGGTAAAAGCGCGGTGCACACTGAAAAAAGAGGACAACTTTTCCTGTCCATCCTTCTTCTCTCTTCAACACAAACACCAATACCTGTCACTCAACCGAATCACCAGGTCAATTCCATTCGACGGGGAATGCAATGATATCCAGGATACCACTCAGCGCCCGGAGCGCTTGCCGTCATGCTTACAGCACCCCCTCTCGACTGAGGTCAACAACGGGCCTCCTCTCCTTCGCCCAGTCGCAGCCTTCGATTTCTCAACAACTCTCTACCAATGCCCGCCTATTTTCCTCAACCACACGCAACTCCTTCAAACAGACTTTTCCCCGCCAAAACGAACCCAACCAAAATGACATCCTCGAGCAACAAGCTCGATCCGGTGTCAACCCGCCCTACACCACCCGCCCCCCTCCTCTCAACCTGCCCGAGCGCCAGCCCGACGCATCCACCTTCTCCCACCTCTTCGCTACCGGCAAGGCCTACCTGACCTTCTACAAGACCGGCCTGCGCCAAGTCTTCACCAACTTCAAGCTCCTCCGCGCCGTCGGCAAGGGCGGCGAGGGCCCCATCGCCCGCTCCGAGAACCCGGTGACAGACGCCGACTGCATCGACGGCTACCTCCGCTTCCGGACGCGCGGCTCCCTGCTGCTGTACAAGCGCGTGAAACACGACCTCAACAAGCTGCCCGTTTTCGGCCTGCTGCTGCTCGTGTGCGGCGAGTTCACGCCGTTTGTCGTGCTGGCTGTGCCCACCATCGTTCCCTACACGTGTCGGATTCCGAAGCAGGTGGACAAGATCCTCAAGCGGATAGAAGAACGGAGAGCGGCGGCGCTGGATGAGTTGGTCGGGGAGGTGTACGAGGAGGATGATTACGACTTGGTTCCCGACGACCAGGTGAAAGTGGACTTGGAAGGTTTGGAAGGTTTCATCGAAGCCGAGATTGAGGCTATCGGGGAACCAAAGAAGGTGGAAGAGATGACTGAGGAAGAGAAGGAACAATACGAAAACGAAATCAGGCAGTGCGAAGAAATTATCAAAGATCAGAGGGAGAAGAAGGCAAAGGCCGGGCAGGAGATAGACCCCCGCCCGATCCGCGAGCAAGCCCAGGAGTGGGTAGACCTCGCCCGTGCCGACCGCGAGAAGTACGGGGATGACCGTGTGGAGGTGGACGTCTTCCCCATGACAGCCAGCGAAGCCCTCGACCACCTCGACCCCCTCAGCGACGACTGCGAGCAGTTCAACATGCTGGACGCCCTGGCCCGCTCCTACGCTATCACGAGCTGGTGGGGTCCCGCCGGAAGGGAACGCGGTGTGCACAAGCACATGCGCTTCCTGGCTGTGGACACGGAACTGTTGGAGAAGGACGGCGGCGTTGAGGCGCTGGAGGACGAGGAGGTGCAGTTGGCGTGCATTGACAGGGGTATCGACGTGCGAGGTCGCAACATTGATGATCTGAGGTATGCCCTGGAGAAGTGGGTAATCTTGACTCATGTGCTGGCCAAAGACCGGGCGGATTGTCTGAGGAGGATGGCGGTGTTGGGGACGTGTCCGGAGATCCTGTGGCCGGGTATCCCGTGGCCGGAGGAGTCTGAGGAGGTTTTGGGTCGGGAAGGAAGTGTAGAGGAGAAGAGTGTCGAGGAGAAGGAGTAAACTTGAAGAGAAAGATGGGAAAATGATACCCGAGATATGGCCTATTATCGCACTGGTCTGGTCTGGTGCTTAGGACATGTTTACATAGTGTATATGTGTGATGATAATGATAACCGCTGTATAAATTACATACTGCGTCACTTCTCAACACGCATGGTGTCCCTTCCTGTCCAGTTGATCCCCCTTCACCTCGCACTACAGAGTATCCTTCTGCACTGCTGCAGGCCCTATCCAGATCACGCTTAGCTGTAAGTTTCCTCCTCCCCTTGCTCCGCGCTCCTCCCACTCCCCGCTGTTTTCCACATGTCCCTAACCTTCACAAATCAATCCTCCAGCTCCAACGGCCACTTCATGTTCGTACTTGTCTCCGACACCCGCTCCTCAACCTTCGTCCAAAAGTCATCTTGCTTAAGCAGCTCAGACGGCGGCTGAGAGTCACCATCAGGAAACCCCCAATACCAAGCCACACGCTGTTCCCAGAATCTCGGTCTAAAGCCAAGTCCATAAAGAATCATCTCTGCATTCTGTCTCTTCTCCTCCGCCTTTGCGTAACTACCCAATCTTGCGCTTGACCTGAAGCTGAACTCGGGTTGGGCATGATTTTGATGTGACCTCATCATTAGTGGTATCGTTATGAGAGGGAGAGGCTTGAGTCCGCCTTGGTCGTAGGCTGTGAGTGCTATCCATTGGGGATGGCTGAGAAGTGCGTCGAAGAAATCTTTCCACTTTCGGTATGCGTCTACGTCGAAAGAGTGAAGTCCAGCAGGCTGGAGATAGAGGTCTCCGACTGGAAAAAGAAGGCGTCTATCGGCGTTGGCGCCGGCGGGCTGCAGGTCCTGTTGGTCTTGGGACATATTGCTGGTATTGTTTTTGAGCGCTTTGAGGGGGGGGGGGGGGGGGGGAGATAACTGCCCTTGATTTTGGGTTGCTGTCCAAGAGTTAGGGAGAGTGTGTCGGTGAGAAGAAGAGGGTGGCTAATAGACTGGCCAGATATATAGACGTACTGAGCGCCGAGTGTTCCAGGTAAGGTAGGTACCAACGTTTTCATTCTCGAGTGTACACTGGCACATGACGCACATAGGCGCAAACTCCTTATTTCACCTACGTACCGCGTGTTGTTTGGATATTGTCCTGTTGGTTCCATCTTCAAAGAACGACGGGTCTGTTGGTCGATTCAACATGGGAACTTTCGAACCAACAAAAGAATGAAATTAGAGATCGAAAAAAATAATTTGTCCTTCTGCCTCGTAATAGATTTACACCTCGCTAGGTAGGTAGGTAAATATGAAAGGAATTAGGATCCCGAATTTCAAGACGAAGGAAGGAGTGTTGGAGAAGTTGTTGGGCAGTGTCTACTTCTAGGCTAGGAAATCTAGGTAGGTGTAGGAGAAAGGGACGGGTGCGCCTAACCAGGTACCTCTAGGTTTCCTCTTCTCCAACCTGCTTCTCTGTGACGTCCTGATTTACCACTTGCTTCCCATCTTCACCGGCGACTGACTCTGACTCTGACGTTGCTTGAGTCACTGCCTTTGACGACGCAGGCTTCTTAAACCTTTCCCAAAAATCATCATTGAGCTGATCAACATCCGCGACTGGCTGTCCTTTGGGAAACGGCCATTTCATTTCCAGGGAGAATGACTGCCCCTTTGCCGTGGTCTTCAGATTTCGGAACCCCAACTCTGTCAGAATCTCCTCTGTGGCCTTTTCCTTTTCCTCCACCTCTTCTTGGGTGCAAAATCCTTTCGTCGACACAAACTGAGCATTTTTTGGCGCTCTACATGCGGAAAGGTCTAGCAGGACGTGCAAATCGTAGGCTGTAAGCTCTTCCCATGGGGTGGAATTGTGGACAAGTGTCGTGAAGAAAATTCTCCATTTTACGTAGTGTTGTTCTATGGTAAGGACCTGTTTCCGTTCATCCGGTCCGTTCCAGAGGACCAGAGTGAGTGGCTTGGGTTCAAAACGAGGCTCCTTTGGTGATGCTGGAGCAGACTGGTCTCGTTGGTCTTGAGACATTTTATGAAATGGATCACGAATGATGGGAATGATGATGTATTGAGGGAGAGATCCAGCTAAATGCTGGAGGGACCGCCAGCTATATAGAGCTGGCGATACAAAGAGGAGAAAGGTCTGCAAAGGAGGGGATTCTGGGAAGTGCCAGAACCGCTGTCGAAGAGGGTGCAGGGCAAAGGCCCTGCAGCGCAAAGGACTAGCGGTCTGTGCAGCAAACGCCCAGAATCTTCTCACACATTTTCCTGATGTTTGTGGATACATTGAAGGGAAGTACGACTATTATTGTCTTCTTTGTCTTCTTTGCCGAAGAGTCAAACAGATTGTGTGGTAGAACTTTCGATGCTTGAGGAAGATGATGGGAAGTGTCTTGTGGGCGTGACGGGCTATCCAGATAGTGTAGATATATGTGGGCGTAATGAGTGTACGATCTTCCAAGTACCAACGTTCTCATTCTCCAGTGTATAATTACATATGACACGAATAAGTGCCATCTTATATCATACATACCGCGTGTTATTCCGATCTTGTCCTGTTGGTTCCGTTACCCAACTCCAGTCATTGTGATGGTAAAATTGACACGGCAACTGCAAGACCAACAGAACAGTGCAATTATCTGCCTATATCTAACCCTTGCCTCGATAATCAAAGAACAGCTTCCGTCTTTCTCGCAGTACGTAGGTACAGCTACAATAGCCGCTCTGATATCACCCACTTTAGTTCTAAAACGACTCCCTACAACTTTCGTTCCAATCTCATCGTTTCCAACTTGTTCCTCCCCTTTACCATCGACTGCTTCCGGTGCCCGAGAGGCATCCTTTTACCACTGGATGTACCCGAGCCAACGAACATCTGGAATGCCAACATCGTCCCAATTTATCCCAAGTCCCTTCACCATACCTGGCATCGTTCTGTTCAACAGCTCACGGTTCGGGTAGCCCCATTTCATCGAAATGCTGCTCATGCCAGGGCTCGTGACATCGACAAATCCCAGTGATGTGAGTATCTTTATGGCAGCCTGTGTTCTCTCTTTCGCCGCCTCTTTGGTTCCGAATGTCTCGTAGGAGGAAAGGTCCAATTCGGGAGTTGAATCGTTCCATGGCCCATGTAGGGGGTTTTCAGGTTTGATCAATCTGTAGGCTGTGCGTTGTCTCCATCGTTCGTGTGTGAGGAGACCAAGAGGAAGATCCCAGAAAATTTTCCAGCTTGTGAGTTGCTTCTCTGAAAGTGGAATGTCACGCTCCGTGAGTTGCACATGGATGATTTTGGGGGAAAAGGGCATCTGGGGCTTCGATGAAGGAGTGGTGCGCTGAGTAGCACTAGCAGATGCTGCTGAAGCACGCTGTCCAGGTTGCTGGTTGGACGCGATGTTGGTTTGCAAATGCGAATAGGGGATTTTCGAGCAAGCTTCTGGGGATGGCTTATGAGGCAGTGAAATGTGATGAGTTACGGTGAGTGTAGGGGTCTTCGTGGATGGGGATTCAAGATACCTAAAAAAAAACCAGACGCAAATCCCTTCAAATGACCTCTTTCCTCTTTTTTTTTTTTTATTTTTTTTTTTTATTTTTTTTTTTTGGCAATACCAACCACATGATTAACGTAACCACCGTCCTTCAAAACCATATGCGGCATGCTCCGTTGGGTTATTTCTCTATTAGTTCCTTCCATATCCTCAAAGCACAACAGGTGTATTGGTAGATTCAACACAGGAACTTCCACTTGTAATGACCAACAGACAGCGCACTTATCTTGCTACCGCAAAGACTCGGGCCGTTCATTTTCAACTTCCAGGGAAATCAGGCATAGTCTGTAAGCATACTGCAACATTCATGCCCGCCAGAAATTGTATGCAAGACGGTGATTTTGAATGTCCCCACCCTCCAGCGCCTTTGAAAACATGAAGACAAGGGAAAAAGATTGGGTACTAGCAGAATCAAGTTTATAGTGCTCCGGGGTGGCAATACGTCTCGCCCACTCTTTTTTGCGGGCATAAAATGCACATATTCGGGCATACGCATGTCTGATTATGTCTGATTTCCCTGGAAGTTGAAAACGAACGGCCCGAGTCTTTGCGGTACCTCCGACGCCGCAGACTTCTCAAATCCTCTCCAGAACTTTTCATCATCGAGTCGATCAACATCCGCGACAGCTTTTCCACCAAGAAAGTCCCACCTCATCGTCAAAGGGTATTTTACCGCCTCCCGCTTCCGGAAGCCCAATTCTGTAAGAACATCTTCTGCAGCTTTCTCCTTTTCCTCCACTTCTTTCTGGGTCCAAAATCTCCGCCCTGACCAAAGTTTCGCATTGTACCTTCCGTAAACCGTCCTGTTTGATGCACCTGTGAATTTGGGTAGACTGTGCCTGTCATAGGGTACGAGTGCTTGCCATCGGGGATTGTCGACGAGTTTGGTAAAGAAGTCTCTCCATTTCTTGTACTCGTCTATGGCGAGAAGACATTCATTACAGTGTTCCATCCAGAGGATGAGTTCGACTGTCTTGGGTTTATAGAAGGGCTCTTTGGGCTTGTTGGAAGGTTGGGTGTGTTGGTCTTGGTTTTGGGACATTTTATAGTGTCTGTGGACGTTTTGAAGGGGATTGTTGATCATGTTGGTCTTCTTTGTCTTCTTGCGTAAGAGTAGGACAGCTTGTATACTAAACGTTTCGGTGCATGGGCAAGATGGTGGGGAGTGATTGACGGGCTATCGAGTTGTATGTAAAGACGTACGGACCTTTAGATCTTGCGAGGACCAACGTCCTCATTCTCGAGTGTATAATCACACATGACACACATAAACGGCCTTCTACCTATACTTGCACATAATGCGTGTTGTTCGAATCTTGCCTTGTTATTTCCATCCTCAAAGCAAGGCCGGTCTGTTGGTAAAATCAACAAACCGTCGGGCAAGCAAACAGTGTAATGATCTTCCGCCAACACCTATCTTTCAGACCAAAGAACCGTCCGTCTTCCTCATGATACATCTACTGCTAGCGGCTACGGTATCGCCCACTCCTAATTCTCACAGCCCTCACTCACCTTCTCCTCAACATCATCGTTTCCGGTTTGTCCCTCCTCTTCACCATCGACTACCTCAGTTTCCAACTTCGTCTTTACCTCCGCCACCTGGGCCTCCCCCTTCTCCCACTTGATATGCTCCAACAACGAAACGTCCGGCAAGCTCTTCTTCTTCGCCCGATCGAGGCTGGGGGGATCCCATTCCATCGAACAGTGAATGTGGCGAGGTCCCGTCTTACTACTCATTCTGAAACCCAAAGCCGTGAGGATATGCAGGGCAGCCTTGGTCTTTTCTTCCGCCTCATCTCCGCTGAATTTGCCACACATGAGGAAGAGTACGGGGGGATAGCGAAGGAGCGGAGGGGGTTGATTGAGGGGACTGTAGCCTGTTCGGGATATCCATCGTGGGTCTTGGACAAGAGTTCTGCAGAAGAAATCCCAGACTTGGGGGTCGTATCTGCCGGGATGGCCGATAAATACCTCGATTGTTCTGCGGGGATACTTGATCTCTTTCTTTTCCTTCTCAGAGTTGGCGGAACGAGGGCACTGAGTGGCAGATGACGCTGGGGGCGGCGGTTCTTGCTGATTGCTGGACATCTTGCTAGTGTATGCTGGATGCTGATTGGTTGGGTAACGCGGGAGTTTTGGCTTTTGGGTGTAGCAGGAGATGTGTTGACTGTAGATGTTTTGGGTGTAGAGTTGGGTGAGTGATAGCTTAACTTATATACACATGTAAACGTACTTCATATCCATGATATTTAGCGCATCACCTTTGAGTATATCAGATCATATGACACACATAAAAGCGCCTTCCTATATCGTGCCGTGTTCTCCCATCCCTGTCCTGTTGGTTTCGTGTTTGGATACGAACGGGGTGTTGGTAGGATAGATACGGAAACTGTTGAACAAACCAGTGGTTGTCGCGAGCATAGCAAACTGGTTGCAAAGCTTCCTGGGATGACTGCACCACGAACTTCAATATGGAAGGTTCCAGCTTCTAAAACCTGACTTGAGTATAGCGGTATGGAATGCACATTGACGGCCATGTCAATACCCGCACCTGGCGTCAGGCATCTTCCAACTTTGCCCTCTTTCCCACTGGTTCCTCCCATTGACCATCGACTGCCTCCAGAGTTTGCCAGTTTCTCTTTGCCTTCCGTACGGGGATATCAAACCGTTCCCAGTGAATATAATCAATCCACTCAACATCCGCACACGATAATTTCCCGGGGGGGTATTCCACCTTGCCATCCTTTACCAACATAAACCTCGGCATGGTTCTCTCCACCCACCCACGGTCCGGGTAGCCCCACTTCATGCAAAGGCCATGACGGCGACAATCAGGGTTGCCATGAAGGCGACATCCAGAGTATTCGACAAATCCCAGATTTCTCAGTATCTCTTTGGCTTTCTTGGTACTCTGCTCTGCCTTGTCACTGGTGTTTGGTGGTGTCTCAAAGTCTGGCGTGAGCATGAGTACGGGGTGTTCCCGTCTTGTGTGGAAAGAGATAGGGAGAACACATAACATGTTGCTTGTGCGAAGGCGCCATTCTTCGTCGCTGATTAGTTTGCTCCAAAAGTCTTTCCAGTCGTCGCATTCATTGTCTCGAGCTTCTTGGAGACCTTCGCCCGAACCATTGGTGAGGTGTACACGGATGTACTTTGAGTAGCCGCATTCCAGGTTGGTTGAGTCCCTTCTCCTGTGTCTGGTACTGCTTGTCATAGCGGATTGATTTTCCTGGTTGTCGGACATCTTGGAAGTAATACTCTAAAGTTTTTAGAATTATCGGTCTTAATAAGGGGGAGAGAGAATGAAGTGTCGAGTTTGAGTTTGAGTGATATGGAGATGGGTGTGACAGATCGAGGATATATACCTTTACGCAAACTTAGCGTGAAAAGGATTCAAGAGCTTGGTTAAACCTTTGAGCGTGTTCGAAATCCAATACTCCTAACCGCCATCGAATCTCATAAAGGCTGCGTTGGCGGTTATCCCGTTGGTTCTACCCTTCAACAACATCTTAGTTGGTCGAGCCTGCCAGTACAGGAAGTTGAATAAAGAACACATCAATGAAAACCAACAGAACAGTGCGCTTTCCATCCGGGTCTGACAACAGTCTTTCAGAGAAAAGCAGTAATGGCTTCCATCTTCCTCGAAATTACGGTATTCATGCCATGCGCTGTTGGGTTATTTATCTGTTGGTTCCTTCCTCACACCAAACAAGTATGTTGGTAGACTCGACACGGGAAGTTGCAATGACCAACAAACAGTGCATTTATCTTGCTATATCTAACACCCGCCTGGAAAACAAAGAACACGCCTCCCTTGTACTCCTTAAAATATCCAGGTACCGCCAGCGGCTACGATATGACCCCATTCCGGGCCTTGGACCCATCCTCACTAGTTGCCTTCAACCGTCTACTTTCCCACTCATTTGCTATCCTCTTAACCATCAACCCCTTCAGTGTCCAACTGCTTCTCTACCTCCCCTACCGGAGACGCACTCTTTTCCCAATCGATATGCTCCAACCACGAAATACTCGGAAAACAAAAACTTCCGACGCCGAAACCACCGATAACGCGGTTAAGTTGCCTTCGGCAGCTCCCAGATTCAAATACAAACCCGGCAGGCAAGCTATTCTTCACCTGACCGAGACCAGGGCGACCCCAATTCCATTTGAACATTGAAGTCACCAGGGGCCGTCGACGTTATTTCTAAACCCTAAAGTCGTGAGAAATTCCAGGGTCTTATCTTCCGCTCCATCTTCGCTGGGCCGAGTGTTGTTGTTGTGGCCACATATGAAGCTGAGCGTGGGATAGGGAGAGTATCCTTTTCCCAGATATACTCAAGGATATACTCAAGCCACTCAATCTCCGGTGTCTGAACCTTGCCATTTTCTCCATACCTCTCTTCAAAACTCTCCAAGAACTGCGGCATGTTTTCCTTCACCCACTTGCGGTCCGGGTAGCCCCATTGCATTCGAATCTTGGGGTTCCAGACTCCACTTTTGTCTTCGAACCCCAATGCTAGGAGTATCTTTCGAGCTAACTCGGTCTTCTCTCCTGCTTCTGCCCGGCAGGTGTCGCATAGTTGATTAGTGGTGGGTCTCAGTTCGAGGTCGGGGACTGGCTCCAGCAGTACGTCGATAGAGTGTCTCTCTAGTGGGGCGAAAGGGGTAGGAAAGCGAGGGCGCGGGTTGCCTGTGAGAGCGCTCCAATGTTCGTCACTGAAGAGTGCGTGCAAGACTTTGACACATTTTTCGGCTTGGTCGTAGTTTTGGAGAGGTTTGCCCGGATAGGTCAGGTATAGTTGGATTGTTTTCGGACAATGCCTGGGGGTTGGGCGAATAGTGCTTGCCGCAACTGATTGATTTTTCTGGTTGTCAGACATCTTGACACTGGTAGTGTATGAAAGACTGGAAGATATATCTTTTTGTTGAATAGGAGAAATAAAGGATGGAGTGCTGAGTTCTGCTTAGAAGATTTGGAAGAGGGCGAGAGAGATCATGAATATATACCCAAACAGAGCGCGGAATAGATCCAAGAACTTGGTCAATTCTTTGAGCGTACTCAAAGCCCGACACTCCCAACCGCCATTGATTTTTATACATCCTCCGTGTTGTTGGCCATTTCCTCGTTGGTTCCAACTTCCAACAACAACAGGTGCGTTGGTCGAGCCAGCCAGCACGGGAAGTTGAAAGAAAGCGAGCTTCCGTTGAGACCAACAGAACAGTGCTATTGTCCTCCCGTCCTGTGACCCTCATCTCCCAGGTTAAAGTCTGAACAACTTTCCTTTCTCGTCCTTGTAACCCATCTCTGGTGGCTACGACATCACATCCCCATCGACCATGTTGTATGGTCTGGCGTTTGGAGTCGTAGCCTCGAGAGTGTCAACATGACCACTGGTGTCGACATAACTTGGCGCATGCGATATTCCTAGGTACCTCGCGATCATCCAAACAGCGGAAAGCAAGATTCTGAAGGGAAAAAACAGAGGAGAATAGAGGCAGTGAAGGGGTCAGAAATGAGAATAAGGGGCAAAAACAGTGGGAAGAAGGATGGAGACACAAAGACAAGAGACCGGATGAAAAGAAAGAAAAGCAGAACTGGAGAGGACCCAATGAACTGCTGAACTCCAATTATCCTAATACTCTCTCTGGATTAGCAGCTGATATTTTGTTAGCATTTTGGTGTCCTGAAGTAAACGCAACAACATGACAGAAAGGAGTAAATGTTTACTAACAGATAAGCGGCATGGCGATAAGCAGAGCGACCGGAGCAAAGTCCGGACACACCAAGACAACATTACTTGGACACTGTCGACACTTAATCCCAACGAGCACAAATTTCTTCAATCTGATCCCGCCTCACATCCGCGTATCTCCCAAGTCAGATACGCATCTCATGACGGGTAGATCCTATACCTATGTCCATCCATCCCATGTAGCCGACTTACAACAACGTGACATCAGAAAGGATCATCGGAGAAAACCCCCCTAAATGCATACCACCACGGGCACAGACATATCATCCACACACAACGCACACAACATAGACCATCTTCTTCGGTTTGACACAAAATATTTGCATCCATTATTATCCAGGGTATAAAACTTTTACCCCCGACCGCGTTGAAGCAGTCGTCTAAAACAACTAGTTATCCCCACCGAACTCCGCAGTCCTGAAAAATGATCATGTTGAGGACCAAGTACCAAATTGCAACGCCCCTTGAAAATGCATGCAATATGGTGAATTTTTCCGACTCCCAGTAATTTTTTTTCCGTAACCTAATCCGTCGTTGAGATCGCAAAACCAGTAACCTGTTTACCACCCTGTTTTTAGTTTTCCCAAGCCTTCATCCCGGGTCTCATGCAAAGTTGAAAAACATATCCGTGACCCATTGGCATCGCTGTTGAATAATGCCCCAATCGCTTATATACCGTATACCTTCATTACCACGCAAAACATTCAGGAGATCTCTCTATGTCAATGACACATTTAGAGACCGGCATCGTATCTCCAGCCCTCAACGGGGAGGGGGAAGGTGTTGCTCCAGGCAGCAATCTCCTGCTGGAGCTCCTTGATGCGGGGAATATCGCCGGTGGCGATCTTGGCCTTGAAGTCCTTCTGCTTGTTGGCCTCCTTGGGGAGGGAAGCCTGGATCTCCTTGCAGAGCTTGACGGCCTCATCGACGTAGGTGGCGACCTTCTCGAAGTCGGCCTCGCCGAAGCCACGGGAAGTCATAGCGGGGGTACCGATACGGAGACCACCGGGGGTGAGGGCGCTCTTGTCGCCGGGAACGGCGTTCTTGTTGCAGGTAATGTTGATCTGCTCAAGGACGAACTCAACACGGGCACCATCGACGGCGAGGGGGCGAAGGTCAACGAGGACCATGTGAGAGTCAGTGCCGTCAGAGACGAGCTTGTAGCCGAGCTCCTTGAGCTTCTTCTCGAGAGCCTTGGCGTTGTCGACGACCTTCTGCTGGTACTCCTTGAACTCGGGGGAGGAAGCCTGCTTGAGGGCAACGGCAAGGGCGGTGATGGTGTGGTTGTGGGGGCCACCCTGGTGACCAGGGAAGACGGAGAAGTTGATCTTGTCCTCAAGGTCATAGAGGGTCTCCTTGCCGGTCTTGGCGTCGACAGAGCGGACACCGCGGCGGAAGAAGATCATGGCGCCACGGGGGCCACGGAGGGACTTGTGAGTGGTGGTGGTGACGACATCGGCCCAGAGGAAGGGCGAGGGGATAACGCCGGAGGCAACGAGGCCGGAAATGTGAGCCATATCGACGACAAGGTAGGCGCCAACGGAGTCGGCAATCTTGCGCATGCGCTCGTAGTCAATCAGACGGCAGTAGGCAGAGGTACCGGCGACAAGGATCTTGGGGCGGAAGAGCTGGGCGTTCTTCTCGAGGGTATCGTAGTCAATGATGCCGGTGTCAATGTCGACGCGGTAGGGCATAGTCTCGAAGTAGGTAGAGACAGCAGAGATCCTGAAGTGGGTAGGCGGGTTAGCTTGAGTGATCCATTGTTTGACTGGAGTAGCTCGTGTGACACTCACTTGCGCTGGGGGGTCTGGTAACCGTGGGAAAGATGGCCACCGTGAGGGAGGTCAAGACCCATGAGTCTGCCGTGAACGGGCATGATGGCCTGGTAGACCTGGAGGTTGGCAGGGCTGCCGGACAAGCACTGAACGTTGACACCCCACTGCTTGGGGTCGAGGTTGAAGGCCTCAAGGGCACGGTTCTGGCAGAGGACCTCGATCTCATCGATGTGCTGGTTGCCGCCATAGTAGCGGGCGCCGGGCAGACCCTCAGAGTACTTGTTGGACATGGGGGAGCCGAGGGCATCGAAGACGGCACGCGAGGTGACGTTCTCGGAGGCGATCAGGATGATGGACTCGCGCTGGCGCTGAACCTCCTTCTTCATGATCTCGGCGACCTGGGGGTCGGACTCGACCAAGCTGTGCTCGAGCATCTGTATATCGCAGGGTGATGAGTCAACATGTTTGTCCCTTCAATGTGCGGCCAGAAAGAATCCACATGGAATTGGAGAAGAAGGGTTACCACGTACGGTCTTGTGAGTCTCGGAGAGGGCGTAGGTGGACATGGTGACTGATTTGGGGGGGTTGGCTTCTTTGGAGAGTGAGAGGCCGTGTAAGAATTGAGGGTGGTGAGAGAAGAAGAGACGGGAGGGAAGGAGAGGAAAGAGGAGAAGGGGACCGATGACTGAGATATAGAAGGAGCTGAGGGGCACTGAGATCCAGGGTTGCTGGACGAGTCAAACTCTCAATTGAGTGGCTCCTGCGCGGGCCCAGTCGCGGGTCCAGTCGCGGGCGGCGGGAGGAGGGAGAAAGAAAAATTGGAACCCCGCCAAGGTGCAAATCCTCCAATTCGCAATCGCCCTCAGCTGCAAATCTCCCCGCATTCAACATGGCTTTCTCCACCGCATTGGTCACTGGCGTGAGCTTTACCTGAGCTTTCCTTGCGACTGTTGCGGTTCGTAATCCTGGTTATCGCAATACCGGGGTTCGCTACCGGGCCATTGCGGGCGACGACGATGACTCTTCTTCCTCCGGTTTTCGAAATCTGCGACCGATGAGTCTTGGCCTCAACATCTCCGGTCTCTTCCCTCTTGTTGTCGGCTCAGCCTGTGCGCTAGCCCAGACTCTGTGGTTAAAAACCGTCCCTTTTCGTATATGTTTATATCTTGAGACTGACAATGATAATTCCACACCTCTGCCGGGGGTAAAAAAGAGTTTAAATTTTGTGAATTCGCCGTTAGTGCAGATCGGTGGCAAAAGACCAAATTCTACAAAATAGTTACTCTTACTCCGACAATGAATCCTGGTTTTCTGTAGGCTGGAAGTCTCACGCTAACCTTTTTTTACCCCGGGCAGAGGTGTAGTATCGATTGGAGATAAGACGAACCATTATCTTATCGGCTTGGAGGATGACATGGGCAATTGGGCATGACATCTCACCTGACACCGAGGCCGTTGTAGGTATAAGACGATGGTCTTCACTTCAACCTCACAACCACTCACAGCTTCCCGTCAACACGGCACAGTCGTGCATCTTCGCGTCAAGTTCGCGTACTGGTCGAGGTGCTTCTTTGAACCAGTGTTCCTGCCGGATGCCACAAATCACAATGGACCTGAACAGGCCCCTAAGAACCTTACGGAGTTACATGTACCTTGCCTTATCGTCTTTCGATAACTCAAATCAGTTGCTCGATGCACTATCAAGAGCTAAGCTTAATGCTCTTCAGCTCAAAGCCGAAAGTATTGAAATGTCTTGATGTCCAGATGAGTCTCAGACAGCTATTGTCTTGTGCTCCCGTCCGCATCCGTGCTCAATGGCCTTCCATGCCTTGTCTCCCCCGTCCCTTCATGCGTCCCGTTTCAGTCGTGTCGACCACTTCTCAGTTTGAGAGAGTCGCATGTGTGGGAAAGGTACGGTGAACCTCTCTGGCTCAATGGCAGGCCGTTATGTAATCCATGTCTTGGCTAGCCGTCTTCGTCTCACTGGGTCCACCTCCGGTTTGTCTGGGTTAAAGTGGGGACACTTTTGCAAACAATCCAATCATCCCATGGCCGGCCGGGAAGCGATGAGCGCCTTGTTTGCACCAGTTTGCGCTGATAGGGTCAGCCAAGAAGGCCCTGCCTGCAGCGACCGGCCCTGGTCTTGGGTCACACGTCATTGGGTCACCAGGCACAGCAAGGTACGCGCAACCACTTCTGCCACTGGACCATCAACCTGGAAAGTGCCATCGCTTCATCGATTCCCTCCCATGGGTCACACGAAACAGCAAGGGCCGCTGGTGGGAAATGGAAACATGATGTGCAAGTCTCTAACATGAATTGTATGTAAATGCCCGCGTAGTCTGTTAGTCGTCTAGCGGCTTATCGTCGCTCTCGCCATCGTCCACATCACACATCCGCACCCGCCAGCAGCTGCGCCTCTCCACTTCTGCCACTTTAACAAGGCCAGGGTCGACCTCCAACTCACCTGCAACAACCCGCACCACCCATAAGTAACCTCCGACCGACATCTCTCTTCCCGTCTTCTTTCTCTTTCCCCATCCACTGTTGCTCTCCACCACAACCCGTGCTTCTTGTCCCATCATCACCAACCATCTATCATCGAAATCCGTCGACAGTCTTTCGTTACACGCTCGTTCTTGTCACTACAGTGCTCACGATGAAGGGCGCTTTGTTGACGGCAGCTATGCTGCTCGGCTCGGCTCAGGCCGGAGTGCACACGATGAAGCTCAAGAAGGTTCCACTTGCGGAGCAGCTTGTAAGTGTTGACCATGTCCCTTGATGGCTACTATGAACACTTGTTGATGATGATGATGTTCGTTATTAGGAGTCTGTTCCCATCGACGTGCAGGTGCAGCACCTCGGACAGAAGTACACTGGTCTCAGGCCCGAGTCCCATAGCCAGGCTATGTTCAAGGCCACTGATGCTCAGGTTACCGGCAACCATCCGGTTCCCATCTCCAACTTTATGAACGCTCAGTGTAAGCATTGAACCTTGATTGATGACTCGTATAAGTTGGCATGGACACAGTAACTAACGTCTGATAGACTTCTCCGAGATCACCCTCGGAACGCCACCCCAGACCTTCAAGGTAGTTCTGGATACCGGCAGCTCCAACCTCTGGGTTCCCTCCTCCCAGTGCGGCTCCATCGCCTGCTACCTCCACAACAAGTACGAGTCTTCCGAGTCGTCGACATACAAGAAGAACGGCACGAGCTTTGAGATTCAGTATGGCTCTGGTAGTCTCAGCGGCTTCGTCTCTCAGGACAGAATGACCATTGGTGACATTACCATCAACGACCAGCTCTTTGCCGAGGCGACCAGCGAGCCCGGCCTGGCTTTCGCCTTTGGTCGCTTTGATGGCATTCTCGGTCTCGGCTACTCGAGGATCGCTGTGAATGGCATCACCCCTCCTTTCTACAAGATGGTTGAGCAGAAGCTCGTTGATGAGCCCGTCTTCTCTTTCTATCTCGCTGACCAGGACGGCGAGTCCGAGGTTGTGTTTGGCGGTGTCAACAATAAGAAGTACACTGGCAAGATCACCAAGATCCCTCTCCGCCGCAAGGCCTACTGGGAGGTGGACTTCGATGCCATTGGCTATGGCGATGATGTTGCGGACCTTGAGGGCCACGGTGTTATCCTCGACACCGGTACCTCTCTCATCGCTCTCCCCAGCCAGCTCGCTGAGATGCTGAACGCTCAGATCGGTGCCAAGAAGAGCTGGAACGGTCAGTTCACCATCGACTGCGGCAAGAAGTCGAGCCTCAAGGAAGTAACGTTCACGCTTGCTGGCTACAACTTTACCCTCGGCCCCGAGGACTACATCCTGGAGGCTTCTGGCAGCTGCTTGTCGACCTTTATGGGTATGGATATGCCCGCTCCGGTTGGTCCCTTGGCTATCCTCGGTGATGCTTTCCTCCGCAAGTACTACACAATCTACGACCTCGGAGCCGATGCTGTCGGCATCGCCCTCGCCAAGCGCTAAATAGCCTTGAGGGACGAAGTTTGGGTAACCTGAAGTTGGGGAGCAGGAGTTAACGAGATTGTCACGTTCAAGTATCACGTTCAAGTAGTTCTTAATGACTGTATGATGATGGGAGGGCGCTGCGGGATTGGGTTTGTTTCTTTTGTGCAGTATAATAGCAGTATCGGTATTTAGGACCAATGGCTCATTGAAGTCAACTTGCACCAACAAGACATATTTGTTCAATGTCTCTGTGATTGTTGCTACTGCCAAGGCTGGATTGAGGATGTGACAAGACCGTGGCCTGGCCTGCTGCCAATGTTGAGAGCTTCATACGCTTAACATGATGCACAACCTGTATCATGATAACAACAATGATGTTCAGTTGGCAGTACTCGTCGGTTAGGTGCACGCACTGGCCACAGCCATGTGGGGCCACCCTTTGGGGGCCCGCTTACAGCCAGCCAACCGACTCTCATCGTCCCTTTGAGAGTCGGGATTTTTACATATATCTTGCAAGCGGTATATCTATCAAAAACCTCACTTAACCATAACTTTATCATTTTTAATCATACGATATTATAAATAGCCTTAAACTGCTCGTCTTAACTAAATCATTTCATTTACCATAGCGCATTTCGATTCTAATATTACTACGCAGGCGGAAAAGGCTATACGTCATTACTTCGCCCGCTAAAAGCGGATAATACGCACCAATTCAAAAAAGAACAACCGCAAAAACAAGGGTAATAACTATACTATAAAAGACTCTACACAATTTTATAACGTTAGCAAACCCATTATTAAGAAATATATATAGTTTATTCAAAAAGGGAAACTATTACTAACGGGTACAAATACCTATTGCCCGCTAACATTAACTCCTAGTAAAGATAAAACTCTTAATATTATAATCTAAATCGTTAACTATAGCTACTTCCCCCTAAATAATACCTCCTTTATTAAATTAACTAACTAACTAAGAACTCAATGGTTATACCCCCCCTCTATTAACTTCTATAAAAAGTAGCCTATAAAATAGCACAAGAAGTATCCAGAATTCGAATTCAAAGCAACTAGCTTTAAAAACGTAAAAAGAATAAATATTAAAGCTCAATTAAACTCCCTTAAAGACTAATTCAAAGAGGTAAAAGCTATCTATAATAGCTTCAATATTAAGGAGGAGAACGTCTAGAATATAAATAAATCTCCCTTTTAAATAAGGGAAATCAAGGGAATTATAAAGATATAAAACCTTCCTTATTAATATTACTCCCTATACTAACTTATATAATAATAAATATTATTTATAAAGAATAGAACTCATATAAAGAAGGTTATATTCAACTCCAATAATAAAGAAAATCTAATTACCATCGATACTATATCAGCTATAGTAAAGAGTATCCCTTCATTCCTAATATTCAAGGTATAAATTATAATAAGTATAATTAAGCTATGTTAATTATAATTAATATTAATTTTATTAATTTACGTATAAATATAAAGGAACATATAAATTAATTATAAAGTTAATTTAGAAATAATTATTATAAATATATTGATTAAATATAATAATATTTATCGAACTCCATAGTGGATTAGGCACTTTAATAAGTATTTCTTTAAATTATTTTCCTCCTTCGATAACTATACTATCGACGATTAGTTCAGCCTATTACTTAATTACCCGCCTCCCTTTAAAAGATTAGAATCTTTTAAAGGGGATAAAGTAACCATTAGCTTCTCGTTAGTAATAAAACTGAAAGCATATAGGGTATTATTCATAGATGGGTTTGAAACCTATAAAAATTTATACATCCTATAATACTATAAGGCCTTCGATATCATACTTTATACTCTACCCTTATACACTAACTATATACTTTAACTACTTAATATAGGGGTTTATCAAGCAACTAAAAAGATTCACTAGAAGGCTCGAGTAGACGAGATTATTAGTAGGGCTATTAATATTAATTATATAGTCTTTTTAAATAATTAGAAGAAGGTTAAAGAGGTAAGCTTTATTTGAAGTAATATCTATAAGAGATGGAAGAAGATTAATCTTTAACCTTTTAAACCTAACGTTCTTTTTAATAAATTACGTAAATTTATTAAAGTATAATAAAAACTCTTATTCCTTAGTTAATTTAAAATCATAATTCCTTATAAAGTATTTATATATATTAAAATTACTAATAATTTAATAATATATTAATAATTATAGTTCGCCTATTAAAAAAGTCTATAATAAAGCTAAAATTGCTCTCAAAGTATCTATTAATACTTAAAAATTAGTATTTAATTAGCAAGAATACTATAAACGCTATATTAAGGCAAAAGCCCAAAAGTAAAACCCTCGTAAATACGTAGCCATTAGTAATAAAGCCTATATAAAGGAGGTTCTTAATATTAAAGTTATAGTAAAAAGGGTCATTAATATAAAGGAGGGATTAAAAGAAATATAATAAATAAACTTTACCTTTATTAAAAAGATCGCCCTCGAAGAAACCCTATTTTTAAATAATAGTTACTACGTAAATCTAAGGCTAAAAAGAAGGCTAAATTTAATCCGGTTAATAAAAGTAATATTCTTAATGATAATAGCCTTATTTATATTATTAAGGACGACCTAAAGTATAACGTAATATTAAAATTTAAGGAAGAGTAAGATAAAGCTATTACTAATAATCCCCAGCGTACCTTCTTAACTAAATAATAGGGTCCTAATTATTTATATCACGTACTAAAAATAAAATTATAAAAGGCTTTCTAACCTAAATAGGACTTTAACGCCTTCTTAGCTAGTATTAAAAATAAGAAGGATAAATTCTACGAAACTATAGAGAAGGCTACCCTTCCTGATTATAATAAAAATTTCGTACCTTTTAAAATATATAACAGAAAGCAGACTAAGAAGGTTTGTAGAGGAAGCAATTTATCGATTGAATTTATATTAGATAATAAGGGTATAAATATCCTTAATAAATTCCCTATTATATACCCTTATTTAATAGGTGAAAAAGTACGAGTATAAGTACGAATATTAGCTAGGCCGTCGTTTAGACCGTTTGTATTAATATTATGCCCTCTTAAAAAAAGGTCTAAGATGGGGAAGGAGAAGACTATCAATATAAATTCTAACGAGGAGGTTGCTACAATAACTATAATAGTAGTGGGTAAGAAGTTGGAGGTGCCCGCAAATTATATAAGGATAATAGTTATTAAAAACGACGATTTTAATAATGATAGGAATTTATAAAGGGAGGAAGAGGAGTTGGATATTGTATTATAAACACGGGCTATAAAGACTTTATAATACTATAATAATACATTACAATAATTTAATTATAAAAAAAATATACTATTGAATGTGCGTAATCAAGACTATTAATCTGTATATTTTATTATTTTTTTTACATATATTTTGGTAGAGATATAGATTGTTGGGGTTTTTGAAAAAATACACCGCTTGCAAAATACATATAAAAATCCCAACTCTCAGAGGGATGAGGAGAGTCGGTTAGCTTGTTATGTAAGCGAGGCCCACATCAACCTAACCGACAAGTACATGTTCCATTTATTTTCATGTTTAGAAAGATAACGAAGATACTGTGATAGAGTACCCAAACTGAGGACGGGATCCAAGGGAGAAGCTGCTGAAGCCGGCGGAGGTCAAGAGGCACGAAGAGGCACGAGCCAAGCCTCTCACGTGAATGCACCATTGACCAGCCCCACTAATTCCCCCATGCGCGCTAGTGCAGGAATGGCCTCGGGGCGGCTGGCTTTTCCCGTCGTAACCAACTGCAGTTCTGTTTGAAGGACAGACTGGAGACTTGACTAGATCTGAGAGCTGGAGACTGTCCAGGACCAACTTTCCCTCGTTGCACGTAACCTGGAGCGCGATATTTCTTGAACTACTTGCTTTCGTTTGGACGTTTGATGCCTGTTACTGACAGGATTTGAAACGACTGCGAATATTTTTGTTCAACTCCATGTGCCAGGTGTGGATGGAGTCTCTTCTCTGAACACTGCCGCTACTTTTTTGACGACAAAAGTTTTTGGAGAGTTTGACGTTCAAGTCGCACCGAGCGGACCTGCTCCCGTCCTAATAACGAGCACCCTCACTCCAGCGAACAGCAAGCACTCAGCACTCAACAGCACCAGCAAAAGAAGAAACCGCAGTCTCTAACTAGTGGCCCGGGCCTCCCTCCAGTCACCTCAGTCCGTCCTCCCCAGCTTGAGTCCACGGACCACGGACCACGGCCACAGCAACCTGGAACCGCACTTTGGCGTGCAAGTTGGACCGCAGCATTCCACTTTCCCTCCCTTCGCGACCGGCAACGCGAATCGCGCGACAATCGCCAGGCACCTCGACAGCCCGCAGCTAAAGAGCACCACCACCAACCCGCACAGCGTCACCGGCCAACCATTTTGCATCCCAGGACGGCCACGACCATTCACCACAGTCCGCAACCCCAGCCGACTAGAGTACTGGACTTTCATCATCCCCACGGTATTTTTCCCCCGCCAAAAAAAAGAGGACATGGCTTCGCCCGCCGTCGCCGCCCCTCAGGCGAACGGCGTCACGACATTGTCGCGGCCGCAATCCCCTGCGTCCGTCACCTCAACCAAGCGGAAACGCGACGTCGACGATGACAGCGGCCCAGAACTCAATGGCTCCGACGCCGACGGGTCAAAACCGACCGTCAATGGTCTGCACACGGTCCGCGATAGCAAAGTACTCATCTCTGACTTTTTTACCACTCTGCAAAGGTATGCATCCCAACCCCCAAGTATTTCGTCACACATGACCTTGTTCCCCCCGTTGTCCATGATTGCGATCATGAAATATGTCCCCCTCCTAGTCGGCCATTGAGTGCGGACTACTAATACTGCGACGTCTCTACAGTCTCGATATAGGCAGTCATGCTATTCTCAAGCGCCCTTTACCTGAGCCTCACTCCGACGACGATCCTTCGCCGCCAAAGAAACCGAAATCCGAAGACGGAAGCGCGCAATCCAGCATCGCCGACAAGATCAGCCAAAATGCCTATAATACTGTGGACGAGCTAGTCTCTGACGTTGTCCGAGCAGTAAGGCAACAGCTCGGCGAACTTGAATCGGCCAACCCCGAGGGCGAGGACAGCTCGACCGATGAGGCCATCGCGCAAACCGCAGCATTCCGAACCAAGGCTTTGGAGCTATACAGACGGGAGATGGCATACCCCCATGTTCCTCGACATGTGGCCCCGAAACCAGATCTGAAGGAAGCGATGAATGGCGGCATGGGTGGGCTTGTCTTGACTACTGTTGGCGCCGCGCCAACCGTTAGACCTCTGTTTACTAGCCTTCAACGAGCGACAGCTCCCGGTGGAGTTGTGAAGTCACTTCAGGAGGGATCGTTGCCGCACGGCGTGACGGCCACGCGTATACTCCCCGAGTTCACGGAAACAAGCGACAAGAACGCTCGCTCTTTGACCCTAGGAGAGCTTTTCCCGTCTCCCCGAAATCTGCCCCCGCTGCAGCCTCCAAAGGCGCCAAAGAACATGACCAAGGGCAACGTCCTAACCTTCTATCACCCAGAGCTTACTGAAAAGTCCAGGTATCGGAGCGGTACATACTTTACACAAAATCTTGCTACAGGACATTGGCTAGATTACAGTAACGCAACACCGACCACTCATGCCAGGTCGAAACAGCGAGAGCGAGCCCAGAGTTTGGCGGGTCACCGACCGTCTTCGACTGAGCTCGAAATTTCGGAGATGGAGGCAATGTTTCGCGGCGCGTTCTCCAGTTTTGCCCCATGCAAAGACGACTCGGCTGCCATTGTCCCTTCTGGTCAGCTTGGCCGCATATGGTGGCAACGTATCGGGCGGAGGAATTTCGAAAAGCTTGTCGATGTTGATGGTCCGGAAGATGGAAACGTGGACACGACTATGACTGGTACGGATGGGGACGCCGAGATTGACGAGGAACTGGTCAAGTCCGCCATTGAGAACTGGGATGACAACCTCGTTGACCCTAGTTTGGAGGAGCTTTTGGGTAAGAAGTCCACCGAAGAAAAGGAGATGGATGACATGCTCGAAGAGGTGTCGGATTTGATCGAGACTTTGGCATCCTATCAGCGTAACAGGAACCTCACGCTGCCGACCAGCCAGGATCGGTATTCGGCGGATCCTGTCAACGCAGATATGCTTCGCAATGGCAACCTGTCTCACCAACCCAGCGAGGAGGAAATGATGACGTATCAATCACTGAAAGCTCAGCTTTCCAGCATTGTTCAGACCTTGCCGCCATATGCGGTAGCTCGACTCAACGCTGATAAGCTCGGGGAGCTCAATGTGAGCACAAAGATTGAAATTCGCACAGACGAATACAAGGGTGTTATGGAGGAGGATGAACAGGCCCGTCTCGCCAGGCAGGCTGCGGCAACAGCCGCAACCACAAACCAACGGCAGCAACAGAGGGGTAGCGTTTCCGGCCCGGGTCAGTTCGCTCATCAGTATCCCGGTCAGTTCACACCTTCGGCCCGTCCGATAGCGAATGCCCAGCATTTCCCCCAGACCCCAGGCCGCCCTAACCCGCCCATGTACCAACAACGGCCACCCTCGGCGGTACCCATCCCCCAGGTGCATCACCAAAGTCAACAACGTGCGCCTCCTCCTCCAGCCTCCTACCGACCACCGACCAACTACGGGTATGCGCCGCAGCTGGCTAAGGCGCCCGCCCCTTACGGACAACATAACGTGCCCGGTGGTTATGCGCCGAGCCCACCTCAACCTCGCATGGCGCCGCACCCCGGCCCTGGCTACAACATGGCACCGGCCGGGCCTCCGGGTCAGCGGTATCCACCTGGATATCCGGGGCCCCAGGGCTACCCACAGCACCAGCCGATGCACCCCCAACATGTTCAACATCCTGGACCCCCGCAACATCCTTCTCCCCACATGCAACAGCATCCACAACAACCGGGGTTTGCGCCGCCTTATACCAATGGTGCACCGATGCCCCGGGCCATCACTCCACAAGTCCCACCCCAGACGCCGCACCATTATGGTCCAACCCCAACCCCAACACCGCCGCCGCCGCAGCAACAGCACCAACAGCACCAGCAGATGCAACCGCGTGGACCTTACGGAACCCCCGGACAGGGTATGCCGCCCCAAAACATGCAGCCGAACAATATGCAGCGTCAGTATGGAGCCGGATCTCCTCCCATGATGCCGGCAAACAATATGAACCGGACACCCAGCCTGACTGGCTACGCGACCGTGATGCCCGAGGTACAACAGCGCCAGGTCATGGAACAGGCGAGGGCGAGGGCAGATGCCGAACAACGTGCTAGTGGACACATGGGCAAGGTCGCCCAAGGTGAGGTTGTCGGCCTCGCAGGTATCGGCCTGGGTGGTAACGTTGATGTCCACAAGATTGCTGCTGCCAAGGCCATGCAGATGGGCGGTCCCGGCGGTCCTCCCGGCGGTGGTCCGGGTCAGGGGCAGGGTACGAACATGTCGCCCAGCCCCCAGCTTCCCATGCACGGCGGGCCCAGCCCGGTGAACGGTGTTACCCCTGTTCCCATCCCTGTTCCTTCACCTAGCCCGGCTGCGCCGCAACAACAGCAGCAGCAGCAACAGCAACAGCCTGGTGGTATGCCGTCGCCTGCTATTGTTCAGCAGCAACAGTCTCAGGTACAGACACAGCAGCAGCAGCAGCAGATGATGCCGCAACCACAACAGCCGCAGCCGCCGCAGCCGCCGCAAAGCGGACCTAGTCCGGCTCCTCCCGCACAGCAAGGCTTTAGACCCCCTTCTGCATAGGAGCAGATGTGGATGAATCCGATGAATGTTAGGAACGGGTGGTAAACTGTGGTTGTCGGTTGGTGTGAGGCGCGAGTGAGTGAGTGAGTGAGTGTAAGAAGAGGAAAGAAGGAAGAAGGAAGAGGGGAAAAGAAAGAAGAAGAAGGGAGGCAAAGTCTAGATCAAGCTTGTTTAGTACATTGATTACTTACGCACATAAAAGCGCCTACCAATATTCGCGCTGTTTTTTTTTATTTGCTCTCTTGTCTTTACACAAGTTGGTTGGGTGAAAAGAACAATAAAGCGAGTGGGAGTGTGTGAAGAGAGAGGAGAGGACACAAAAAGGATGGAACGGCAGGAAAGGACAGGAAAGGGGGTACAGCGGACTGTGCTGACAAGAAGGAAACGACGGCGGAAGGGATACGGAGATGAGAAAAAGATGTTACAAAAAAAACAAAAAACAAAAAACGAATCACAGCATAATGAGAACGAAAGTAATGGGAACTAACGAACTCTATCATGTATTTGTTAAGGTGCTGAATATGAAGACACAAAAAGGGTGTGCCTGCCGAAGAGAAGGGAGGGATGGATGGATGGATGGATGGATTATTGGGTGTATCATCATCAGTCTCATTCTCTGCTCTCACTTACGATACATACATAGTTTCCTCTCTTTCTTTGCTTTGAAGGGCCTTGACTTAGAGCTGGGTGATACCCCCTTTTTTCCTTCGCTTCATTTTTTTTCTCTTCTTCTATTCTTGATTTGGGGAAAGTTAGGTCTCTGAGTTGGGCACAATCAATCAAATCGTATAGACTTCAACCCGGTATGGTTTATTCTGAGCTTCTTCTTTAGTTTCACTTTGCTAAGACTTAGGTATGTAGGGTACTAGCTTTTTGTGAAAGTGGAAGATTGATCAGTGGCAGGTTGGTTATTCCGAACTTCCATGGGGCTGACTGGGGGAAAGAGGGAACAAACACACTCTAGAGAGAGGGTGTAATGAATAGTATGTATGCCATTTTATTTAGTTGGAGAACAACATTCAATTTCACTCTTGTTTATCTATCTGATCTATCTGGTTTATGTAGCAGCAGCATATGAGTTGGGTATCATTTGGTGACCATCTTTCCCTCTCTATCTCTATCATTCATCCCTTTTATTCCCATCCATCCATCCATCCTCCCCCCCGTCCTTTACCATTAAACCTGGACCGAATCAACCATCATCTCACTTCGATGACGAACCGTCAGCCTTATTCCCACCCTTCAACCCCTCCAACTCATCCCCAATCCTTCTTAGTTCCCTCAACACATCATCCTCATGCGTCTCAAACCTCTCCATCCACAGCCTCCTCAGCTCAAACACCACCTCAATCGCAATCAATATAATAATAATCCACTCCAGCCTGGTGCTATGTTTCTCACTCGACATTTTTTCAGAAATATCCAACACCTCCTGCGCGACTTTCACGACCTCCTGCGCATACGTCATCTTGTCATTCAGCGTCTTGATCCGCACCCCGACATCCAAAGCTTTGCCAATCTTGCTGTAGTAGGTTTCTAGTTTTTCCTCGCTGTCCCAGAAGATATCCGGCAACGCGTCGGTTAGGTCGTTGTAGTGGTTCAGTTGGCTGCGGAGATTAAGCAGTTCGCCTGTTTTTTGGAGGATCAGCTCCCGTGAGAGCGGGGCCTTGAGCCCCTGGGAGAGGCGATCGGGAATGTGGCGCGTGCTTTCGAGGTAACGCGTCAGGCTGGATTCGAGCACGGCGAGTTTTGTTGAACGCGCCAGACCCGAAGAAAAAGCGATTTTGGCGAGGGTCGTGTCGAGCCGGTCGCCGGCTGAGACTTCGCGGAGCGTGCCGAGCACGACCACGTCCCCCGAGACTTTACTTTGTTCCTCCGACGGATCGGTGGTGAACTCGAGGTCTTCTTCCTCCTTGTTTTCGACAAAGGGGGTTTCGGCGGCGGGGATAAGTAAGCGTGTAGCGAGCGTGTCCACGACGTCCGGAGGTAAAGCCCAGGTCACGATGGTTCCCGAGGGAAAGACGAAGATGTCCCCGTGGTTGAGCCCGCGGGCGTGCACGACTTCGTGGATGTCGAAGCCGGTGGCGTCGGGGTCGAGAGAGAAGTTGTGGCTGGTCAAAAGGGAGACGACGGCGTCCATGTCGAAGGACTCGGCGACGCAGACGGCGGAGATGGTCGAGCGGCCGTCGGGCTCGATGGTGTGTGAGGGGACGGCGCCGGCGGGAGTGGACTTGGCGGGGACGCCCTTTTGGGCGACGATGGCGACGCGGTGGAGGGAGTTTTTGAGCGGGAGCTTGCGCTTCTGGGCAGCGGAGGATTTCTGTTGTTGAGATGTCGTGGCATCGTCGGTAGGAGAGGGCTGCTTCTGGGTGGTGGTGGAGGGAGACGAAGAGGGTCGCGAGGGCTCGTTGCCATTTTGTGCTAGGAGGCCGTTGGAGGTGAAGAAGGTGCGTCGTCGTGGCTGGGTACCTGTTGTGGTGAGGTGGAAAGGTCGTTGTGGTCGAGTGGAAGTGCCGGTGGCAGTGAGGCCAGCCAGTCCCGCGACGCCGGAGATGCCCCGGACGGCGGCCAGTCGTTGAATCGGCACCATAGATCTCATGTTGATGTTTACTCGGATCTGTTTACTAGGGGTTCGGCTTCTCGGATGAAAACTAATTTTTGGTAGGCGCATTCTCAGACGCTACGTCACTTTGGCGATAAGGAGCCTATCGGAGCAGCGCTAGGGGTACTGCATCCACTGGAGCTTCCCCAAACCATCCAATCCGTACTGTGTCATGTATCTGTAAACTGCGACAGTGACAGGTACCACAAGTCCACAACATTCTCCAAGTCAACAACCCATCATCATACAACCGCGCATAGCCTCCAGACACACACCATGGAGCCCGACATTCGAGTTGAGGACTACCTCGACGACAAGCTCCAGTCGACGACCGACTTCGACCATCTAGACACGTTGCTCAACAGCGTCGAACACCAGCGCAGCCAGCTCCAGTCGCAACTCGACCATGCCACCAAAGAGCTCGAGGAGGCCCGCCGCTCCTCCGGGGAACGCCAGGCTGCCCTTGCCGCCCAAATCGACGAGTTCCAAAAACTGCAGCAAAGCATCGACGTCCGCCTCAAGATCGTGGCCGCCTCCGACGCCCCTGATGAGGCCATTCGCCGTCTGGAGCAGCCTATGAAGCAGCTTCACAAGGTCGACCTCGCCCATCGATACCTGCTCCTTCTCCAGCATGTCCAGGAACTGCGCAACGCCGCCCGCGCCCATCTACCGCAGAGCCCCAAGGCCGCGCTCGAGCCGTATACCGAACTGAAGCAGCTGTCTTTGCGCCTGCGGGAACTCCAGGCCGCCGCCGATGGCGCTGCCGTCCACCTTGTCGCTCATGTCGAGTCCGTCACCGAAGCGCTGTGGGATGAGATGAAGACGACAATGTGGGCTGAGTTGGAGGCTGTTTTGAAAAAGCGCGGGTGGCCCAATGTCGACCCCGAGTCTGAAGTGGACGACGAATGGATTCAATGCTTCGAGAAGCTGGTTGACCTCCAGGTCCCCGAGGTCCTATACTCGCCCACGCTGGTGACGCTTCTTCCCATGGACGTCATGGCACAGATTTTTGTAAAGGAGTTCCGGTTCCACTTCCTGAGCGACAAGCCGACTAGCAACCCGCAGGGCATCAACGCACACTGCTTTCCCTGGTTCCTGTCCCTGCTCGATAAGTGGGAGGTCTTCTTCAGAGAGAACTTTGCTCCCGTCCTGGCAGCCAAGTTCAGCCAGACAGAGGTTTCGAACAAAATGGTCTACATGGATCCCGGGTGCGCATTCATCGCCTCGATGCTACCAGTCATGCGCGAGAAGGTCAGTGTGACCATGGCGGAGGCCGTCAAGGATCCTGCGTTCCTGAGCAGTCTTCTCGGTCAGCTGATGACCTTTGACGATAACATCCGATCTGGGTACAGCTACGACGGAGGTGATTCCGAAAACGGGTGGGAGGGACTGACGGGTGAAGTTTTGAATACGCACTTCAGGACATGGCTCGAGGCAGAGAAGAAATTCGCTCTGGAAAGGTTCAACGGGATCATGACGTCTAATGACGCTCGGAAGATTGACTACGACTTTGCAGTCGCCGGGAAAACAAAACCCACGTTTGCAGCTGTCCGTGTTGCTGATTTGCTGCGGTCGGTAACAACGCAATATGAGAGGCTTAGACGCTTCTCTCATAAGCTTCGCTTCCTGATCGATATTCAACTGGCTATTTTGGACGACTATCATGATCATCTCAAGGGCACACTTGAAGCTTACCAAACGATGACTTCCACGGTTGGCAGAGCCTTTGTTGGCGTTACCAAAGAGCAGCTGGCAGCTCTGGAAGGTACAGGGGCGTTCGAGACCTTGTGTAAGGTGTATGGAAGTGCTGACCACATCATTAACGCCCTACATGACTGGAGCAACGAAGAGGTAAGAAGTGTCGTCTTTGAAAGTTGTCAAGTAACTATGTTAACACCCGACAGTTCTTTGTAACACTATGGGAGCAGCTCCAGGCTCGAGCCAAGGCAAACGAGGACCAGAGCAATCTTGCTGGTGGCATGAGCTACGATCATGTCAAGGATCGCATTTCTTCGGTAGTCGGTACCGAGGATGACAGCGGTGTTCTCTTCGATGAGACCATCTCAGCATATACCATGAGGAGGAAACGTGCCCAGGAGTTTCTCACGCAGACCCTCATTCAAAACCAGAAGAAGGCATTCACCGCCTACCTTAAACGTCCTCAGTGGAGTACTATTTCGGATGAGCCTACCTCTGGCGAGGCATACTACCAATTGGCTCCCACTGCTGAGCTTGATGAGCCTCTCGCAGTAAGTATCTACTTGACTCAGGGCTATAAGCACCTGCTAACAAAAAACCAGGTTCTCAAACGCGACCTCGACTTCCTCTCCCACGCTCTCGGCACCGCCGTCTTCAGGCGCATCTGGCGTGAAGCCCTCGAGGAGCTCAACAACATGCTGTGGTCCGACGTGCTCATGGCCAACAAATTTGCCACATCCGGTGCCGCCCAGTTCAGGCGTGACGTTGATGCCATTTCCTCCGTCGTCGAGCGGTACATCCCTGACGGGTCCAGTGCTCTCGGGAGCATCAAGGAGGCGCTTCGCCTGCTGAACTTGCCTGTTGAAGCGCCAGAGGAGGACAGCAGCGGCAGCAGCAACACCATGACCCTCAAGAAGGCTGTGGATAGGGTCTTCACTGATAATACGGAGGCAAAGAAGGTGTTGGAGGAGTTGGATGTTGAGAGTCTAAGCCCGCCGCATGCTAGGCAGATTTTGCAGAGGAGGGTTGAGAATGCTGAGTGAGGGGGGAGTGTTGTGATACCCAGACTGTGTAAGCATTGTAATGCTACTTTGGAAATAATTTATATCGTTAATGTCTATGGCCCCCATCATTGTCAATGCTGTTGATCATGAAGAGCATGGCGTGAATATCTCGGCTAAATCCGTACGGCGATGAACAGCTGGAGCCCACCGGGTCTGGACCCGTGCGATTCCCAAGCACGGCATCGACCGGGGCGCTTGCATTCGGCCCCACTCCGCCTTCGGGGCCCCGTTACCCCGTATGCGGAGTAGCGTTGGTAAGCAGATGCTCCATTGTTAGGGCGGACCTTAACACGGGGTACATGCACTGGCCGGGTGCCGAATATCGGCCCGTACATCTTTTAAGGGAGGCATTGACGTCTTTGTCCATTGTGACTGTGTACGTTGCAACACCATTTCATCTCTTGAGTCTCATCTCATCTTCAGAAACACACAGACGTGTGAACCAAATTGTCGGGTCATTATCACCGTTTCTGGACTCAAGGTCCCTTCCTTATCTTGGTTTCGGATCTCATTGATAAGATAAAAGAACACTAGTTTAGTCATAGACCGAGGTCTTCCTTCCTTCATCAATCCTCTTTCACCTCTCATCGTCAACTCACTCTGGAGGCGGGTCAGATATCGGCAACGACCAAAAAAAAAAAAAGCAACCATCACAGTTTCTCAAGAAAACCAAGAAACAGAGAAACAATGGCTGCTTCCGCTGCCGATATCGAGTCCCACGACGGCCAGAACGCCGGTCTCCAAACGGCCAAGGATCTCTTCTCCGGCGCCGTTGGTGGTATTGCCCAGGTATTGATTGGTAAGTCCCTTACACTTCCCGGATTTGCTTCACCTCAACTATCTCGAGCCTGCCCTCCTCATAAGTCCCGGGCCTCAAGATGAGTGAGGATGAGCTCAGTTCACCCCCTCTCAAACCAACCGCCCAAAACTAACCTCCCCCCCACCCAGGCCAACCCTTCGACATAGTCAAAGTCCGCCTCCAAACCTCCACCCAATACTCCTCCGCCCTCACCGCCGCCGCCTCCATCTACAAGAACGAAGGCGCGCTCGCCTTCTACAAGGGCACCCTGACCCCCCTTTTGGGCATCGGCGCCTGCGTCTCCATCCAATTCGGCGCCTTCCACTCGGCCCGCCGCTTCCTCGAGCAACGCCGTTCCGAGGGTGACAAATCCTTCATCCCGGGCGTCTCCAACCTGAGTTACGGCGAGTACTACGCCGCGGGAGCCTTCGCCGGCGTCGCCAACTCTGTCATCTCGGGCCCCATCGAGCACGTGCGCATCAGACTTCAGGCGCAACCGCACGGCGCGGGCGCGTTGTATTCCGGGCCGTGGGACTGCGTGCGCAAGCTTTCTGCGCAAGCAGGCGGCGTCTTACCCGGGTTGTACAGGGGTGAGGTGGTGACGGTGTTGCGCGAGGCGCAAGCGTATGGGTTGTGGTTTTTGGCGTTTGAGTGGTTGATGAACGCGGACGCGGCCAGGAACAAGATCGATCGGAAGGAGATTCCTTCGTATAAAATTGCGTTGTACGGTGGACTGGCGGGCGAGGCGCTTTGGTTGGGCAGCTATCCGCTTGATGTGGTCAAGAGCAAGATGCAGACGGATGGGTTTGGAAGCACGCAGAAGTATAAGAGCATGAGGGATTGCTTTGGGCAGACGTTCAGGCAGGAGGGCATGAGAGGGTTTTGGAAGGGGATTGGGCCGACGTTGTTGAGGGCTATGCCGGTTAGTGCGGGAACGTTTGCGGTGGTGGAGATGACTATGAGGGCTATTAATTAGAAGGGATCAGTTCCATTGACTGGGGAATGGGGGTGAGGTATACTAGAGAGCAGAAGAAAGGGGGAATACTTAGGCTCACTCCACTTGAGCCTCGTGGATGGAATTGTGCGAAGGTCATGACCAAGGAAAGGAAAACGGGATTCCATGGATTGGATGGATAGATGGACAGATGGGAAATGGGCTCTTCAACGAGCAGCATGTTGCAATTACAGAACTTCCGGGGATCTTTCAAGGGTTTCAAAAAGCATACGGACCGCATTTAAGGGCTAGAGTTGTTTTGGTTTCAGTATAGGGACAAGAGCAAGAGCAATGGTAAATAATCAAGATGTTTTCGACTCATATGGAACTCCGACATTAATATTTTCCAGCTTATCTCAGAGCCTACAAGCCACATCAAACGGGTCCAAGAATATTCGACCCAAGACAACCACTACTTCACGCATTACATCCTCCGACTACTCCCCCTACTCGCCCTACTCCCACCCGTATAAACACTTCTCTTTTCCTTAGCACCAGCCTTCGCACCGCCACCAGTCAACTGCGCCTGCGCATCCAGCTGAATGGCCTCCTTCAACTTCTCTACCACCTCCGGCTGCGTAGCAAACGCCCCCTCCAGAATCTCATCCAGCTCCCTCTCCAACTGCGTCAAGTTCTTCCCGCCCACCGCCGCCTTCACCTTGGCTTCGTTGAAGATGGCCGCCCACCGCCTGGTAAACGCATAGATGCTCTGGCGCAACAACTCATCCAGCTGCTCTCCCGCGTCTTGTGACTCGGCCGGTGTGGCCGTCGTCGAACCCGAGCCCGAGCCCGAGCCCGTAATGCTACCAGCTGCGCGCGAAAGGAGGGACGAGCCGGGTATGTAAGAGCTAAAAGTCGACACGGAGCTGGAGACCAAGCCGAAGAGGTTGCCGGCGGTTGGGAGGTTCTCCCAGATCTGGCCGAGGTGCTGGATGCTGCCTATGCCTAGACCTGTGGCTTGGCCGGTGCCGGTGCCGTTGCGCACGTCTCCGATCTCGAGGGTGAGGAGCTCGTTCTTGAGAATGAGGAGGTTCTTGATCATGAAGAGGTCTGGGTCGGTGCCGTTTTTGGCGGCTTTGATGCGCACTTCGGCGCGCTGGAGGGCGGCGATGGTTTCGCGGACGAGTTTGAAGATTACTGGGCTGCTGCGTTGCTGGAACGGGGGGGAATTCCCGTGTTAGCTGGGTGATTTCGGAGTTGAAGGGGGAAGGAAGGAAGGAAGGGAGGATCACTTACACATCGCTCTTTGGGCATGGACTGGTCGAACAAAACAAGCAGCTCGATTGCTCTCTTGACCACTGGGAAAGCCGGTGATGATCCGCCCTCGGCGGTACTGGTTACTCCCAGCTTCAGAGCCTCTGGCGGAACGACGGCTTTAGTGATGGATTTTGTGATTTCTGCGTCGAAAAAGCCATCGGTAAATGTCCAGAGATGCTCAGCCAGCAGCCTTGACGTAAGTTCCCTGCAGTGCGCAACAAACGGGGTCTCGTCCTCATCATAGTCCACGAGTAGGTATTCGTTGGTAACCCATCCGACAAGATTGCAGATGGTTTGCAAGTCACATGTCTGCAGCTTGGACTGGAGGTTGGTGGCAATGGGCGCAATGTTGGTGCCCGTTACGAGTGACCGCTGATGCGAGTTAAGGGCAGCGAAGGCCGACTTTTGGTTGGGAGAATATGGTGCTTCTATAGAGAAGATGTTGCGGAAAAGGGTGGCCTCGCTAAATGAGCGTTCGAAGCACTGCTTCACGTAGTTCCTTGCCGCCGTGTCTATCGAGGATTCCTTGCACTCGAGATGGAATGTCGCAAGATCATGCTGGGTTAGAGGCTTGAGGTCGCGGTCTCTCACGACGAAATAGGCGTGGAAGAGGTTGTTGGCTGTGTTGGCAAAGATATCCACGTTTGGCCCAGTCCTGGGCTGGCCATTTTGGTCATATGCCCCCAATATCACTCGCTGAATGTTTGGTATGAGCGAATACGAGTTCATCAGGATCTCCTCAAACCGACCATAAGCCAAGGCATGTCGTGCGGATTCTGACTGGGTGTTTGTGATTTGACGAGCAAGTTCCCCAGACACCTGGTCCAGGCGGTTTGTGAAGCCGACCTCGAGAAGATGTAGGGCCTTGGTTAGTAGCGCCTGGTATCTGGCTTGGTATGTGTCAGCATCCCGATATTGGGGATGCTTGATCATGAACTCAATGCAAGAGTCCAGGTTGGCTAGGATATCGCCAAAGGCATCGTCATCCACAAGGCGGCCTGCACCCAGGGCATTGAGGCGCCGGCTGACATTGTCAAGATAGGCGTAGTAATGCAAATCGGTGCCAACCTCGTCGGCGAGCGTCTGAAGACGCTTCTGCTCCTCCAGCAAGTCGTCGCACTGTGCCTTGAAGGATGTTGTCTGCTCCTCGACGGCTCGGAAAGACTGACACAAACTCTCGAGGGTTTTGAGTGCGCTGTTGGCGTCGTCGATCAGGGTTCCCAGATGTCGTTCCGTCAAGGCGAGTTGGTCATGATACAGCAGATACTCTTGCTGGCTAGCCTGTAGCAGCTCCTGGTTCAGAGCGTCGTCGTACGTGTCTTGCTCCACAGGCAGTGTCGATGCCGCGCTCGCGGGAATCATCAAGGCGTCCCAGAGGTTGTGATTATTGCGCCGCCCCTTGGTCTTCTTCTTCTCCCTCCTCTTGGGTCCTCCATGACTGCCAATGTCGTAGAAGTCCGAATATGATTTCGCCCTGCGAAGAACGGTGGCCTCGGGTGGCGCGTTGACGTCTTCCTGGTCTTCGAAAAGTGCTGGGAGTGGTTCTTCGGGGATGTTGTTGTCGGCCGTCTCCTATCGAGTGGTGATGGTTGGGTTAGTGGCTGTTGGCGGGAAAGTTGAATGGAAGACAAACCTCTGGCTGCTGCAGCAGAGAGTTGGCTCGACGGTGGCGCGTCTTTGCGCCCGATGGTCTGCTCTGCTGCACCTCTGGAGCAAAGCTGTACCAGTGCTCGTCGTACATTTTTGAGGAATTGGATTACCAGTGGTGATAGCTTCAATTCATAATGTCCAGCGCGTGTTGATTCCCCCCTGTTCCCCTATCCCGTCATTCAGGTACGTACCTCCCACTGCAACAGTGAGCTGTCCACTTTTGGGGAAGCGATGGAGATGGACAGTGATTCTTCATGTTTCTTGCACTGTACCCTAACCCGAGAAGTGAGTGCACAGACCTCATCCCTCAATGTTAGTGCTGGGGGCAGCTGTCGATCCGAGCTGAAGCTTGCCTGGACCTCCTCTCACTTCATTGTGGGGTGACCTCACCATTAGGTTCATCTTGCATCTCATCGTGGAAGTTTGTGCTTTAGTGTTGAGTCCTCAGATCACTGCTCCCTATATCTATAGCTGCGCGTGTGGTATTCTATCTGAACCACCAGGCTGTCAAAGAATGAAGAGTTGATTAGTCCTCATAGAAAACGAAGCGCCCTAAAAACGGACCCCGGCACTATCAAGTACTGTATAAATTCCAAGTGGATGCCGCCCATTATCAGTTCTAAACTAACTCGAACTATCAAGTATCAACCAACATGGCTTCCCCTATGATGCTTGCCAGGACCGCCCTCCGGCCCCAGGCCCGGCGTATGACAAATTCGACACAATGGGTACGGAGTATTGGCAGAAGATTCAGGCCCGAGCCGGAACCTCAGCCCGAGAAATCGAATGTCGGCCTCCGCATCCTTACCGCTGTCCTTGTGGGCGGCGTTGCTGCCGGTGCCGCCATGGCCGCGTATCCTATGCTCACCAAGAAGGAGCTCGTCGGACCGGAGAAGGTTGAGATCGTCTTTGAGACGCCCCGGAAACACATCTCCGCCGAGGAGGACCGCGACCAGATGAGCCCCCAGCACGTCCAGGTCAAGCGGAGCTGGGAACATCCCGGTGTTTACGCATGGGGTTCTAATGCCGGTAAGGTCGTTGCCCCGGACTCCGACGAGCCTGTCATCAAGACCCCAAGGCGCATTCACTACTTTGATGATCAGATCCTGCGCGATCTCAAGCTGGACCGCAACTTTGGCGCCGCCATCGATGAGAAGGGAAACCTGGTCCAGTGGGGTATCGCCTTCGACAAGGACCACTATACCCCGACTGTCACCTTGAAGGGCAAGGACCTGGTCAAGCTGGACATCTCCCGCGACCATATCATTGGTCTTGCCTCCAACGGAGAAGTATACTCTATCCCGGTGGCCGCCGCCGATCAAAGATCTGGCCAGAAAGAGGCCAACTCTTCCTCCCTCTGGTCCAGCCAGTCAGCCATCAACTTCCGTTCCCTCACGCCCAAGAACCTGAAATGGGGTGAAAAGATTGTTGATGTCCGCAGCGGCTTGGATCACTGCCTGATGCTGACCTCCAAGGGCCGTGTCTTCTCTGCAGCCTCCAGCTCTGAGGAATTCCCTTCCAAGGGTCAACTTGGCTGCCCCGGCCTGACATGGACCAACCGCCCGGCGGGACCTTACGACCAGCCTCACGAAGTAACCGGTCTAAGCGGTTCCAACATCAAGGAGATCGCCGCCGGCGACTTCCACTCGCTCGCCCTCGACACCGAGGGCCGCATTTTCGCCTTTGGCGACAACTCCTTCGGCCAGCTCGGCTTCGAGAACGACACCGAGCACCCTTACGTCGACTCGCCCCGCCCCTTGCCCATCAACCAGCTCTACCACGGCACCAGCCTTCGGCCCAAGGCGACCTCCATCGCCGCCGGCGGCCTCAACAGCTTCTTCACCGTCGACGCGCGCGCCTTCCAAGGTCAGATCGGCGACAAAAGCCAGATCGTGCCCGCCAAGGACCTCGGCCGCGTCAACGTCGAGACCTGGGCCTGCGGCGAAGGCATCCACGGCGCCCTGGGCACCGGCAAGTGGACGCACGTCTCGGTTTGCCCGACCAAGGTCAAGGCGCTCTCGAACCTGTTCGAGTTCGACGAGGCCACGAACCAAGTCGTGCCCATCCGCCTGTCCCGCATGTCGGTCGGCAGCGACCACGCGTGCGCCGTCATGGATAATGTCACCTGCGTCGACAGCGCTGCCAACGGGAACGCCAAGTCGGAGACGGACACCAACTTTGGCGCTGACGTGCTGTGGTGGGGTGGGAACGAGCATTACCAGCTTGGTACCGGAAAGAGAAATAACGTTAACACGCCTTCTTATATCGCACCGCTGGATACGCCTGCTCATCGTGGACATGGGCACGGGCATGAGAACCGGCTGGTGCAGAGGGAGGGAGAATCTAATCGCTTTCAGTTGACGCCGAGGAAGACGGTCAAACTGGATGGTGGGAAGGGAAGATCGGTTAGTGTTGAGCAGCGCGCGGAGTGCGGACGGGACGTTAGTGCTGTTTACTCTGCTGCTTGAGGCAGGTAAGTGGAAATGGGTGTGGCGAGTGTATGATAGGTACGGGCAGTTTCGGCATTAGTTTGACGAGAAGTGTTGAATGCGGTACCGACCGTGTATGTACGTGTATATGTTACAAAAGGGGTGAAGTTATTGGCCCAGTCTGGCAGCCAAGGAGTTGTGTATCACTACCTTTCTCAATCATAGCATTGTATAATAACCAACTTGCTATGGAATCTCCCATGACATTGTACAAGTGTGAGTGTGACTCCGAAGCGTCCTCGGAAACTGCTCCTCTGCTACCCAGCAGTCTTCCGAACTCTATTCGATCAATCAGTCCATGTCCCATCACGAAGTTCTCTTTCGATGCCGAGCAAGTGGTCTATGTGTGTTTACACCAGGACTTTCTCTTGAGCACAGTATCTGATATGTAGCTCTCCCTTTTCGATCACTTTCTCTCTCACAGCTTTTACCAATATTGTCGTCCGTTCTACAAACCAAAATCATCAATCATGCAGGCGTTGCCTTACATCAATCCTAATTTACCACACCGACACTGATAGTTTTCAAAGGAAAATAAGGGCTTCGTCCCTGAGTGAGTATGTTGCTTGACTCCTTACTAACCTGTTTCTTACATGTATTATACTTAACATACTTGTATCTCTAAGCCGTAACTAACTACTCGCCAACGCAGCCATAACACAGTCTGAATTCATTCGAGGACCATGAATCCGCACGCACACCTGTCTTCACACGCCGTTTAACGTTCGTTACTACTAAGCTTGACAAGTAAGTTAACAAGCTGTTAAGCCGCTGATAAGGTAAGCCGCTCGCTACATATACTGTAAGCTGTAAGCGAAGCAAAGCTCACAACAACCGTCGTCTGTCTCTGCCCACTTTGCCAGTTACTAGTTGTCACCGTGGTCGTCGCCGGGGGCGTCACCCGTGAAACCCTCATACAGTACCACAGTACTATCATCGTATTAACCCCGCGGCCCGCGCATCCCATTGTCCCACGATGCTCCCCCCGCGCCCGTCCGCAGTTCTCGTCTAGGGGCGTGTTCGGCAAACCTGGAAATGGCCTTCTGAAATGGAAATCTGGAAATCTGGGGGGTGGTGGTCCGTGTGCGGTACTTCGAAGTAATTTGGGCTAATTTTTTGCCAAAGTCACTCTTCCGGTGTACCCTCTAATAATTTCTAGCGATTTTCAAGCGTTCATTCGACTTGGAAATAGTTTAGCACTTAATTTATTCTACTTTTCTAAATACGAACTTTGTAATTAATCTAAAAAAGTCTTGGCGGGCTAAATTTTAAAAAGTCGATTTTAGTACATTTAAAGTTTTAAAATATTTTTTTAAAATACGCTCTAACTACTTTAATAACCTTTTATATCTCCTACCTACTAAGAAATTTTAGAAAGCCTATTTCTAAATTTACCGAACACGCCCTAAGTAGGTAGTATAGTAGATATAATCTAGTATTTTACCTATAGTTTAACGATTTCCCTTCCTTTATACTATAGAACCGGATTATTTAGTATAGTTAGAGCGTATTGGGCAAACTTAGAAATAGGCTTTCTAAAAAATTTTAGTACGTGGGAGGTATAAAAGGTTATTAAAGTAGTTAGAGCGTATTTTAAAAAAAAATATTTTAAAACTTTAAATGTACTAAAATCGACTTTTTAAAATTTAGCCCGCCAAGACTTTTTTAGATTAATTACAAAGTTCGTATTTAGAAAAGTAGAATAAATTAAGTGCTAAACTATTTCCAAGTCGAATGAACGCTTGGAAATCGCTAGAAATTATTAGAGGGTACACCGGAAGAGTTACTTTAGTAAAAAATTAGCCCAAATTACTTCGAAGTACCGCACACGGACCACCACCCCCCAGATTTCCAGATTTCTATTTTAGAAGGCTATTTCCAGGTTTGCTGAACACGCCCTTAGTCTAGGTATAGTGTACACCAGCGACGGGATACTACCATTGCAAGCGCTAATCACAGCTAGCTACCTACCATACAGCCATGACACACCATCACAGATAGTGATAGAATATCGACGCGGCCTTATGGACATTGTATCGCATGAGCTGACCTTATTATAAGACAAAAAGCAAAGGCTACGGAGCATATTCTCCGCGTTCCCATCTTCTAGCTGTCTATCCAACGTGCAGTAAAAAGTGGCTGTCTAAAGCGGCAACCAAAAAAATGAGGGTATTCCCACTTTTCACTCTTCCTACTAAGTAAGGTAGCCTTGATTGATGCCACGTGCGTTCCAGACCCGGAACGCTGGATTGTTTACTTCTGTTCCACGCTCCGTGGTAGACGACGCTATTCAACATATATTACAGGATCACTTATTGACATTGGTTTATAGTGTACACTTCCGAGTTCTGCCTAGTAAGTAGAATATTATCTACTTTTTGGTAGTTTGGCTTACTAGGTATATGTATCCTAGCCTGTTATAGTATGTTCTGCTTAACAGTGGGGAGGTTAGGGGTTTAATTCCTCATAGCGGACATGTTGAAGGCTGGTTTTAAGTGTCTCCAACCACGGCGCTCAGTTACGAACCTAGAGCACAGGCTGTGGGAAGATAGGATTTACGAAAGAATATTGCTAACGGAGCCGTTATGTCCTAGATCCCCTATTGAAACTATTGGTTTAGGTAGTGCTATAAGCCATTATATTGTGACAATAAATCCTTCGCGATATCGTCGCCTCCACTTGGGTTAGACGGAGCCTTATTTTGAAGCCTAGCTTCGCTTTAAGGGGAAGTAGTGTCACAGGATCACCTATTAATATTGGTTTATAATGTGCACTGCCGAATTCTGCCTAGCAAGCAGAATATCGTCTACCTTTTGGTAGTTTGGCTTACTAGGCATATACACCCTAGCCTGTTATAACATGACAATAACTGCACTACACCATTCACATGACACTGCTGCCTTGAGGAGGCTCGTTGGTGTGTGTGTGTACCTCCCCTCAACTCATCACAAACCTGGGGGGGTTCTGAAGCAGAAGACCGAAAAGCATCGGCCCAGAATCCAGAGTCTAGACCGAGCAGAACCGGATTGTTTACTCCGCTCGCCTGCTCCTCCGGCAACGTCGACGACAGCAAGACGACGACGGCAACAGTGACGAGAACAGTGACGATGCCTCTCACGGCTTCACGACCCAAAGATCGAAGATCAATAATCAATAATCAGCAGCCACCGTGCCGGTTCGCTTGAAGCCGTGCCGGATGACCAAGCTAGCTGAGCCCGGGACCCGGGATCTGGACCCTGGATCTGGACCTGCAGTAGGGTACCTAGTGCATCAAGTGGTTACCTAGTCAGTAGTCAAACAGGAGGATCGCTGAGCCGCCTCGGCCTCTTAGCCGCCAGCCAACGTCTGTCGATCAAATTCACCACCACTTCCATTCCCACACCACGCCTATGCACTCGCTTTAGCGAAGTTGATGGAGGCTGGAAGGCGACAACGAAAAGGGCTTGATTGTAGTTGTCTAACGGAAGAGGAGAAATGGAAACCAGGGCAGCCTAAATACCTGGAAGGGAGTGCCGGTAATGGAACGGCCCAGTGAATGGGCAAAGCCGGTGAATGGGCGGCCCAGGGCACGGACTTCCAACAGAAGTACACTACCGTACCTCTTGGTACCTTCGCCATTGCATGTCTGGCCAGGAACATGTGAAAGTATTCGCCACCACGCCACCACCACGATGCTCCCTTTCGCGGCTCAGCGCGGGTATCAGGGGCCGGGAGTCACGGGGGTAACTTACCCATGCGAGCCATGCGCCCGGGCCGGTGCCCCTAATCCCGGAGTTTACTGTGGTAGCAAGGGTAGCTAGCTCGGGAAGATTTTGTGTTCCGAAAAGGAAAAAAAAAAGAAAGGAAGGGAAAAAGGGACGAACATCTTGATGCTCACATGGAATACCATTGGGTATCGTTACCGCCTCACACCGCCAACGCCAACGCCAACGCCAACGCCAACGCCGACGCCGACCCGTCCTGACACACGGTGCCGTTCATTGCCGTCGTCCAACGGCCGGTCGGTTGGGCCCGTCGCTATCCTTTCTCTTTTTTTCAATTCTTTTCGCCACGCACCTATCCGCGGGTGCTGGAGATTTCCGCATCCCGTCAGCCCCTGTGAAAGCCCATCCGCAAATCACCGTACCCACATGCCTGCTTAGGTACTGAGCTACTGCATGATTGACAGATCCGGACACGGGACACGAATTTGGTCCGGTCCCGCTTCTTTTGCCGCCGTTGTTCCTTCGAAAATGGATGTTTGTGGGTGTTCAGGCGATACGTAGTGCACTGTGGGAGCGTAGCGTAGTGTAGTGTAGAAAGTGTACCTAGCCCGCTCGCATTGGAGCTTGGCTACCCGCAAGCATGGGTTTCGTAAGCTTGCTAAGATGTTGATAAAGGCTGACGATAGACGTTCCCGAACGTCTGGGCGCAGCAATCGCTGCTTCGGGGCCGCGGAGCAGTTTGGTTCTATTGTTTGATCGTCAATCGCTAATGTGAGATGCCTAAAATTCTCCGTTAATTTCCTGATCGTGTAACTGCAAGCAATAGGAGACTCCGGAGGATGAGGCAAATGAAGCCATTCGCAATGCTTGAGATGGGACGTGGAAGTGGCGAAAAACGGGATCATCATCATTTTACCATCCACACCCACTTGGCGATTTTCTAGCCCTCTGGGCAGGCATCCACTTGCAAAAACCGAGCTAACATTCTATATCCATGCAGAGGTGTACACTTGTACACACATACCATCAGCTCACGGAGAAACAGCGGCCGCAGTCAACTGGTCGAGAGCAGATGAAGATGGACCGGCTGTACAGTAATGGCATCGGGCCAGTCGGTACCACAAAGCTCGCAAGGTTCCTAGGTACCAAGGCTACGTATCTTGAGCTGGTCTCAGGGATCTCAGCTGAAGTTGGTTATCAGGATGGCGAAAAAGCATTCGAGTAATCGAGTGACGAGTCTCGCCAGAAACGGTACCGAAGGCGGCAAAATTGTCTCATCGGTGTGGTCTCACATGGTGAGTGACAAGCATATAACCATCCCACGGAAAGGTTGGGGTGACATGAAGAAGACGAGGAGCGAGCAAGGGAAAAGACAGCGGTGGTGACTGGAAGCTTTGCAGATCCTGATCGACGGACCATCGAGGGACGGCCGACGCATCGAGGGACCATCGACGACGGCCACCGCGGGCTGGTTGGCTAGGGGCACACCAGTTAACTGTCTTTTCTTTCTCGAGATTGACCACAGAGCCGCAGTATGGTAGGGGTCTTCGGCTGGAATTTTCCTACTGTGTGTTACAGTGTGCGGCTCCAAAACACCATGTGCTACCACCATCGACACCGAGACCACCCAGATATTTTTTTCATATCAAAAGCTATTCTTTGCTGGACATGGTTGTATTATCCATATTGTGAACTGGCTTGGCTTGTTAGCTGTCAAGGGAACCATACCTATCAACGATAGTTGTTGCAATACGTTGTGCAAAAAAGGAATCCCACAGCCAACATTGACTGACACCCGCATCGACTGCCTTGGGTGATATTTTCCCGTGCGGGTTGGAAGGTTGCCATTTTCGTCTTTTCAGTAATTGTTTGACTAACACGGAAACCCTTTTGGCCTTTTCAAGCCGTTGAGGAATGTCATCCAAGGGAGGCGAATATGACTGTAGCGACAAGGTCAAAGGATGCCCGGAGCACCGGAATTTCATGACATGAAGTTTGCGCGCATTAGGTTTGGTCTTAAACGGCATAGGGATGTCTTGCTGCCTATGTGTTTTTCGTCCGTTCTTGAGTAAGGTTATTGCGAATTCGAATATGGTTGACATGAGATGACAAATAGAAGAGCGAGACTGTACTTGTAAATGATGGGATGAGGGTAGAGAGGGGTAAAGGTAAAGTTGAACCGCATCGCCGATGGCCGTTCGTGCTGGCATCCCTGTGTTTATACCAGTGTAGCTGTGTTGGTGTCTGATATTGGACCTCACTGCAGCCTCCTTCCAAGACACCTGGTTTACCTACCTAGCAACCCCCTAACATTCTGCGAAATCAAACCCTCAGAAGACCACCAAACTACTTTTTCACCATCAGACTTTGTTCGCTACACTCGAAGCACATGTTTCTTTCGATATCTGACATTGCTGCCGTCGTCCCAAGTGTGTGATATGGGAGAAAGGTGACGTCACGCGAGGTATTAGCTTGGCACCAAGGCATGATACCTAAGGGTCTAGACCTGTCTAGGCACGGCTGGCCGCGGCTGTTCCTAGACGGTACAACTAGTGGGTGTTTACCAGTTGCAGAGCACCTGTGCATGCTGTAAATAGCAAACCGTTACCGTAATTCTAGCAACTGATGAAAGTTGCAGGGACCATCGCAGCGGACGCAACTGCGCTTTCATGTTTCCAACGTTCATGGCTCCCGCGGTTTTTCGCAAACAGTGACAAAAACTGAACTGGCATGATAGTATGACGCGGAGGTCGCTCGTTGTGTGTCCTTTGTGCCGAAAGTGAGGGTCATGATATTCACGACTCCTGAATGACAACAGAAATGAGGAGACAACATCGAGATCACCCGGCAGGTGGTTGGAAAGACGTTGAAGATCGACGCGGGCTCGGGAGAGAGCTGCAGTTGTCACCAGCTGCGGCCGGGTTGCCACACTTCAGCCAACCTTGCCTTAATATATGCCCAACACATCTTATCAGAGTATAGGGGGCTACGCTGAATAGCTGTTACTGCACCCATAGCTGACTTTCTTCCACTTACTGCCCGACCATCAGATCAAAACGCATGACGAACGGTTGGAAAGCTGCTAAAAGCAGGTACCGCCTGTACAACATGAGAGGAACATGGTGCGCCAGCCGAGAATGAGCTCTCCATGTTGTCGTTGAAAGAGAGAGCCTTGGCGATACCTGCCGGACATAGTGGCCTGAATCTCACCACCAAAACTCGAGGCTCGCGGTCTCCCGCTGAATCTCAAACCTGCTAGATACGCCAAGTTTATGCAAAACCGTTGAAACCCATGGCGATTTCGCGGGGCATGTTAAGAACAGTTAAGGGTTCAACTCCTCCGCTCGCCATGTGCAGCAAACCGTTTTCCGCTCCGCACACCTTGTGAGGTGATTTGTGAAGGCATTTTGGGAACCGAGTTTGTTGGGGTGCCGCGACTCCCGTGTTGACTTTCGTGGGCGATGGAGCGAAGCTTGTCCTGCTTGTGCCCACCCCCTGAGGTTCCAGAGTTTGCCCGGGCAACCAGTACAGTGCTGTTGCCGCCGGAACGCCGATGACACTGCAAAAGTGAGATCTGGAGGCTCAAGATACTTTCGGTCGAAGCCCCACCACCGCGACCACCGCGCCCACCTATGCCACCTTCCCGCCAGGCTGTTGTGGACAAGTTTAGCGCACCCCTGCGAGCTATGACGTTAGATGTGGGACATTTCTCAATAGTCCCACCCCGCGTGGCGTTACCGGTGGAGATGCGCAACAATCCTGAGCGCGGCCTGTGATCCCCATAACCGACCAGATGGGTGGGAATAGAGGCACTTTTGGCCAGCAACTGCGCTCCGAGTTCGCTCCCTCACGTTTTTGTGGAAGCATCCAAGATTTTGCGAGTCACGCGCAGGGACCCTATTGCTGGTGGTGGCTAGCTCTCGCACGGTCGTTGATCAGGTTGGATTCCAGGGGACCATGATTGAAACGAACCATGCGAATGTGCTAGGGGATTCCAGACGAGGTTATTACGGGCTCCGTCGGCGGGGTTGAAAAAAAGTGAAAGCTCCTGGTCAGCGCGGCATATATCGAGCGAGCGAGTTGCCAAAGAGTGAATGAGGGCGAGTGAGCCGTGGCGTGTGTTCCTCTCAACTGGTCGTTGGTGTGCGTGGTGGGTTAAGAGGGAATCAAAGTTTATCGAGCCGGGTGGGGTGAACAGAGTGAGTCGAGGTGTTCCTGGCCTCTAACAAAGAACACCTGAGCTCTCTCCACCTGACGCTGACATCGTCGGCCCTGTACGATGGCTTTTCGGCAGAAACAGGAGAGAAAAATCGGTCAATTGAAGAAATCAGGAGCGAGAGCTGCTGGCCATCTCCCTGGGCGGCATCATCGTGAGGGTTTTGGGGCGGCGCAAGTGAGGGTCAAGTTGGTCTGGTTGGGGAGGGCAGCGGGCCTAAAGTACCTCTTGTTTCTCTCATGAGCGGACAGCAACCGGCCAATCAGAAGACGGTCGCAGAGGACCCTGAACTTTTCGATCCCCTCGATCCCCTGGAGCCTGGGCGAGGGTGAGGATCGGGGCGATTCCTGTGCATCTGTGGGAAAGTGAGCAGAGCACGACGCGTGCCTCTATTCGCGACCAACGTAAGTATGTGCTCCGGTCCAGTCCCCTCCTAGCCCTCCCCTTCCCACTGCCCCAGTCAGAATCCCTACTCTTATGCAAAAACGGCATTGGATGAATCGTTTTGATTACAAAACTACACACCCGCACCTCACTCACCTTACCGCTCACGAACAACCCGACCCGAATTCGATACCATCGATTGCCTCGGGGTAGTCGCTAGTTCACTCAGTCTCAGTTCAGTGTACTTTGTTAGTACCTCTCACCCCATCCTGCCCTGGCACCTCATCACAAGTCGGGCCCCCTGGTCCCATCCACCCCAGAGGACCCAGAACGTACCTAGCAGTGTGGCGGATTGACAGGCCCCAACATTGGCCTGTTAAGGTACCTGTAGCCCACGCCAAAAGAGTCCAAAAACTTGGCTTTATTGTCATTTCTCGGTTTATCCTGCGATAACTGCAAATCCGAACGAAACCGTCTTTGCTGCATCGCATCCACTTCACACACCAACGGAAACCCTCGCTGCAGAAAAAGTAGCACTTGTCCAAATCTTCATGTCGAGCGCCCGGGCCTGACCTCCAAAGGAAACTCCAGGGGACCGCCGATCTTTCCTGAATTTTGGCCTGGCCATTGCGACCATACCACCGATTCCCACGACGAGTCGACGACCCTCCTCTATTTACCTTCAACACCATTCCGCCAACTGGACCAAGGAAAGCTCAAAAATAAAGGTAAATCCGACTCAACTTTGCCCATCGCATTGCCCCATTCGTTTCCCACCTGTTCCTCTCTTCCCCATCCCATCCGACAAGCTCCCCTTTTCCCTTTTCTGAATCAGGAACACTTCCGGACCTGTCAGCTACCCACGGCATCTTACCCGCTTGTTGCCTGTCTTGCCCGGACCACCTCACCGGCGTTCATGTCCGTCTCCGCGAGCTTCTGACTCGACCCTCTCACTTGGGTTTTCAACACCTCCCCTCCCCACCGTTCAATGCCCTCGTTCTGTTTGTCGCTTTTATCATTCCCTGCCTTTCCGCCTCCGTGTCGACTCCCCATACCCAACAAAACATCTCGCCGAGTTAGCGCAAGACCGCCGCTGCTTGACCGTATCTCAAGGAGTCCGGACATCGTTCCGCCACCACCTCCGCTCTCTCCCGCCCATGTTTGTTGATTTTGGGACTCTAATCTCGATTGATCCCCGTTCTAGCGTCCTTCTTCACCATGGCGCCACTGTCCCGCCGGGGAGTGCTTCCGACACACTCGGGGCGCTTTCTTGCTGCCAACCTCCAACCTCATTAGTGCTTTGACGGAGAAAATTTTGCACCGTTGTTGCTCAGTTTTCTAACTTAGCTTGCTCGCTCTTTAGACACCCGAGACACCCCCCCTCTGCCTGCCGGTCTGCGGCTTCCATAGTCACAGGCTTTGAGGGCATCCACCCAGCCCAAGTGTCGTAAGGACACGCACACAGCCGTATCATGAGAAGTCCCCACAAGCTGCTCGAACGTGAGTTGCATCGCAGTCGCCTGACGAAGATCTGATAGGGTGAACATGGCGGATAGTGGGGATAAATCACAGGGCATGCGCCCGCCACCCTTTGACAGCCGTGGTCACCCCCTACCCCGACGTGCTTCCCCAGACAAGTCAATAACACTTCATAATCACCGCCTTGCGCGAGATGCTAGCAGCAGAGTTACTTCATCTTCCGCACTGGGAGTGACCGAACCCCAACCCCAACCCCAACCCACGAGCTCGCCCACTCGAAGGTCGTCTGGAGAGAGCAACGATACTGGCCAGAGTGACCCCAAGAATTGGTTTGATCAATCCAATCGTAACCCTGTCGCGGCCTTCAATGACGAGAGCCCCAGTATGGAAGTCGATCCTCCTTTTTATCAGAAGGAGACCGACTCCTCTAACGAGGAATCCAGGTATCCGCCTGGACGAAACCCCCCATATCCGCCCGGTGGTACCCAGATGCAAGGGTTCCGCCCGGCTGCTGCGCACAGCACTGCCGCCGATGACTTCCGCAGTGTCATCGACGACTTGACTGTCGAAAACAAGCGGCTAAAGGAGGAACTAAAGAGGTATAAGCAGTTTGGTTCCGACATGATGAGAAAGGAGAAATTGTTTGAGATCAAGGTACATGGGTTACCTAAACGAAAGAAACGCGAATTGGAGGCAACGCTCCGCGACTTTGCTGCTAGTCTCGGGGACTCGAGCGAATCGACATCGCGGAGGAAGACTGGAAGACACGGAAAGGTATCGTTGTCCAAACACGACTCGTCATCTTCGTCGCGCAGTCGTCCTGTCGATTCCGCGTACGCCACCATGTCGACGGGCCGTAGCTCCCATGCGCCTCACTCCTCTGGTCCGTCGCTCGGACGACCTTCGCTGTCCAGGGCAAAATCAACGTCGTCCCAAAAGGTAGAAAGCTACCTACGCGACACGCCCGATGGCCTGCTTCCCCATCATATTGTGATGACCGACAAGGAGAAGAAGAAGCTGGTTGTCCGACGCTTGGAGCAACTGTTCACCGGAAAGATTAGTGGACGAAACATGCAGCGCAACCAGTCCATGCCGAGTATGGATGCAGCACTCGTGTCGGAAGGAACGACCATGGCACCTCCCCGCCCCCCTCCGGAAGGATTGCGCGAAGCTTGCATCCAACTACAGGATGGAGAAAATCCGCAGAAGGTCCGTTTCTCCAAAGACAATGCATCTGCATCCAACTCAGGTGGCGATCAAACCGAACTCGGCGGAACTGGGACTGGAAGCGGAGATGGAAGTGGAAGCGACGGTCGAACTGGCAACAACACCTCGCCTCCGGGAGCCATTGCGCCGGACCAACGACCAACCAGGCCCCGCGATCTGGACCCGGACCGAGTCCAGATACCATCCGAGAATATGGACTACATCCGTCATTTGGGCCTGGTATCTCCCGAATTCTTGCAGGGAAGCCGGACCAGCTATCAAGATGTCGCTCCGGATGCGGAAGGCTGGGTGTACCTCAATCTGCTTTGCAACCTCGCCCAGCTGCACATAGTTAGCGTAACGCCGAGTTTTATTCGCCAAGCTGTCTCGGAAAAGAGCACAAAGTTCCAGTTGTCCTCTGATGGTCGGAAAATCCGCTGGCGTGGTGGAACCGATGGAACCAAGTTCAGCAGCGACAGCAGTGAGGACAAGTCCCAGAAAAGCCCCCTGACGGAAGATACCGAAGACGGTTCGGATGAGACTGGTCGGAGGAAGAAGCAGAAGACGCAGCAGGCGCGTTCGGAGATTGGGAGGTTCGGTCCCTCAAGGTCACCTTCGGACACCTTTCATTACAAACCGATGTTTGTACACCGCCATTCATCCTCGGTCGAGACCTCTTTGGAGGAGTCGGCGTCACAAGGCTCGGAGGATGGCGTCGATGAGAGCAACCTGGGTAACTCGAAGTGGGACTTTAGCGGATCGGGGACAACGCAACAGCGGAGGAAGCGTCGATATGACGGCGCCATCGTTTACTACACCGGCGTTCCATTCTGCACCGATCTTTCAGGAGACCCTGGCGATATGTCGCCAACAGCGCAAATGACGGCTACCGGCCGCGAGCTCGAAGGATCCGGATCTGGTGACGAAACTGAACATGTGCTGCAGCGGACGTTGTCTGGATCGTCTCTTCCCGTCAGGCCGCTCAGTGATGACCGTGCCCGCGTGGCCGAGGCATTGGATTTTGACCCCGAAAACGCGCCTGATCTCGTGGCTGACGACGGGTTCTCGCCAAACGACGAGGATTTCGTCTTCCCTTGGTGCGAGGATCCTGACAATATTCAAATTCAGCCTCTTGCCAAAGAAGTCATGGAGCCCTCTGGCCTTGGTGGAGTACTTCCTGATGACCATTTTGCCATGTTCGTCACCACTCGCCGCGTCGTCAGACCTATCCTGCAGCGGCACTTGTCACGCTCGACGACATCGGAAGACACGGCCGATATCATCGCCGAACGCTTGGCATCGATTAGAACGTCGTCGCCTTTGCCTCCTCGCAGTCGCAGTCTGACTGTTGCACCGATGCAGATCGAATACGTCTCTGGGGAATTCCGACGGCTGAACCCAGCCCCACTACCTCCGCCGGCGATATTCTATCCCCCGTTCAGCACCGATTCCAGCTGGGACGACGGCGACGATCTCGCTTCGGACGACGAAGAAGTGGAGGAAGTAGAGGAAGATTCTTTCTCGGAAGGGCAGATTTCGCGCCGAGCAAATCCTCATTTTTCGGACAACAATACGTATATGCGGAAGGACGATTTGGTGTTCGATACCGAGACTGATGTGCGGATGGACAGCGACGATAATCGGATGTCGGACAGCGGCCTCAATATGCGGTCGGTGACGCCGCGGACGGCAGTGGACGGGGACGACAGCCCACTGGCAGCCGCCATCGGAAAAGATGTGGACATGCTGCACACTGGCAGCTCGGTTGCAACCGCTGGTGGGGCAGAGAGCGGCTATAGTAGTTCGATGGAGGACGAGGGTGAGACCTGAGTGTATTTTTCCCTATGTGAGAAGACGCAGAGAACACACGAACGGAAAGGGAACGCATTGCGGCTGGTATCAGGAAAACAGGTACCGGTATTCTCGAATTTGTGGCTTTGGCGAGCGAGCGGGTTTTCTCCAGCGCGCGGTTCTTTGCTTTTGCCATTTTTGGGGAGTTGCATTGTCGATTTTCGGGGACTCGATACGTATGGATATCCGACGGGGACCTGGATCCCATGAATGGGGCCATGCCGGGTGGGTGGAGGGAGGGGTGGGTTGGGTTGGAGACTTTTTGAGAGTTTGGGTTAGTGTTGTTTGGATTTGGATCGCTGTGGTTTTCTTGCTTCCTCGTTGACGACTTTTTGTGAAAAAAACATACCTCTTTCTAAATATGTATCAACGGATCGCAGCAGTAGCAGAAGGCCGGTGACATCAGTCGCAACAGGTACACACGTGAAACCACGATCGGACTTGGTGGCAGGTCTGATTGGGTATGTATATAGGATTGGAAAATGAATCGATTAGTTGTCCCCACGATGGCCTCGCTGCCGGAACGTTTTGATGATCGAGCGATAGTCGTGGATCGTAACGTCAGGCGTAGGACGTGCACCAGGACCCTCAGCGCATTATCAGCAAGCCCCTGATTATCCAACGCTTGGGCGGGCTACATACAGTATCAGGGTCGCTATCACGGTCCGACGGTGGGTTGTTTGTTAGCTTGGATCTTTGAATGAGGCCATCGCCAACAGTTCTAAAGCCCACAAAGACATTTACAAATGTCTCAAATTAATGAAAAAGACAATCTTTAAAGCTAGGACTTGACACAATCATCTTCATTCAACGCCTTCTTTACCCAGTGTAACACACATGCTCGGGCCAAACCGCCTGGAAAACTTGACATGAGGTCTCACACTAACAAAACTTTCCAGAGGTGTATGGTACTGTACGCATGCACACTATGCGTGCTCCACTTTTACGGAATCGATTCGACTCGCTCCTGGCTGCAGGCGGGGGAGCGAGCTCAGCGAGGTGCGGGCGGGCAGCTCTTGGGGTTCCATCCATGACCATACAGGTATCGCACCTACCGCTACGTAAACAACGAGCTTTGCGAGAACCAGTCACGCAAGCTCCCACCTTGATCGGTCTTTTCCCCCTTACAAACCGACATGTGAGGTCCATACTCAAAATGGCAACCAAAGGAAAAGAAGTAGAAACTGCGGGTCGGTAAGTTGTCGAGCTACCTCTACCCTACCTTGGCACCAAGAGCTTAAGTTGGGCATGCTACCTCTACATGGTATCAAGACAAACAAACAGTCTTGCCCCTCCTGAACGACGAATCCCATGCGATGCCCCTAACTTCGACAAGAACCAGATGTGCCATGGCTCGAAACATTGCTAGCATAGCCTAGCCTACATTACCTATAGAAGCACAAACAAAAGCTGACCTGCTGCTTCCTGTTCCGCCAAACCTACAGTGATGCCACGCCCGCGAACCCCCGAGGCATTCCCCAAGCGCCCTTCGTCGACAAGGTCGAGGACTATGTCACGTCTCGCGCGGACGTCGAGCCCACCCTGAGGCGGTTCCAGGAGTTGATCGCCAAGTACCAGTTCATGGAGCAGAACCTCCAGCGACGAGTGGTGGGGTTGAAGGACAAGATGCCGGATATTCAGAAGACGTTGGATACGGTGCGGTTCTTGCAGATGAGAAAGGTACGATACGACGCACTCTGTCTTCAGGACACGCGGGAATACGGGCTATACAGCTAGTTATACGGCGGTGGACAGATTACATATGCGCCCGGGTAGTTCTTGGGGGGCAGGGAAAAACATTTTCAGTACCGGGGGCCAGAGGACGAGGATGAAACAATGGGATGGATCGATGGGACAACAATACCGACACACGAACGAGACAGACGCTGACAAGAAACACGCTTTTGCCTTGGTTTACAGGATGAAGAAGACCCGATCGAAACCACATTCGAGCTCAACGAGACTCTCCACGCCACGGCCAAGATCCCGCCCACGGACGAGGTGTACATCTGGCTCGGCGCCAACGTCATGCTGTCGTATCCCATTGAGGAGGCCGAGCAGCTACTGGACTCGAAGCTCAAGGCTGCGACGCAGAGCTTGCAGAACTGCGAGGAGGATTTGGATTTCTTGAGGGAGCAGATTACGGTACGTGACGTGTTGTCGGTAACCAACCTACCTTCCAAAGGACATGGAGAGGCAGGGAATGGTGCATGAGAAAGAGGAGGAGGAGGATGAGGAGATGGTGGTTCTATTACCGATCCTGGGGAATACTTGCTAACCTAAACGATTGCGCCAGACGATGGAAGTCGCCGTTGCGAGAGTCTACAACTGGGACGTCGTGCAGAAGCGGAAAGAGAAGGAGGAAGAGGAGAAGACAAAAGGAAAGAAGAGCGAGACGGCGTCGGACGGTTGAAGAAGGAGATTAGGTTTAATAAACAGAGCGAGGATATAATGCACCATCACGATGCCCTTGGGAACGAACGACGGTTGAAGAAGAATGTCCGGAATAGCGAGGCCGGCCGAGGCTGCTGGCCGCCATCATGCGAGACGAGGTTCACGATGGCTCCTCGGTAAGTTGGACCTGATTTGAGAGCAACATTTTAACGAACGACACATCACAGATATTCCGCGTCGTATGCGCTCAGCGAACATTTTGTTCACAAGAAAACAAGCAAGGGCCACGCAAGCGGTTGTCGTGTTGATGAGACCGAAGTGGGACTGGCGAGATGAGGTTCGCTCTGGTCTGGGTCAAGGCTACGACATCAAGAGATTAAAGAGTATTTTAGTTCGGCGGCCTCCAGTATATACAGCCTCATCATCAAGGCACGATGACTTCGCGTATTTCCCGCCTGGGTTCTTGGTTGTGGGAGTTACCGTCAACGCACGTGTAGACTTATACGGGCGATCGCCAGGATGTCTCAGTATTTGGGTTGTCACAATATCTACATACACCAAGACAGCCTTACAAAGACAGAAGCCAATCCGGGGAGATCACGTAGCTAAGGGGGCGAGTTTGTCTGTGGTGAGTTGTAGTTGCGGATCGTCGTCATCGTTTATCAAAGTTACCAAGTCTTATCCAGTTGAGACAATCAGATGGGGCCAATGCGCGTGTAGGAACCTCCATGTGTAGGGCGCTCGGGCCGTTGTCGTCGTTCTGTTTCGCTGCCAGTGTCTTGTCAAAAGTGCTTGCTGCAGGTGAATCTGCGCGCCCACCACCCCCTGGAAACTGAAACCCCTTTTCGAAGCATTGTGGTCTTGACCGCCATGACGATGGGATTCGTTTTGGAGATGGGGTCCCGGATCTTTGACTCTGGGACGGCGGCAGGCGAACGGTAAGGTAGACCGGGCCCGACCTGAATGCTGGATGCACGCCAACTGTAGGACAGCGGACGGATGGGGCCCCAACCGCCCCGTGCCAACGTCCCAAGCGGCCCAGGGGCAGTCAGGACCCCGGCCCTCTGCAACGGAAGGGAACCCCAGGGGCAATTAAACGATCTCCATCACGGGCTTCCCCTTGCCTGCCTTGACTAGACTGTACCCTTTCCCCTTTGAACCAACCCTTTTTGCCACGACTGTGTTACCCGTCTCCTATAACGCTACTATACTCTCCAAGATTGTGCACACCATTTGTCGTCTCTACATCGTCTCCCGCCTCAGCTTCAAACTCAACCTCAACACCCCGCTTTAGCCAACCTACCTCTACAACACCACAACCGCCAACATGGAGCTCGATCCCAAGTACGACGACTATGACTACCCTACCACCGCGCCCGTCGCGCAGGAGGGCCACCCCGGCCACTTGACTGCCCAGCAGCAGGCTCAGGTCACCCAGCTTCGTATGATGCTCGAGTCCGAGGGCTACACCAAGCGCCTCGACACCCTTACGCTGGTATGTATTATGACCATTGATTCCGGCGGGAGAGACGGGGAAGAAGAAGATGGGATACTGGGATAGACAGGTGCTGACACTCCCCGCGATAGCTGCGTTTCCTCCGTGCCCGCAAGTTCGATGTCAACCTCGCCAAGGCTATGTAAGCGCGAAAGAATCTGCCCCGTACCGCCGAGTTCGAACAACAAAGCGCTGACCATTCAAACCCAGGTTCGTCGAGTGCGAGAAGTGGAGGGAAGAGACCAAGCTTGACGAGACCGTCCCTGGGTGGGAGTACCCCGAAAAGGAGGAGGTTTCCAAGTACTACCCCCAATACTACCACAAGACCGATAAGGTACGGCTACCAGTTCTTCTCCGGCTTTTGCTTTTATGGGCTGCGACAATCTCTCGAGACCAGAAAAAAACGAGGCTAACATGACGTTCCCAACCAGGATGGACGCCCCGTCTACATCGAGCAGCTTGGCAAGATCGATCTGAATGCCATGTACAAGATCACAACAGCCGAGCGCATGCTCACCAACCTCGCCGTCGAGTACGAGCGTCTCGCCGACCCGCGCCTGCCCGCCTGCTCCCGCAAGGCCGGCGTCCTCCTCGAGACGTGCTGCACCATCATGGACCTGAAGGGCGTCGGCCTTACCAAGGCCCCCCAGGTCTTCGGCTACGTCAAGCAGGCGTCCACCCTCTCGCAGAACTACTACCCCGAGCGCCTCGGCAAGCTCTACCTCATCAACGCGCCCTGGGGCTTCAGCACCGTCTGGAACGTCATCAAGGCCTGGCTCGACCCCGTCACCGTCTCCAAGATCAACGTCCTCGGCAGCGGCTACACCAAGGAGCTCCTCGCGCAGGTGCCCGCTGAGAACCTCCCCAAGGAGTTCGGCGGTACCTGCCAGTGCGCTGGTGGCTGCCACATGAGCGATATGGGCCCCTGGCGCGAGGAGCAGTGGGCTCGTCCCGCCAAGTGGGAGAAGAGCGCCGATGCTCCTGCTGCTGCTGCCCCCGCCGCCGCCCCTGCGGCTACCGAGGCTGCCCCTGCCGCCGAGCCTGCCGTCGTTGCTGCTGAGGAGGCTGCCGCCCCTGCTCCCGCTGCCGCATAAGAGGTGCAAAGTGGAAGTTTTTTGACGGCTTCCCGTCAGAAAGACGGTTCGAAGGGCAAAGCGTCAGCGAGTCCCCCCAAGAGATGGCGTCATCATTTCTGCCTGTGAGGGGAAGGCTGTAACGCGGTTCGCTACATGAAATATCATGGGTCTACTATATACGCTGTGAAGAGTATTCAGTTGTAATGTCAGTTGTAATGGAGTCATTCGGCCGGACTAGCTAGTGGGCCGCGATGGGAAGGAGTTGGTTGTGTTTGCAGGGTATTTACAAGTGCGAGATCGGAAACGTGAATTCCGGTTTGACTTGGCACTGGTGATTTTACATTAGCGTATGTAGAGTCCTCGCATCTTTGTCCGAGGTGGTCTCTTTGGTATACACACGGATATACAATAGATTACTTGTTTCTGGCCGTCCGTAATGCCGTTGCCTGAGGATCGAGGGATGAAATCGTAGATAAAAATATAATATGGATCCGCCAAATATCTGGGGCATCCCCAACAGTAAACATACGTGTGCATTTTGATATTCCGCCCGTAACCATTGTTATACGGCCCCAAACTCCAATAGCTAACCGCTCAAATCCTCACACGCAAAAAGCAAACAATGCTCTCCCAAGCAACAACTTCCAACGTGCCGGCTCGAACAAACCCAACACTTTCTCCCCGCAGCACCAACGAGTACCGTTAACCCAACCAACAACCAACCAACAACACCAACAACATCTCTATCTCCCCTCCCCAGCGGCAGCAACAACACCACTCCCCCCAACACCAGCAACAACATACCCCCCCGCAACCCTCGCCCTCTCCATCCTCGCCACCGTAGCCGGCATCTGACTCTTCAATCTCCTGAGCGCTTCCACAGCTTTTCCAAACCCATCCTCTATCCCTTCCTGCCTCTCCATTTTACTGTTGTTATTCTCACCACTCCCTCCTTCCGTATTCCCATCTCCAGCACCAGCAAAAGGTAACAACCCCTCCAAAGCCTTTCTCCCCGCGCTCACCCCCTCCTCCACCACTTTTTGTTTTGCCTTCTCCAGCGCTTGTCGGTCCTGTTCCGTTTGTCGGGAAAAAGAATCAGCGAAAGCAGAAGCGGCCGAGGAGGGAACGCGCCGTTTGAGTGAAGCGATGGAGCGGAGGAGGTCCTCTTCTTCGCGGGCGAGTTGTTCGAGGCGGGAGCGTTTGCGGGGGTCGAAGGGTTCGTATTCTTCTTGTGGTTTTTTGGAGGATTTTTTGGACTTGGTCTTTTTCTGGACCTTTGATTTCGAGGATTTCTTGGGGGCGGGTTTGTTGGTTGTTGTCGCGGAAGGAGAGGAAAATGGGGATGAAGTGAGGAATTCGGAGGGGTCGTTTACGGGGAGACCGTTTATGGAGATGTTGGGGGCTACGTAGGTGAAGGTTTTTGTTATGTACTGTTTTTTTTGGGAATTGGTGTTGTTAGTGGTTGTTTCCTGTAAAAAAAAGAGGTAGAGCTGGACGGGCGGAGGCGGGAAGGGAAGGAAAGGGAAGGGAGCAAAAAGCGAAATGGAAACACATACATCATTAACAAGCCCTTCTATCCGCACTCTTAACTCATCTTCCTCCTCCTCCTCATCCTCTCCATTTCCATCGCCTGGGTCGACAGGTGGAAACGCGGCGTTGATGCTATCGGCTGCGGCGCGGCGCACGTTGTCGATTAGGTAGGTGAAGTCTTCGGGCGATTGGAGCTCGATTCGACGGTGGACGGCGGATTCCATCTCCATCGTGCGCGCGAGCGGTAACGTAGTGAACTCGAGCGGTAATGTAGCCGACGGTGGCGTTGGTGATGCGTCGCGAATGCTGGGAATGTTTTCTTTTGATTGAGAGAGTCTGTTGTTTCTCGGTCGTGGTTTCCCCTAGGTCGTGGGTCGTCGACTTGTGAATTCGTCGAGTATGATGGTGGTGGTGACGGGATGAACTTGTGAAGTGTCCTTGATTTGTTTACTTTCCGTTGACAGCGACAGCCAGTTCAAGTTCCACTTCAAGCTGTCCGCGCCCGCGCCCGCAACCCGCGCCCGCGATCTCAACCATCCGGGCATGTCTCCATGATCTTATCGATAAGACATGTGGGTCCCGTGACATCGGCAGGCACTAGCCCGAATTTGGTGGTCAGTCCCACTTGGCACCAAACGCTTAGTGGGGCCTCTGATGCTGAAATGGCGGGGCTTGGCCTGGCTGGGTTATAAGTACTGTGTAAGAGCTGCAGACGTGCCCGGCATTCGCTGATCGCTTTTGGCCAACAAGGTGCCGCCGCCAACCAGCCAGCACGCTGCATGGACATCTCATTGCTTCGAAACATCAGACACTTTATGCAACTGCACTTGTAGACAATCATTTACCGACCTTGCCTGACCGAACTGGTTGCTGCCTTGTGCGTACATTTTGCAGCACATGCGTTAATCGCGGTTGTTCCTGCTTGTATTTGGTCTGAAAGAGTTGCTCGTTAAGGACCCTGCGCATCATCAAGTACAATTATTTACAATTGCTGAATATCCAACGTTGGTAGATAGAAGACCTCTTTCTTCCCAACACCCAGTTGATCACGGTAACACAGCCAGCCGGCCTCTCAAGGAATCCCAGGAAGAGTGTCTCATGGTCATGTGTAACAGAACAACATCGAAGGCATCTATCCAAGTATTTGAAAGACTCAACAGACATTTTTGTACGCCCAGCCATGTTGCACCACCATCAATCATACAGTGCCTCTTTCGTTTTTTTTTATCTCGTCCAAATGTTGTTCACCATTTCAAAGGTAGCTTGCCGAGGGCCTATCTGCGAAGGGAAAAAAAAATTGATATTTGAGGGGTGATACCCTATAAGAATAAGTCAAAGTATTGCCCCAAGACTCGGAAAGAGGTCTGAAGGTGTGCTTGACATAGATGAACCCAGTGATACGCCCGAAACCCGAATACCAAACTTGACAGCACCATGATGAATTATTCCCCCCGCCGCCACGCTTCCCAAATTGACAAAAAAACGGAACTCGAACCATACCCTCCCTTACTCGGTAACACTGCACTCAAAGTGTATCCCGAACCGACCACGCAAGGAGTCTTGGTCTTCTGAAGTGCCATAGGATATCTCCTCGCCAGTATGGCCCACCATATGTTGAAGTGTCCATGGTTCCAATGAACTCTCAAGGAAGGTAGGAATCGTCAGATAGGCGCCAAAACACCTACAACCGAAATACATGAAAGGAAACATGCCATTAACGCCGTAATCCGTGGAAAAGTGGAGCCGATATCTCGTGAGAAGAGACAGGTCTAAGAGTGGCGCTTGTAGCTGGATGACTGAATACAATGTGTTTGATAATGGTCGCTTGTGCGTGCCGTCGTGTACCGTCGTCTGCCGTCGTCTGTTGATTTTTTACTGCGGCAGGATCTTCTTGATCTCTTCGTCCGTTAGGATGATCTCATGGATCGGGTCTCTCCGGTTCTCGAGGGGGATGTAGTCGTAGTCGACGTAGGATGGTAGAAAGATCTCGGGGTTCCATGCGAAACCTTGGCTTGAGGAGAGGTAGGAGATCTGTTGTGGGGAAGGTCAGCTATCTGTTTACTTATTAAGGGAAGAATACTATTTATGTGGCCAGGACGGCAAGGTGACTTACCAACTCGGGCGGCCCATCCTTATCTTCGGCGATATTGATCGTGGTGCATTCCTGCTTGGAGATGGCCGAACCTAGAAGCTAGTGGTTAGTAACGTTCACGATGCATATGCACAACTGCGCAAGTCGATGCCGCCATTCTTATGGTGCATGGTGTATCGGGGAAAAAATAGACTTACTCAAAAGACTGGGACGACGAGCATGCAGCAGTGTCTTTTTCGTCGTCGACGAGGTAGGTGATGAAGAAGGGTGCGATGGTTCCGGCGAGGTGGAATACGATGACCCCGGTGACGAGCTCCCACCAGCATTATCTGACTGGCTCAGCTGGCAACGTTCGATATCCATGGCGGATGGTGGCGGGGCGGGGATGGGGATTGAAGAGGACATGGCGGGCGGTTGACGGAGGAAGGTGAGCCGACAAGAGATGATGATTTGGGAGGTTGGGTGTTGTTGGCCGACAGTTACACAAAGCGAGCCTGACGAGTGGGAGCTGGCGGGGAGAAGCGACCTCAGGTAACGTATGGTAATTGGTAAGATTGTCTATGAAGGAATTCCGTCGTTGCCAACCAGAGTGCTGAAGGCGCAGGTGCACCGGGATAGAGGAATCATCAATTCAAAGACGTTGTAATTCGAGGACAACACTGTAGAACGCAACGAGAATGACGGCGGCAGGCGCTTATACAGACAACAACAAGGTGAAGAGGGCTGGATGACGAGGCGGTCGAGTTATGTTGTTCGAAAGGATCAGGTGAATGAGGATGGATAGGGCAAACAAAGAAAGGAAAGCAGGAGGTAACGGCAGATCGGAGGAGGCGGAGGTGTACAGTGACTAATAAGGCGATCCGAAGTGGTGACTCTGAGGATGGGGGATGGGGTTGTTGGGCGTTTCCTGGTCCGTTCCCCCGGCTCCCCAATTCACCATCCATGGACGCACGGGATTGTTGCGCCGGAAGCTGGAAGGGACTCTGCCTCCTGCGTATGGGACCTGAGGATGGACGGGTGGATGGATTGTTCTGATTGTGTATCTGCGCTTGCAGTTATAGGACACTGCTCTGGATTCATATTGTACATTTACACCTCGTTCTTGGATCTTGGTCGTCATCGTATCTTCACACCGAGGCACGCCGGATGACGAAGCCCTCAAGAGTTAAGTCTCCACGGTTCAACATGTCCAACACCCGACAGTCCTCAGACAGGCACCGGCGGCACACAATCTAGGCAAGAGGCATCGAGTTGATCCAGCAGTTTGACTTTTGAACTGTCGCAACTCAAACCCCAACTCTCTCGCTTCTCACATCATATGCGTCCCCGGCCTCGCAATCCCTCATCAGCACCGCTTCATGGCCATGATGCGTTCAGATGGGCCCGGGCCAGGCAAGGATGTGTTAGTTAACACGGGATGCAGGGTGGTACGGTGACCACAACAGCATATTGTATCATCGCCGCATCATTCGATCCAAGCAGTGGAGAAACTGGTATCGGCCGTCCTCGGACGGGAATGACAACTCGAACCCTTTATCTAATATGGAACCTATTAAGTCCGGGCAGTTGCGGGTTGAAGAGAATAATGGCCGACTTATACGTAGGGCCATGCCATAAAGAGAAGTGATGCTGCGACGACTTCGCGGGACCAGTCGCAATCTGTCATATCCCACAACCTTACTTACACCACGTAGGGCATTGCGATAGCATGCAAGACATATCAACAACGAGCGGCCATTGTCTATTTTATAAACAGAGACGAGCAACGTAGGAGGACGACGGACGACAACCCGGCCTGGCCGTCAAGGTGACACTTCGTGACGCCCAGCAGGGGTACCCGTGTGGATGTGGGGTTGAAGGAGGCAGACTTGCATTGGGGGTGGAGCTACCGACAAGGCTCCCGCTTCAGTCCAATCTGCATTTGTCCACCAGTCATCCCTTGACACTGTCTAACAGCCCCACGTGCAGCTGGAACGTCCTCCAGTCTGGTGCGACTTCGGGCTACAAGAAAAGAACTGTTTATGGCCGGTCATTACCGTAATCTTATCGGTTATTTGTAAAAGGACAGCACCGTACGCTGTGCACGGTAGCCCACTACAACTGCCAGAAAGAGGCCATCCGGCCAATCACTGTGCATTTGGCAGCCCCCGAACAACCCAGGCTCCAGATGAATGACGAGCCACAGCCAGCCCAGCTTGCTGTTAGCAACAACGATCCACTGCATCAGCGACTGCTAGCACCGACAACCACGCGCGCCACAAGGCGAACCTCGACGACGACAACAGAACAACAAGGAATACCACCCGACCGAATCCCCAAACCCACGTTAATCACAGCTGCGCAATCAAGCGCTCGCAACACAACACACGGAGCATATCGATCTAGCCATTTAATACCATCACAAGAACACATCCGGCAAGATGGGCGACGTCTCTGTCGAAACCCCCCCGGCCAGTCTGACCCAGCCGCAAAAGAAGTCCGCCCCTTCGGCGATCCCCAATATCGAGACCTTCGAGGGCGTTTCAACAGAAGGCGGTGATGACTACATTACTTTGAAGAAGCTCCAGAGGCAGCTCGAATACATCAAGCTGCAGGAGGAATACATCAAAGATGAGCAGAGGTATGGTCACAGAAGCTCTACGGCTCCGAGCTTGGTGAGGAGGGGCTGACAATATGGTATTTGGCAGGAGCTTGAAGCGCGAGCTTGTTCGCGCCCAGGAGGAAATCAAGAGGATCCAGAGTGTTCCCTTGGTGATTGGGCAGTTTATGGAAGCTATCGACCAGAAGTATGATCGCCCAATTGCCCCTCGTTCTCCGAAACTGGACTCAGACTGACCCTTTCTTAGCACGGGAATTGTTCAATCTAGTACTGGCTCGAACTACGTCGTCCGTATCCTTTCGACCCTCGACCGCGAACTCCTCAAGCCGTCATCCTCCGTAGCCCTCCACCGCCACTCTAATGCCGTTGTCGATATTTTGCCGCCCGAGGCCGACTCATCCATCGCGATGCTTGGTGTCGACGAGAAGCCCGACGTTACATATGCCGATGTTGGAGGTTTGGATATGCAGAAGCAGGAAATTCGGGAAGCCGTTGAGCTGCCCCTAACACACTTCGACCTTTACAAGCAGATTGGTATCGACCCCCCGCGCGGTGTCCTTCTGTACGGTCCTCCCGGTACCGGCAAGACAATGTTGGTCAAGGCGGTCGCAAACTCGACGACAGCGAACTTCATCCGTGTCGTCGGTTCCGAGTTCGTACAAAAGTATCTCGGTGAGGGTCCTCGCATGGTGCGCGACGTCTTCCGCATGGCTCGTGAGAACGCGCCCGCCATCATCTTCATCGACGAAATCGATGCTATCGCCACGAAGCGTTTTGACGCCCAGACCGGTGCCGATCGTGAGGTGCAGAGAATTCTGCTCGAACTGCTCAACCAGATGGACGGTTTCGACCAGACCGCCAACGTCAAGGTTATCATGGCCACCAACCGTGCCGACACTCTCGATCCCGCCCTGCTGCGTCCCGGTCGTCTCGATCGCAAGATCGAGTTCCCCAACCTGCGCGATCGCCGTGAGCGCCGCCTCATCTTCACCACGATTGCGAGCAAGATGAGCTTGGCCCCCGAGGTCGATCTCGACAGCCTGATCGTCCGCAACGACCCCCTCAGCGGTGCCGTCATCGCTGCCATTATGCAGGAGGCCGGTCTGCGTGCGGTACGGAAGAACAGATACAACATCATCCAGGCTGATTTGGAGGACGCCTATAGCAGCCAGGTGAAGGGTACGAGTGACGAGAACAAGTTCGATTTCTACAAGTAAACTCTCGGCGTCATGGGCTTGCTGGCTGGCTGGGTGTCTGTCAGGGATCGGGGAAGGAACAACAGGTGGAGAGATTGCTATTGGGTGGGTGGTGCTATGCTTGCCGCTCGCTTTTGGGAAATAGAATTTGTACCCCGAAATCAGCGGTTAGGGGAGGGAAGGGAGGAAAGACGTTCATAGAAGCGAAGCAAATTTGTACACTAGCGGATATATCTGGAACGGCACCACCATATATATGTGCGTGCCTGTCTGGAGTTGCTTCCATCGAATACGTAGTAGTACCGAAACGAAAAGCAACAGAATGCCATGACTCCCACCCAATGCCTAGTTACCTACCACATTTAAGCGCGCTGGTCTTTCGATTGTTCGACTTGTCGAGTTTTCCATTTCCATTTCCAAAGTTGGGACCCAACTTCCTTTGGAACAATTCCCTATCGATGGTGAACATGAACAGTCAACCAGTATCGCTTACGCGTGTTATCAGTCCATGGCATACAAAGATGTAGGAGTCTATGATCAAGTTCAAGGCTGAGCCTATCGGCATTCGAATTTTTTGAGCATCAAGTAGAATATCACTTATGTCGTCGACCTTACCACTTGCTCTGATCCACCTCCGTTTTTGTTACCTTACGTTCGAGCCGTAGTTGAGCAGAATGGCTAGTATAGACTACAATATGCCCCTAGGTATGGATGGAGAGATTCAATCATTTTCTTCTTCTTCACACACAACAAACCTCACCGTCACTCAGCACTCAAAAAAAAGACACTTCTACTTCAGTAAGCTTGAAAATGTTGAAAAAGGAGGCAACAATGTAGTAAACTTAAAGATTCTATGCTGGGGGTATATCCTCCATCCACGTCACTAGGAATGTACGTAGTTCGTAGTTCGTTCGTACTTGTAGTCGTAGACACCCCTCCCTCCCGCTCCGATTATCTCCTTACAACGCTCACTACTCACTACTCACTTCACTCTGCGATACAACTGCTACTTGATGATACAGAAAATAATACATGCTTTGTGCTGCTTCATGGAACAACAGGAAACAAACGCCTTCAAAGGGAAAAGAGAAAGAGAAAGGGAAAGAGACTAACATGAGGTGGCGGGCGGTAGTGATGATGAGGATGAGGAAGAGGATGAGGAAGAGAATGATCAAGGTAAAAATGGTAAAAACCGCTTCCCATCCATCCATCTATCCATCCCGTGCGTTGTTGCTCTTCTTGTTGCTGGGAGGTTTTTCCTCTTTTCCTCCTTTTTTCCTCTTTCCGATCCGGTAATCTTATCCTTGTAATGATCCATCCATCCATCCATCCGTCCGTCCGTCCGTCCGTCCGTCCGTCCAATCCGTCTATGTGATTGTTGTTGAAATCAAAGAGTCCAAAGGAAAACAAGTTATGCTTTGAAGCGTACTAGCTTCTCTCTCTCTCCCACTTTTTCGCATCGACCCCACACGACGGGGGAAAGAAACATCTTGGGTTTGTTTTCCACATATAGTACTCTCCCTCTCTCTCTCCCTCTCTCTCTCTCTCCCTCTTCCTCTTTCTCGTACACACCTCGGGTCTACCAGGTCATTAATCCATTACCCATTACTTAATGTCTCCCCCACATAAACACTTTGCATATTTCGTATGTACTTCGACTGCTGCTTTGTTGCACTGCTGTCTGTCATCGAAGTGCTGTTCTGTTGGGAGTCTTCTTTTTCATTGACGTTGAAGTCAAGCTATTGTTACACAACCGTCATCGGTTATAGTAGTAGTGGTTTGGTTTTGTTGGGTTTGTGGCGATCGAGGCATTCAGCCCGTGTGGATGGATGGATGGATGTATGGATATATGTACATTGTGCCAACGATCGTTCGTCCAAGTGGTGTGATTGTTGTTCGTAAGCGGCTGTGGTGGAAGACTCTCTCTTCCTTTTATGACCCCAGAACGACACGCAGCTCAAGCAAGAGCTTCACGAACCTAGCATGGAGCTCAATAAAGAAGTCAGGGAGACCAACCAACTCGGCCAAGCCTCGCTGCTTCAGCGCGACTCCGGAGGCGGAAAAGCCGCTGCCCATCCTCCTGGACAGACCGCCCCCGCCCATGAGGAAGCTGCTACCGCCGCCCGGTCCGCCGGCCGTGGGGATGTGACTGGCGGGTGCTGCTGGTTCCGAGTGCAGGCTTCCATAGCCAGGGCCGCCGGGCATAACGGGGCTGTTTGCTGATGACTCCTGGAGGGACCTTTCGGCTTCTTGTTCGGCCAGTGTCTGAATCCAGGTTGCCATGTCACGGAACGCAGCAGCGACGAATCCAAACGTCTTCATGGCAAGACGCTCACGGTGGGTGCTGAGAGCTAGGAAAGCATACACGCGCTTGTGGCCTCGGGCATGGACATCGGGAATTCGGAATATATAGGCAGTGGTGTAGCCGGCAGAAGGGTCGCCAAAGAATATTGGCCCACCGGATGCTGCAGCGCCGACACTGTGCGTTGTGACAAATGCCGGGGTGCTGGGTGAAGCGCTCGGCGTAATCGCCGGGTTGGCACCTGAGGAAGGATAGCCCGTAGCTGGAGGGCGAGGGAGAGTTTCGAGAGAGAGCGTCCGCAGACAGGATGCGCGAACGATGGAAAACGAACTGGCCGCAACGGGCTCGTGCGTTGAGGTATAGTCAAGATAATGCGTATGTGCCGTAACCCCTTGGGCGGAGCTGCTGCTAGAGCGTGATGCCAAGGAGGCCGTGGTCCCAGCACGACGATGTGAGGGACGGGACTTGGTCATCGACTCATCCTCGGATGGAATTGACGAAGATGTTTGTGAAGTTGGCGTTGATGGTTCGTCCATTCCTCCGGATAACACGCGGGCAAAGGGAGCACGTGTCCGTAATGTAGGTCCCTGCTCCGGTCTTGGTTCTGGATTTGCGTCCTTGCTGCTCTCTTGCCGTTTGGGCAGCGTCAAGGCGCAATTATCGCACGGACCGGCTCGGCGAGTGACGTAGTCGTCATAGGTCCTGCGGAATCCTGAATCGCTGCGTCGCTTCTCCTGTTGCGATAATGGGGGCCCGGGTGGAATCTGCGGACTCTGTGGAGGAGTCTCAACGGCCGAGGAAGTGCCAACAGTCTGGGAGACGCGGCGAAGGGAGGCGCGATAATTCTGAGCTTGCTCCTCAGATACAGGCGCGGAAGAGCTCCTTAGAGCACCACCACCGGCGAGGTCCATTCGGCGTAGCGCTTCGGCGGCAGCCGCCACGGCATGGGCCGAGGCATTAGCTGCGGTGGCACTCGGAGCCGGCTGGTCGGTAACATGGCTGTGGTCGTGTTGCAGGCCCTCCTCATAACATGTCCTGCATGGAACAGGGACTCCTTCGGTGACCATCAAGGGGGTAGGCCCGTGAAGGTCGCAATAATGCGCCAAACATAGCTGGAGGCGAGGAGTTTGTGTTAGCATCCTGTCGAAATTAATGAGATCGAACAAAGGACACGCGGTCCAAGTCTCAAAATCGAGATCCATTGCCCCAAACAGAATCAAGGCGACATTGTCTTGTAAGTGACGAAGAACTAATGCGCGTATATAATCATGAGCGGCAGAGGAGAGGGCAGTAATGGTGGGATAGGAACATGGTAGTGGTAGAGGGCGTGGTGGTGTTGTCAGAGGTGGTGTCGTCCCTAGAGAATATCAAGGGATGGATGGGGGTGATTGGCATGGGAGTGTTCCGGTCTTTTTTGTGTGAAAAGGCCGGAAGGAGACAGAGAGGTAAAAGAAGCGTTTTCTGCGCCGCGAAATTCAGGATGAGACGGCAAGCACCATGTACTCGTACACCCGGCCTGGACACCTGCTTTCTGACTTGCTCAACTTCCAGTACTACCTCTACCTCAACTAGCCGTAAAGCATGCCAATCCTGCTTAGAAGAGACCAGGCAAGCACAAGAGGAAGGAAGCACAAGCGTTGCGACCTCGAATTGCAAGCGCGCCAGCCTGTCGGTTCAGCAACGTGGGGGAACACAGGACAGCCCCGGTGAAGTGAGCAGGATCAGGAAGAGATGGGATAGGACAGAAAAGGAACAAAAAAGAAACAAGGAGGGTGAGCAACGGGAAAGGCGGTGAGCATTAAGGGAAGGTACTTGGTTGGTGTTGAAGGTGTGGGTGAGAGTAAGGGTGAGGGTATGAGTTGAATGTGTAGTGTCGCGATAGGATGTAAGATTGGGCTTGTGGTTGGGTTGTGAAGCTAGAGGTGGTTGAAACTACCATCAGGCTGACCATGCCACTCACTCGTAACAAAGGGGGCCCGGGGGTAAGGATTTGGGGCGGGATTTGCGCTCGGGGGAATCTGTAACGAAGCTCACTTACAATCGACGTCATGGTGTCTGGCCTATCTTATCTGGTGTCCAACCAAGGCACCGGGTATAGTCCCGTATAGTCCCCAAACAACCCCGTAATAATGTCTGTTTGATGTCGTTTGCTGTAAGCCAGTCTCACAAATCCGGACTGACTCTTAGACTCAAGATGAATATCGAGTCAAACGCACGTCTTTTTGAGTGATCTTGGACTGTCCGAACTGCACACACAACTTGGACCCGTGGCGAGTTGCGCCGCAAGTCGTGTGGATGGATATAGATGGGATTGATAGGGTGGTGGTGTAAATTGAGGTGCGTTGGTGCACGCCGAGGTGATCCAGAAGCAGACTAGTCCAGTGCGTAAAGAAAGAAAGTCACTAAAAGTTTGATGCCTCGCATTAGCCGGAAAAAGTAGTTTACTCTTTTAAATCGAGGGCGTGGTTAACCTTAGAATAAGGACTCGCGGGCTGCGAATGCCCCACGTGCCATTGCCGTTGATGTGTGCCGTGTTTGGTGGAAAAAGTTGTATTTTGATAGTCCAGACCGTTTGGTGGTGAGTCGGCGAAAAGTTTGGGAGGCAAAGCCCAAAGACCCTCTCTAGCTCTTGAGCTTCACAATCTCCGGGTGGACTTTAGTCTCGGTTGGCAAAGTGGCTAGCGTTGGTTCAGGTTGGCCTGTTGTTGCTGACTGCCTCGAGGACAACGGGACGGGACGGGATCCGGGATACGGGATTACCAAAGCAGTTGCCGAGTAGGGGTGTAGGAGCTTCAGGTGAGGTAAGAGGATGGTATGAACTATGTAGCGGTATATGAATGAAGAAAGGGGATGAGTGAGATGTGTAGAGGTAGTCAGTGATCCGGGAATCGGAAAAGAGGCACCCGATATGGAGACGGGATCGATGGAGATAGAGTCGGGTCCCCGTATAAAATGACGAGAAGATCGGACGAGTTTTGCTGAATGAGGGTTGAGTGGTAGTGAGAGGCAGTGAGCGGCAGTGAGCGGGAGCCTCGAACGTCAACAAGCTCTTTGGCAGATGCAGGGCAGGGCTGATCGCACCTGTGGTCTTTTAAAGAAAGCTTCCAGAAGGCCGGGAGTGGATTACACAACCATCAGCTTTGCCAGATTCGGAGTCCCGGGCCCGCCGACCCACGCCCCAAGTGTCGTTCCATGTCGGGCCCAGTTTCTCACAACACCGATGAGATGCCGATGGTGATGGATCATGTCCCGGTATGTCCCCAGAATGGGTATATGCCCCCCCCCCTTGATCCTCCTTGATTTGGGAGCTCGAGCCACTGGAGACTTGTCTGCTGGGATGGCTGTTGTTCGCAGGCGTCGCAGGGCGTCCCAGGCAGACTCCCCCGGCCAGCCAATGCTGCTCATTGCATTGGTCCAACGGAAGATGCCATTTGGAGATCCACACGACAAAGACCCGCTCCGATGCAATGGAATGGTGGGGCAGTCTTGGCAGTTGAGTGCTCCTCTGTTCGTCAACTGCAAATCGTCCTTCTGCAGGTTCATTGCAACGTTTTTGGTGTTGTTCAAGTTCCTGAAGACACTTGGTCGTCGATGCGAACTGGTTCTAGCCCATGTTGACAACCCGACATAACCGCACTGGGTTGCGGCCCGTGATGAACAAGCACAAGGCTCCAGGTTGCTTCGGTTCGACTTTGAAACAACGGCAAGCGAAATGCTCCTTGGGTATATACACAGTAGACATCATGTACAAGTGGCATATGTACGCACTAGGGTAGTAAGGCAGTTGGTGCCATTTCTACATCAAGCATCACCGGTATGCATATAAAAACATGTACAGTTTCACATGCTGGCGCCGGTCAAAACCATGTTTACGAACGATATCCGCAACAGGCAAGTCTTGCGACGTGTTACCCACAACCCATCACCACCGCAACCTAGCTTTCGTCCCGGTGAGGGCGTCGAGGTAGCATCCAAAGTGAGCCTCCAACCACTCATCCGGGTCTTTTGCTCCTTCACCGCCCTCGAGAGTGCTTTTCCATCCATGCACAAGTAACCTTTCAGGCCTTTGCATTTCTTAACCCCGGATTCAATTAATCATGCATTGTTCACCCACCAAAATAGCAACCTTGTCATATATCAACTGCGTTACACTTTATCATGACCGCTCCCAGCAAAACACCAAGGCCACTTGTCTTTCAAAACAAAGCGTGGTTCGAAACCCTTGGATGAAGACATCATCATCAGCGCCAGGTCAGCCGTGCCCATCAACACCAGCGTCTGTCGCTCATTTCCGAGGCCCTTGTTCGGCAGGCTCGCATGCTCCAACTTTGCCCCGGACGACTTGCTAGTGCCAAGCACCCTTTTGCGGCCCGACGTGTTTCCGTCGTTCGTCTTTTAGCGCAGAAGCAAAAGCCAACTGACATAAACCGTCGGTAATTGAAGTGTTCCATGGTGAGACTTGTCCAGTCTTGGTACGACGACTCCGTACAAACACGAGCTCTCGCAACGGAGGACACCCGCAGTTCACGGTATTTCCTTCCAAACCTTCCATCTCCTCACTAAAACCCTTACCCGAAAGTCTAGGATAGTCATATCGTCCCATATCACCCATACTATAGCAGGCTGATCCTTCACCCCCACGGGTACACATGCTCCATCCAGCATACCAAGCTGTCTGTATTGGGCTTGCAGCTCGCGCCCAGTCGGCTCCTTCAAACCAACGAACGGACAAGATTTACACTCATCCAGCAATGACCGCTCGTGAGTGGATCGTTCAGACTTCGGCCCGTTTTCAGCACGTCCACACCACATGGCAAACACGCGGCTGAACAGGGTTGGGCTTGACATGTTCTAACTTTTCAGGGCATCAGGGTCACTTGCGAGTCCGAAGAAGGACCCTTGAAGAAGAAGGAAAAGAACCGTGACCCTTGCCAAACGCACATGGGGAATTTCCATCCGCCTCTTTTGGCATTAACGAGACTGGGAAGGTTTGAAGTGAGGTGGTGTTTTGGATCCTTCCTTCCGACTTCCTTAACCCTTTGTCCAAGACCCCACAAGTTCTAGACCCTTTTGAACTTGACCCCCTGAAACTAAAAGAAGGCTTGGCATTTTGCATTCTTGAAGCTATCCACAACGAGTGGAAGTCAACGACAACAACCTTGTCTTGACTTCACCTTTACACTACAACAACCTCCAACTCAAACCCACTTCAACTTGATAAACTTTTTTTTTTTTTTTTTTTTTTTTTTGAGGAAAACAAATGCACCATTTCGGATATTGACCTAAGTCTAAGGCTGTCAACGAATTGTCACTTGTCAGACAATAGAAAATGGAAAATGGGCAAGACATGGCAAGTTTCAGGTTTTCCCATGGAAGAGAGAGCGATGGAAATTAGACAACAGGCCCTCTTCCGAGACCTTTTGTGTCTTGTGTCCAACGACCACTCTCTCTCTCTATCTCTCGTATACACCCATCCGCAATGATATGACCAGAGTCCGGTACCTCTTCACTGGTGAAATGTCGACGGAGTTGTTGGACGTGTACGGAAATCACGTTTGGTCCTACCTATGTAGTACCTACTCAGACACTGAGTGACTGACTGGCACCTGACCGACCGACCGACCGACCGACCGACTGATCAACCAAGGCTTGAACAACAACGTCGGTCAACGTCTACAGCACTTTAGCCGCGGGCTACGGTCCGATGTTCAAGTTCAGGCTGGAAAAGTAGTAACCCATTTCCCGTATTTCGTTCGTTTCCCGTTTTCCCGTTTTCACTTTCATCCACACACGCGCGCACGCACTCTCTTTTTATAACTGCATCCTCTCTCTGATCATGGACGGACGGGAACAGATAGATGTCTTGGAAATGCCATGTTACATATATTTGTTGCCGGTTCCCATTTCCAAATTTCTATGCTATAGCTCAAGAGCAGAAGTAGTCTAGGAGGCTGCGTGTCTGGTGTCACAGTGCTACTAATGCACGGCTGGCTATCCATGGTCTTTGGTATATTGGTTTATCACAATTTTCATGGATCTGGATCCGGGGAGTGTGTGTGGTATCAATCCTCCCGCTGTTATGTTACACAGTCGTTTCATTATGATGACGACGACGACGACGAACAAGACGACGACGAGGACGAAACGGGAACTGACTGATCCGATCCGGCACACACTACCAGTTTTCTCTACATTTTGGTGCCGTCTAAGTAGGCTTCTGCATATAAGTATGTAACCGCACAGAAGGAGGGTAGCAGAAACAGGCCATGATATCACTTTCTTTTCCATAGAACAACCATGGAACCGATCGAACCGATGGATCATCGAGCCGTGCGTGTCCGGCCACTCATGTCGTTTCCACCTCCAGCTCGCTACGGCGCTACCTACCTAGAGGTACCTACCTACCTACCTACCTATATTCCCCCCTTCCGGTATCATCACCCAGACCACCCTCACCTCATCCAAGCAAAGTGTAAAGTGGAAGTGGAAGTGGCAGTGGCGACTACTACATAACGGCAAGCCCCAAGCAAGCAGCACACATACATACCTACCTTACACCCACACATACCTACATACACGGAAAGGAAGGTACCTATACACGGGTAGCGTAGGTAGCCTGGGTAAGTCCCGTCTCTTCCATTTGGTACCTTATCTTAGGTACGCATCTAATTCTATATATTATTATTACACTCAAATAACCTACATATGCTATTCTAGTAGATATTTATATATACATACATACATACATACATACATACATACATATATATATACACGCGAAGCAAAGTGACGCTACAGTTTTTGATAGCGCACCTACCTACCATGTCGTCGTTCTGCCTAGATACCTAAAACAGTCTTGTATGTACCTACCCTAGAAAAACCTCGTCAAATTGGGACTCGGTCGGGTACCTAGAACTAGTGATGAGTCGAGTGTGATGGTCCGTTTAAAAGCTTCCTTCCTTGGAGCCTTTCTGTAGACGGGAGGTATAGAGAGAGGTATGTATGTTTGCATCTTGCTTGTCCCAAGTGAATGAATAGCATGAGCCAAGACCAAGTCTGATAGCTACCTCTACCCGTAACGATACTTAAGGTCTGTGTTTGGAAGGTAAATTAACAGTCACCAGATCCCCTGGGGTTGATGGCTCAGTCGTCAGTCAGATGTGTAAGGTAGTAGTGCGCGCCTTCTGCTTGGCTGGGTTTTCTCCTTACCTGTAGGTCTACCTAGGAGAAGCAGCTCGTTCGAGCCGGGCTTAGTTAGGGCCGCTCGCTGGCCACCGCTCGAACAGCTTTTTTTATATCACTTTTTTACACTTCTCTCGAGAGATCTTTTCCAGCGAGGGTGAGGTTACTTGCGTACTTGTTTGTCTTGCTCGTCTTACTCGTCTTACTAGTCCTACTCAAAACATTACTTGCCACGGGAAGTCAGGATCACAAAACAAGAGAGTGACGCGCAAGCTAGGTAACCGAGTTGGATGATGACTTTTCGACCACCAGACAGGCAGGCAAATATGCACGAGAATAGTACCTTAAGATGCCGGCCGATATGTGCCCAAAGTGAAGTGACAAGCAATGCAATGCAATGGTATTATGAAAATGCAACGGGGGTATCTAAGACGGATTCTTGTGTCCACAAGGAGATGATTAGTTACTGGTATCTTTGCCCCTTACCCACCCTGTTCCCCCTTCCATCCTTTAACGTTCCTTTCTTTCCTGTAAACCCCCCCTCTTGTGCCGTCTCGTGGTCTATCACCTCATTCCTTCCCGGCCAGGCAGGCGATAATTAGTTGTTTGTCTAACCGCCTCTGGCTATTGTCGTCAGGCCTTCTCAACTCCTAGTCTCTTGACAGTGGGCCCATCGAGTACCCGACCCTAGCCATAGGCTAACAAGAGAGAACCAGCGGGCCAGCTAACCCAACCGACCATAACCCCAGACAAGAAAGCCTGGAGATAAGGACATAGTCCGCGGATGCGAGACGGGATGACTTAACGAACCACCCTACTTCTTCGAGTACCCATTCACATAGAAGGGATCACCAGGATCAACCTCCAGCCTCTTGGCCGCCCTCTCTCCCGAGCTCGAGTCATCACCATCACCTCCGTACTTGTCCAGCCACAGCTTACGCATGACCTGGTAAATAAACAGGTACTGGCTCTCGGCCTGCACCATGGTCTTCCGCTGCTCTCTGAGCTGATTGACCACCTGGAAAATCAAGTCGTTATCCTCTCCGCCCATTGTGCTGCTGGTGGGTGACATGACTTCCTCCTGCGACGTCCTTGCAGAAGGCGACTCGGACTCGCCGCCAGCGGTGCGCTCGTCCCAGTTCTCCAACACTCCCGCGTCCAGCTCCCGCATGAGGTGCTCCAGCGCTATGAAGGTACCGCTGCGGCCAACGCCCGCGCTGCAGTGGACGATGCGAGGGTTGTGGGGGCCGGCATTCTTCTCTCGAGATAGGCCCATGAGCATAAAGAAGCTGTCGAGATCGGCGAAATCCGGGACGCCAAAGTCGGGCCACTTCTTGTAGAGGAAGTGCCACACAATGCGCTCTTCGACTTCCTCCTCTCCAGAGTTCCGGCCCACCGTCTCTTCTGGTTCGCTGATCGTGAGGTTTGCTTCCGTCTCCTTTGCCATCTGGGTCAAAGGCGACGTGATATTGGGTTCCTCGGTGGTTGCGCTTTCCGGTTCTGGGGTTTGCCTCTTGCTCTGGGATCCGTTGCTCTTGCTGTCTACGCTCTTCCTGGGAACCGGCTTGTGCACACGAATCACCATCTTGCGAAGCTCAATGGCATCGCCGGCCGGTGTATCCTCGATCCCTGTGCACCGAACTGTGGCGCGGAAGCCATCGCCGAACTCGTCCCGCTCGTTGATTTCCAGTGGAGGATCCTCCGGCGTCCGGGGAAAGTACTGATAACATTTCTCATAGTCGCCCTCGTGGGTCTCGGTCAACATGACGATCACGCCGGGGCTCTCGAGCTGCTCAACTGCCATGCGCCATACATGGTCGGTTGTACACCGTTTAGGGCCCTGCATGGCGATGTAGCGATCCGGCTCTTGTGTGTTACTCGTCTCCCCATCGGCCGTGGTGAGAACCGTCGGGTTCAGGACAATGGGCGAGGCATTGATGTAGTCGATCTTGCCCTCAGGCACCTGAAGCTTGATTCGGTTATTGTGCCAGGGTTGTATGTTGCCGTATCTGTCGAGCTGTCGAAGGTGTGGTCCCATTACGCGGGCCCAGCGGAAATCTCGAGAGGGGTTCTGTGTCGCTTCTAGGATGCGCTTGCGCTCGAGCCAGATGATCTCTTGGAACTTGTTTTCGATTTCTGTGAAACGTGAAAAGGGCAGGTTAGTGTGTATGTCTTGGAGAGAAGGCGAGAGCGGCAGAGGCGAGCCAGGGAGCTTACCATTTTCATTGAGTTCCAGGAAAGAAGGGATCTTGGGCCGGTCCCCCTTCTTGACTTGTTGCCCTAAAGACGTCTTGCTCTCGGCCGGCGAAGCAGGATGGTCTGCGGTACCGTTGGGGGCCATAACGGCGGCGGCAGTCGGTGTCTGTTTGTGCGAACCGGGAGAGGATTCGCGGGCTCTCTTGGAAGAACGTGAAAATACTCGAAAGGGACTGAGCTTACGGACTGGGCGTAGCAAAGGAGCAGCGGTGCGAGTGTGTAGTTCAGCCGAAGGAGACTCGGTCTTCTCAGAAGTATTATCTGACTTGGTGGTGGTGGGCGTGGTGATCAAACTGGGAGCGGTGATGTCTCTTTTGCGCCGATGCGGGCGTAGTCGCGGAAAGTGGTCCATGGTGGGGACGCTATAAATATGACGTCGGCGAGGAACGGTGTAATTCGATGCGCAAATCGGTCGACGGTGCCAGAGGCTACTGCGGTGACCAAGTCCGGCAAGTGAGAGGCTTCTGACGAAGGCACCGGCGGCCTCGGGGACTCTGCCACGCAGACACGTCAAGGTCGGGTCCACTGCGGTGCTTGGAGGGGGAAAGCGAAGGTGGGATCGTGTAGGCTGTAGGCTGTCGGCGGATGGGATGGCACGATGAGCTGGAAGGCTAGCCCTATTAAAGTCGAACGGAGGGTGACCAATGGAAGCGGCTGGGAATAACAGTGAATGGCTCTTGTTTGTTGGAAAGACAAGGCTGTCCAGCGGCGATCTTTTGAGGTTGGTGCTTGGTGGGCGGGAGAGGAAAGCTCGAGGAGTCAGGGTGCTAGTTGTATATCAAAGGAGCATAGGTAAGAAGCACAAACAAGAAGGTGCAAGAAGCAAGCCAAATGGACTAGCAGATTCAACGCGAACAATGCCGATCTTGCCAAAGCAGGTGGCGCGCCAAAAGATTCCGCCCTTTGTTTCTTCGGCGACGGAGTGACAATGAAATTGTTCAGTTCGAGGGAAAAGTCGCAGCTGAACTTTGTGTAACTCGGTTGTCACATGGCATCTGATGTTAGTGGAGAGACCCTGTTATGGCATGCGCCGAGCTTAGCAGTGGCAGTCTCCGCAATTGCCTCGGAGAGCTGCCCCCGCGAGCTGCAAGCCCCATCATGAACCCTAGTTTATTTCGGTACCGACCATCATCAATGATCGCCATCCATCTGGTGTCTCTCCTTGGCAACCACCAGGGATGGAGGCATGGTCAGCAACTGCAAGCGAACTGCCTGGATTGCCTCAGCAACGCCCACCACCACCTGGACAACCTAGGTACCTACACTAAATCCTGCAATGCCCACGCGACATGCCGCAGCAGCAGGATGCCCGCGTCCCTGTCCGTTGCAGCATGCCAGCATCGGATAGAGCCTTGAGCTCGCAGGTAGCATAAAAAATCCTGGAAAAGCAGGACAACATAGAACCGCTGGTGGCGCTTCGAGGGTTCCCGTTATAGGTCGCCTCAGGAAGTAGTTGTAGAGTACCTATGTAGTGTATGTATATAGGTATGTTCCCGGAATACTACAATATTACTCCCCTCTTATAAGCAGTGCAAGAACGGGATACGTTTTGACCAAAGGGAACGAACGCCATTCACGAGATCTCGAAAGTGTTGATAGGTTGGTCTGTCGGCTGGCTCTCATGACCACCGCGGATCCCTCCCGCCTCACCTCGTGAGACTTCGTGATACCATCAGATACATGAAAACTTGAGTCGGATAGCAGCAACCACTTTGGCCAAAATGTAGGTGTAGTTGATTGCGTGAGGTGAGACATGCAGAGATAAAAGGATATAAATACTCTCACCGGTCGTTGTGCGTTACCTTTCAGACTTTGCACGGTTTGATGCAATGTTTGTAACTCAAGGTTTTGTAGGACAGGATGCAAGCTCGACGGCTCTTGGCCGTCATCGGTTAATGCTGGATATCCATTCCTTTTGACCATTTATTTCTTTCTTCTTCTCTGATATACTGAACACACCGAGGTACCTCATAGTCCGAGCAACAAACATCTAGCTTCAGTGACCAACACAACAATAACCACCCATAACCTATCCCATGTGCCCGTCTTAACACTCCAGCTCCCTCACCCGCTGATCCCACCTCACTTCTTGAACGTAGCCGTCCTGCCAGCCGCCTTGGCCGAGTAATGCGCTCTTGCGCCCTTAGGTCCTTCCTTAGACTTGTTGCCATACGGGTTAAACCTCTTATTCGCCTTCTTGACGTCCTCCTGAGTCTTGCGAGCACGCAACACCGACGCAGCCTGGGAGTAATCAAACGGTTGATCTTCCTTCTCCTCCTCACTCTCCGCCTGCTTAGCGGCAGCAGCAGCTTCCTCCTGGGCCTTCTTCTTTGCCTCCTTCTTGGCGGCCTTCTCTGCCCTTCGCTGGGCCCTGAGAGCTTCCTTGGCCTGCTTCTTCTTCTCCTTCCTGGCAGCCTTCTTGGATTTCTTGGATGACTTGTCGCTTGCTTCTTCCTCCTCCTCCTCTTCCTCGTCAGAATCGTCACCCTCGGCCTCGCCACCAGTTTGCGCATCGGTTTCGGTCTGAGGCGCGGAATCCTCCATTTCGGCATCCGAGGCCTCCTCTTCCTCCTCGGACTCTTCCTCGCGCTTGCGCTTGCCTCCGCTCCTGAGAGTGAATTCCTGGTTGACTATCACCTGTTCCGGCACCGGCTGGGGCTCTGGCGCCGTCTCCTCTGGTTGATCAACCTCCATCTCAGTCGCGGTTCCGTCCATGAAATCGGCGGGATAAGGGAGGGTGATCTCCAACATGCCGTCAAGCTTGGCAGTCTTCGCGGCCGTGCCGTCCCAAACCGAGCTCAAAGTGACGCCGCCCCAGAACTGGGACCGGTCAGCCTTGAGCTCCTTGACGTCCGGAATGTCGCTATCGTCGGCGATGACCGCGGCAACCTTGGCGGGAGCAAGGCTGGATGAGTCGCTCTTGAAGATATCCATCATCTTGGGACCATTCACTCCAGCTTCCTTGGCCTTCTGAATGACGTCGAACAGCTCATCCAGATGAGGCTTGAGGCCCTTGGCATTGCTATCCAGAATACTCCACAGAGCCTTCTTGTCGGTCGGGAGTATCCGGGCAATGTCGGCAAGAACCTGCTGTGTCATGAAGAACGGCGGGCTCTCGTCCTCACGGCGAGCCAAGTCGTCGCGCCATTTATGCACAGCCTTGTAGACGGCAAATTGCTCGCTGTTGTAGAGTGTTGGGGACTTCAGCAGCACATTATACCACCCGCGGGGTCCTTGGCCGGTTTCGACGTTGTAGGAAGGGTTTTCGTATCGTTGCAGGGCGACATCCTTTGACCTCTCGAGAACCTGCTCGAGAAGGTCAGGCTTCGGCTTTCCGGGTGTTGAGCGCTCCACGAGTTCATTGATGAGCATGTCGAAAATGTAGAGCAGGTAGTGGGTATCGGAACGCGCATAGTAGAACATCTCCTCGGGAAGAGGTCTGATGCGCCAGTCTGCAAGCTGATACTTTTTGTCGGCTTCGAACTCGGCAAACTTGCTAAGCAGGTATCCCAAGCTCCTTCCAGGGTATCCGAGAACGGCGCAAGCATGATATGTATCGAAAAGTCCGACAACGTAAAGACCGAGATCTCTCTGCAGCCAGATGACATCCATAAAAGCACCGTGAAGAACCTGGGTCAAGTTAGTCGAGAAAACAGTGACGGCATATGGTCGAGGTGTGTCTCACCTTGACAATGTTGGGGTTCGCAAAGACCTCATTCAGAACCTCAAGCTTATGCCTCCAAGGTTGAAGAGTATCAATCACCCAATCCTTCTCTCTGGTACTGATCTGCATGAGCGAAAGGAGTCCGGTGTAAGACCTGAAATCGTGATGCTCCAAGTCAAGCGCAATTTCCTTGGCCTGCTTGAGCTCTTCCAACATCTCCAAGACGCCCTCGTAAGTATCAACCCATATGGCGGATGTCGAATCGACGGGAAGGTACTCCTTCGGTTCTCGCTTCTTGTACACATGCTCAGGATACGGTGTCGTCTTGATCTCGGTTTCGTAGGGATGCTGGTATCTAAAACGTTCATGTTAGCGACATGCTGCTATGATTTCGAGAATGGAAGGTCGACGTACTGTGTGTTGTTGTCATTGTCGACAAATGTTGTCAAGCTGTCCTCCAGTGACACCTTGGCATGAGGCTTGGACGACAACAGGGGCTTCCAAGGGCCGGTAGCGAAGTTATCGACCTTTTTCTCGAAATTGTTCTGGGGTTTGAGAATGTTGGCTCTCTTCAATGACCAGTCAAGACGATCGTTGGACGACTTGACGCGCTTCTGAGTGCGACCCTGGTCGGCGGTGGTGGGCGCATCCTTCCGCTTGATCAATCCGGTGTACTCGTCGAGGCAGGTGTCGGCTTTCTCGAGCAGCGAGTCGATCACGTCGACAATGTTCCGCCACTGAATGTCCACATCGTCGGCATCTTCAAGAGCGCCAACCTTCTGGCCGGTGAGATTGGCAGTCGACTTTAGGAGCCCGTTGGCAAGGGACAGGAGGCGGCCGGAGCTGTTGTCGAGCTGACTACCGACAGTCGGGTTGACGGTGCGCTGGAACTGAAGATCCTCGCTGGCAATCGAGTTGGCGGTTCGGGTCGTGGCAACCAGGGCGGCCTGGAGCGATTCCCTCAAGGTCTTGAAGTCCAGTGAGCCGTCCATTTTGGCCGTTGGTTCTGCTGGAGTTGTTGTGATGCGGACGTCACAGGAAGCGGAAGCCCGATTCAGTTCTCCAAAATTGGGCTGTCGTTCTGCTCCAGGGAACTTTTTTTGCGGACAGTCCCAGCATGCGGCTTGTGGAGAAAGCGCCATGCCATCAAGTGGGTCTCGACCTTCTCTGTACCGAGAGTTACTTGTCTATGACAAAAGCTATGCAAATTTAGGTAGGAGACTTTGAAAGCCCGATAAGATAAGGCCGAGGGACCTGCCAAGAGCTTGTGCTGATCTGGACCACGATGTTCATCCATCGGCATCCAGGCTTTGGTGACGAAGGTCCGCAATTCCATCCATTGTTTGATACCAGTACTTGTTCGTTTCAAGCGACTCATCGGCAAGCGTTGATATTTGATATTCTGTACACTTATCCCACAGGACGATTACATATACTACCATTCGACACTCCGTCTGTTCGATTATTTTGTCCAAATATTTATACTCCAAGTCATCGGACACGTACCAAGTCTTTGTTTCCTTTGCCAACTTGAACGGTTTAGAAGATACTTGAGAACTTCAGGATGTCCCAGTCACTTGCGAAGGAATGCAACGAGCTCAAGGAGTAAGTTTCTGACCTTCATATACAAAACACAGTAGCTTACCCGGTTGTAGGCGGTATGATACGTGCTTTCTCAAGTGGTACAGTGAGAGTAAGTCTACAGAAACAGACAACCCAACTCAATGGACATATGATGATACTTATGCTGGACAGAATACCTTAGAGGCAATGGGACCGAACAGAATAACGAATGTTCCGCCCTCTTCAAGGAGTACAGCTCTTGCCTGCAGGTGAGTGGCAAACTCATGCCGTATCTTTAATTTGGCATAGCTTACCTTTGTATAGGTTGCTCTGAAAGAGCGTGGCATCGACAAGCTGCTAGACGAAGCGCGGGAAGAACTCAAGGGCAGCGACTCGACATATATGGGCAAGAAGAAATGTGAGTTAAGCGTAGGACTTGACTAAAGTTGATGGACGACTCTTTACTGACTCTGTCAGAACTGATCTGCGCATGAATCCCACTCGTCGACCAACTCCTTTAAGAAATCCGGAACAAGCAGTTCTCTCTTACATTCCTCACTTGTCTCTTTGCTGTATATACATCGCCAGGTGTTCGTGGAAACGAAGGCTTCATTTACATACTTCTTCTTTCAACCAAAGCTTCGTTATGTACCAAGAAGTTCAACCGTTGGTGGTTGATCTGTACCTTCCCACTTTCTCTTCTGCCAGTGTCCAGTGCTTTCACGGCTTCATAATCCGAAGCCATGACTTCAATGTTCATGTTCCCTTCCAAATAAGGTTTGAGGGGTGGATCCTCCCCAACATCCAATCGGTTCATCACAGCACACAGTCGCAGGGCAGCCAACTACACACGGCAGTACCTACCTCTAGGTTGCGGTTGCGCTCGGGGGCTCTCGCTTGTGGGCGCTAGAACACTCCACACCCCCTGTAACAGTCAGCTCCGATAAACTTCAGCGCGAGTCTCTGCCGTCCAACGACACGACACCCGCATCGCCCTGCTCCCGTCCCGTCCCAGATCAACAAATTTTGGCATCCCGTTGTGCTTCAGTTCCAGCTTTTATTTCGACATCTTCAACTTCTTGGACCGCCGAGTTTTGTCCCCCATTGCAGCACCCGCCAATCCCTCGTATAACCGCACCCAGTATCCGCCCGCATTTCCTCTCCCCATACAAGGAAAAGTGACGTCGGACTACATCTACCGGCCCAGACTCTGCCCGCGGACGCATATGCTCGAACAGTAAGGGGCAGCGCGCCTCTATGCACCCCTTTTCTGTTCTTACACTCGGCATCTTCGTAGCTGGGTATATCACCGCCCGATGGGACCTCGTCACTCGCCTATATGAGCTTGCCATATTTGCTTGGAACTACGGAGTAGTGGTAAGTGTCACATGCGTGGGAACAAGGGAAAACCGTGGCACCCCCCGTCAAACAAACAGCTTGGATCGCTAACCTTGTGCCAATTCGTCTCTAGACTCGGGCCGCCAAGGGCTTCGGCGTGTTAAGCCTTGTGTTTCTCGTCGTCTTTATTCCTGTGCAACGTCTTGCAACTTTGGAGTCGAACCTGGTACGACCACCACGCTGCTACTGCCCCCAACCATACCAACCGTCGAATACTGATAATGCTGGTCCAGCATCCGCGATCGCCAGGATCAGGTATCTCCGCGAGGGAACAACTAAGGAGAAGGGGCTCTTTCTGATTGGCTGCTCGCGAGTGCGCTATCTGTCATGCCAGAGGATGATGGCTTGATGCGCGTGTTCTGGCCCACAGACCTTCCGCGATCCGACTGTAAAGGTGTCGTGGTCGGCTGGAGGAACTCGGCCTTGGATGTTCTCGTGGTGGCAGTACTGGAGGAGGTTGAGGTTTGTGCCCTCTGGGTCTACGACTGGCCGGAGACGTGGATACAAGAGCTGACTCTCTGTGATAGCCTCGACGTGTTGAAAGCGCGTTAAAGCTCGGTAACCTCCTCCGTAACGCCCCTCACCCAGTCAGTCGCATTTACGAACAATGCGGCAAATCGTCCATAAGCGTCTTGGGCGTCTCGAACACTCCAGACACCGTCGAGGTCGACTCATCCTGGATCCGGGTTACAATAACGCCTAAGCAGCGGGTCCCTTCTGTCACCTGTGCTCGAGCATCCAGTATCCAGATTATCCTTTTCGAGCGGCCGCTGCCAGGACGAATGCAGTACATGTCACTCAATCCCATTGCCCTAGCACTAGGAGACAAACACGATGGATTTAGGCAAGACTTCGCCGACAGTGGGGAGGAGGATGACGAGAAGCGGGAGCGTTTGAACAAGGAAACGAAGCGAAAACTGGTCGAGAAGCTCAAGCAACATTCGGTGGTAAAACGAATCCCGTCGCCCAAGGAACGAGCGCTTGCGACAATAGTCAACCAAATCAACTGGGCATGGGAGCTTGAAAAGCTTCTACAGCAGAATGTCTCACGCATCGGCACCCGTCCTAAGAGGGCCCTGAGCGTGTCAGAAAGGGTGGTCGAGTCGGCAACAACAGCTCGCGACATGATTTTGGTATGGCTTTGGGACATGATCACTATTTACGTGCTGCCCGTCATCAAGAAGTTCTTCGTGCTTGGCTTGATGGCTCACAGGGTGGTCGCCGAGATGTTGTTGCGCATACTGGAGTGGCGACTTCGACCGAGATATGCAGCTTTGAAGGACATATCTGCGACGGCTCAGCAAGTTGAGATTCGTCTCCAACAGTTTTGCTACTGGCCAATGCAGTATGTCACGCTTCGGTTGAGGAAGAACGACTGGGCGAGTGTAACAACAAGTCACCCAGACTACATACGGTTTTACAACAGTCTCTGGCTTGTTGCCAATGATGTAATCATCGGTATGGCGTTTGGTTCTTACATCATTGACAATGCCGGCTGGGTGGCCGACGAGATCAGCCGTCTGCTCACCACCTATACCGTCGAGGCATTGCAGAGCAGCATTTCCTGGCTCATGGGCTGGCCGGCAGGCTTGAAGCTAAACACGGAGCTGGCGGCGTTCCTTGGTGATCTGTTCTTATGGGTCATTGAATACTGGGCGAGTAAGTTACTGATCTGCTCCTGGTTTCCTGTTGAACATGCTAACACCGGCAAAGGTTGTATCGAGACAATTCGGCCCATGCTACCACGCATTGTGTGGATTATCGGCTTCTCCAGTTTTGCGGGAGCAAGCATGCCTCTTGCCCTGTTCTCGGATCTCCTCTCGATACTCACGATTCACATTTACTCCTTCTACCTCGCCTCGGCAAGGATATTTCACTGGCAGTTGAATATCCTCCAGTCGCTTTTTCACCTCTTTCGCGGCAAGAAACACAACGTCCTTCGAAACCGTATAGACTCATGCGACTATGGGCTCGATCAACTTCTTGTGGGGACTATCCTCTTCACGGTCCTGTTTTTCCTTCTGCCCACCGTGGTGGTATTCTACTTGAACTTTGCGATTGCACGCATGGCTATCATCCTGTTCAAGGCTTGCTTCGATACTGCACTTTCTTGTCTAAACCACTTTCCACTTTTTGCATTGATGTTACGGGTCAAAGACCCGAAAAGACTTCCAGGTTTGTGTTCTTGCCGTCAGGTCTTGATTGGGAACGTCATCACTAACTGTTATCTAGGCGGCATCCGATTTGAGCTTCGAGACACCCAAGACTTTGGCGCCACCTGTAATAATAATAATCCCCTTCGACAACATCCCTCAACCTCTGTGATCTCTCTTCAGGTATGGAATCCTCGTTCAAAACAAAATGCTTCAGGAGCTCAAACTGACCTTCGTATCTAGCCCATCCCTCTGGATTTCAAGTCCATGTTCTATCAATACTTCCAGATGGGCAACCGGATTCGGAAGCACTACCTTTCGCCTCGCGTCGCCCTGTGTCTCTTGACGGGTAAGTTCGTCCCGCCGCTCAACAGGAAGAACCTGTACAGCCTCCAGTACAGCATGCTTCCCGCCAAGCGAGCCGGGGTAATGGAGATGTGGGATGCCGTGAACTCGTTGCCGGCGTCCAAGAGGAAGTCGATGCCTGTGCAGGTGCCCATCTTGGCGAACGGGAGGAGGTTTCCGAGCAATTATGGTGGGGGGAGGTCACGCAGTTATGGATAGCGATTCGATTGAAAGCGTGTGTTGTTTGTAGTTTTGACTTGTATATATTTGGTTTTGTTGGATGTTGTAATGTCATTCCTGTTGTCAGCGATTATCTGTGTTCCTACCCAGTCATGCTCGAGAAACAGCGAACATGGACGACTGGATCACTTATACGTGCGTATTGGATAGATCGTCTTATTCCTGAAAATATTGAGTTATGGAATACCTAAAATGGTGTTGTTTACATGGTGACGGAAGGAAGGTGTACAGACGGGAGCTACCAACCTCTGAGGTGGACCCCACTATAGCTTCCCCAGTTCAGTTTCTCGCTGCCTCTGTGATGCCCCTTGTCTCTCCCCACAAAACGACGACAGCTCCTTCCACAACAACGATCGTACTACAACTTCCGCTTAAATCTCAAAAATTCAGGAAGCTATCAGCTCAGGTCTCCTTCCTGTCACCAATTTCAGGCCTCCCACCAAGGTCACGGCGCGGCCAGTTCCGTGTCTTGGAGCAAGAGCTACTACCTCTCTCTACCTTACCATCCATCTCGACTTCCCCGGACGGATACTTCTACTTTGAGCACTCGGTAGGTGAGCAACTTCTTACACCCCTTTCATGAAATCAGTAGGCTTTCTACTTCCAGCTCCAACACAACATCTTGGAATTCATTGGTTCTGTTTTTTTGATCGGAGCCATACACATCAGATCACCCTTACCCACCTATTCATCTCTACCTACCTACCTGACCTACCTTTGGGCTGTCTTGTCCAGCCTCTCTCCCTCTACGTACGACCTACCGGCGGGTTCTTCACTTCATCGTATCCTTTTCTCCATCTTAACTCACTCCTCGCTGCTATTCTTTCTTCCAACTTCTCTCTTTTCTTCCCTACAATACGGTCTTGGTTCGTTGGGTGCCTCGTCATCATATATTACTGCTACCTACTTACACAAGCCAACAACATTCTAGGGATACGAGAGCACTAGGTACAAAACATAGACTTTTGAGAGGCCGACCTCCATCCAGCATGTGAGCACACTTTTTCCTTTTTTCCCTTCTATTACATCGTACGAGTTGTTGTTGCCTTGTCACGCCTTCCCTTGGTCGGCTGTTCACTTTGTGTTCAACATCGGCGGTTCGCATCACGGAGCAAATGGTCTGATGGGGCAAGGAGAAGCAAGTATGTGTTTTCACCGGGTTTTGTGGTTGTGGATATATGCTATGCCCTTTATATTCACGTCCAAGTATCCGCGGAGTGGATAGTTCAAAACACTTTTCATTTTTGAACTTTTTGGGATCTGAAATACGCTGGGTTGAATTTCGACCTAGTCTTCCATAGCGCAGAACGGCTTACAATAAGACAAACAGATACAGTACCGCACCTAAAATGTCTGCGCAAGGAGCCGCCCATAAGGAGACACCCAAGGAGACGTTCTATCGTCAGTTCCAAGGGACCGTAGCCAGTAAGTCTTTTCAAGGTTTCCATAACCGCTTGACTTTTTTCTTCTGAAATCTGACTAACGGGGCTTAAAGACCTCCAAGAGCAAATCAACCATCTCGCCAATCTCTCTGCCGTTGCAGGCGAACGCCAAGATGCCATTGAGCACATCCTAACCGGCATCTCACGACTATCCAACGAAGTCGCCGACGCCGCCGACTATGTCCCCGCCTACGACCAGCGCACCTACTCGCAAGCGCTCAAGCAGCTGACGGACCAGCTCAACGAGGCCCAAGCCAAGTTCGCGCCCAAGAGCAGGTTCCAGTTTAAGCGCCGCAGTCCTTTGGCATCCGGAGGAGACGCTGTGGCCGACAAGACCGACAAGAAGAACGATGCCCGGTATATGCTCCCCGCGGGAGGTCAGGATAAAAGCTCTTCTCCCTTCTCGGTGACCGACGCCGCCGCCGCCGGCGGTTCAGAGTCCTCGGAACACCGGGACAATCTCGGCAATTTGCCTTCTTTTCCCACCAAGAACTACAACGAAGAGATTGCGAAAGGACCGGCGGATTCGAGAGTCCGTAAGCCGAGCTTCTCGACCGCACGGGACATTACGCTTTCGGACCACGAGAAGCTGCACATCATCCTGCCGCTGTCGGCGTCCAGGGCCACTTCGGCAGGCGCGCTCACGAATATGAAGGGATGTATCGTTGACATGTCGGTGCCCACGCGGGTGTGCGCCGGCGGCGCACCGTTTGCGAGCCTGGCGCTGAAGAACATCTCGGGCAGCTTGATCGTTGCGGGCCATGTGGATGGGCCGGTGCACATCACGGGTCTGCGTGACAGCAAGGTGTTGGTGGTGGCGAGACAGGTGAGGATCCACGAGTGCGAGAATGTGGATTTTTATCTGTATTGTGCCAGTAGGCCGATTATTGAGGATTGTAAGGGGTTGAGGTTTGCGCCGGCGCCCAAGTTTCATGTGAGTTTCTTCCCCCCCCCCCAAATTGTTATGTTTGACGGTGATTTTGTTGACAAAACTCTTCTTCTAGTCGGCCGATAAGGACGAGAAAACCAACATGTGGGATCAGGTGGATGACTTCAAGTGGTTGAAGGCGGAGCATTCGCCAAACTGGAGCGTGCTACCGGAAGAGAAACGCATCGCGGAGGATATCTGGAAGGATAAGGTCCCTGGCTACCCTGGTGCAGGTCTTGATGACATCTTGAGGACAGTCGGGATTGGTGCTGAGGCGTAGAAGCCTAGAAGATCATCAAGTCTGAAGACTATCCGGAAGGTTTCTTGGGGTAACCTGAACTAGGCTGTATGGTAGCGCACTTCCTGCGGTCTCCTGTGGTCGGATCCGAGTTGTAGCGTGTAGTGTTGCAGTGTAGTGTAGAGTAATGTCGAGAATCATCATGATGTTGCCGGCGTTGGTGGATGAACAGTACTTGTAACAATGGGCATGTCGATGTTCAACGTAGGCATCCTAGCACCCCAACAGAAGAACCCATGAGCACCGTCCCGCCGATGTCTGTGATTACCCCAGCCGTTAAAAGTGGTAAGGCACAGATAGGCCTATACGGCAGATTAGCCGGAGCTGAGCGTCGACTGACTCCCCAGACCCAACTTCCGGCATCGACCAAAATCCTCAGCTCCCATCTACTCAACCATCCTCTCCCCCTCCTCATCCCTCCGACTCTGCTCCAGCCTTGCAAACTGCAGTCCCTCCTCCCTTATCCTCGCCAACATCGCAATCTGCTTCCTCTTCCTCTCCTCCAGCTCCTTGATCTCCACCTCCTGCTGCGCAATCGTCCTTCCAATATCCGGCAGCGTCAGAACCGCCTGGCGCGCCCGTTGGAGTTTGTGCTTGAGGTTATCCGTTGCTTGGGGGAGGTCTTTGGCCGTGAATGACGTTGAAGCTGCTGTCGAGTTTGGGTTGGAAGTACTAGGGATGGGGAGCGGGGTGGTGCCTGTTACTGCGCCGGGGGCGGGGGTGCCGATGCCACCGGGGTTGTTGGAGTTGGGGCCGTTGTTGGAGGAGGGGTTGGGACCGGAGGAGGAAGAGGCGGCGGCGGCCTGGCGGGTGGAGGCGGCGGCGGCGCGGAATTTGGTGAGGATGGTGGTTAACTCGGTTAGGGTGTCGATGGCGTCGGGGGAGAGGGTGGGGGGGATGTGGGTTGCCATTTTTGTTGTTGTTGTTGTTGTTGTTGTTGTTGTTGTTGTTGTTGTGGTGGTGTGGTGTTGTGTTTGAAAGGTGTGTTTTGGTTCGATGTGCTTGGTGGCTAGCTGGTTTGGTGATGGGGAATGGTGATGGCTGGTGAGATGTGGGATGTGTGGTGGCCGTGGTCGTGGTCGTGTGATCGCGAGGGTCGTCGTCGTCGTCGACGTCGTTGTTGTTGTTGTTGTTGTTTGTGGTTGGCGTCGTTATGGTTGTGGAAGCTGGAGCTTCGTTCGTTGCGCTAAGTGTCGGGCTAACACGGTGTACGTAATGGCGACGACTCCGGAAGTGATAACGCCGGCGGTATTGTGGAATTCCAATTGACTTTTTGTTCGGCGATAAATCGATAAAATGGATGTTTTTAGTGTTTGAAATGCAATCTAACCTTAAAAGTTCCCGTCGTGGCGGTGGGGTCCGCGCTTATCGTTGTGCGGCGGCCGGGGCGGCGTACCGCGGCGGCGTACCGCGGCGGCGTACCGCGGCGTGCCTGGGAGATCAATGCTTCCCGTCATCATGATGACGGCCGCGGGGTCCCCCTGCTAGGCGGGTCTAGGGGCCCTTGCGAAGTCGGTCCTTCCTGCCCCTGCTGCGAAGCTTGCTGCTAGGGATCTGCTGGGGAGCAGTGTGGGTGGGAAGCCCCGTCCAGCGACGTCAGGTGGGGTTCCATGCCAATGGAGGGGCCGACCTGACGCTCACAGGCTGCGGGCGCGGGCAATCGGGAGACACATCCAGACACAGTCAACGAACCGAATGTGCAGTCCAAGGCACGGCAAGTAGCACCGAGCAGGCAGTGGCAGACGGGAGTGATACCAATTGCTGCGATTACGAAAGTTTGTAACCCCACCATCAAAATCTCTCAACATCCTAGACACGAAGTGGTCTTACTCTCATCTGATCCTGTTTTCCTCTTTCCATCCCGCAATTGTAGAAAGGTTAGTTATCAGTCCTCTGTCCTCGATCCCATCCATCTCGTCAGCCATCTCTGTTCGCCGTTTCTAATAACTGTTGCGCCGCAGATCTTGTCGTTAGAGCTTCCTTCTTTCGCTTCTTTCGACACCTATACATACACCTACATATTCCCAATAAATAACAACACAATGGCTCCCGCCCACAAGGCCTGCTTGAGTACGTCCGCCCGCCGTCCTGACTACGCGCTGGTCGCGTGTTACATGCTAGTTTACCTGGAACTGGCCTGGTTGATCATGATGCTCATCCGATCGTCCTATAGTCGTGATTGACGGTTGGGGTATTCCCTCCGAGGAGTCCCCCAAGAACGGCGATGCCATCGCCGCCGCCGAGACCCCTGTGATGGACGAGCTGTCCAAGAGCGCCACCGGTTTCACTGAGCTTGATGCTTCCTCCCTCGCCGTCGGTCTCCCCGAGGGTCTCATGGGTAACTCCGAAGTTGGACATCTCAACATTGGCGCCGGCCGTGTCGTCTGGCAAGACGTTGTCCGTATCGATCAGACTATCAAAAAGGGAGAGCTTGGCCAGAACGACGTCATCAAGGCTACCTTTGAGAGGGCGAAGAACGGCAACGGCCGTCTCCACCTCTGCGGTCTCGTCTCCCACGGCGGTGTTGTAAGTGGTCAATGTTCACTGATAGCAGATGATAGTTGGAGTCTTCACAATTGCTGACAGTCCTCTTCCCATAGCACGCCAAGCAGACACATCTCTATGCCCTCCTCAAGGCTGCCAAGGAGGCTGGCGTCCCCAAGGTTTACATCCACTTCTTCGGCGATGGCCGCGACACCGACCCCAAGTCCGGCGCTGGTTACATGCAGGAGCTCCTTGACACCATTAAGGAGATTGGCATTGGTGAGCTTGCCACCGTTGTCGGCCGTTACTATGCCATGGATCGCGATAAGAGATGGGAGCGTGTCGAGGTTGCCCTCAAGGGCTTGTACCTCGGCGAGGGTGAGGAGAGCACCGACCCCGTCCAGACGGTCAAGGAGCGCTACGAGAAGGGCGAGAACGACGAGTTCCTCAAGCCCATCATCGTCGGTGGCGATGAGCGCCGCATCAAGGAGGACGACACCGTCTTCTTCTTCAACTACCGCTCCGATCGCGTCCGCCAGATCACTCAGCTCATGGGTGATGTCGACCGCTCGCCCCTGCCCGACTTCCCCTTCCCCAACATCAAGCTCGTCACCATGACCCAGTACAAGGCCGACTATCCTTTCGAGGTTGCCTTCAAGCCCCAGGTCATGGACAACGTGCTCGCCGAGTGGCTCGGCAAGCAGGGTGTCAAGCAGGTCCACATTGCCGAGACCGAGAAGTACGCCCACGTCACCTTCTTCTTCAACGGTGGTGTCGAGAAGGTCTTCCCTCTCGAGACTCGTGATGAGTCCCAGGATCTTGTTCCTTCCAACAAGAGCGTCGCGACTTACGACAAGGCTCCTGAGATGAGCGCCGATGGTGTCGCTAACCAGGTCGTCAAGCGTATGGGCGAGCAGGAGTTCCCCTTCGTCATGAACAACTTTGCTCCTCCCGACATGGTTGGCCACACCGGTGTCTACGAGGCCGCCATCGTTGGTTGCGCCGCTACCGACAAGGCCATTGGCAAGATTCTCGAGGGCTGCAAGAAGGAGGGTTACATCCTCTTCATTACCTCCGACCACGGTAACGCTGAGGAGATGAAGTTCCCTGACGGCAAGCCCAAGACCTCCCATACCACCAACAAGGTCCCCTTCATCATGGCCAACGCCCCTGAGGGCTGGAGCCTCAAGAAGGAGGACGGTGTCCTTGGTGATGTCGCTCCTACAATTCTTGCGGCTATGGGTCTCCCTCAACCCGAGGAGATGACTGGCCAGAACCTTCTTGTCAAGGCCTAAAGTATATAATGTAACGATTGGATGGCGTGATGAAACAAGTAACATAGATTATAGACGGGCATGATAGCAATATGGTGATTCGGGCTCAAAAGTTGCCCTTTCAAAGCACCTACTGTGTTGTTCGGTCTTTGCTTTGCTGCTTTTGCGCTCCGGTTTTTTTCCCAGTTCTTCGCAGGATATTCTCCATCCGGGGGAGATTGGTATTGGCAAGTTGTTGCATCTTTTTCCATTTCGGCTTGGTGGGTTGATTTTCGAAGTCTCCTGGTTTTACAGATTCGGTCATCCGGCACCATCCACTACAAGTGTTTGTCACTCTCAGTCCGGGTCTTTCCTCGACCAATATGTTGGCGTGTCCGAGCGCCAGATGAGGCAGAAAAGGTCAATATATGCACAACCCTTTGAACCGGCTGGCCGCTTGGGTCGTTCCATTCGCAACTGCTGTTGTGTAACACCTGTCTGAGCGGGGTAACCAAATCATGGTGTCGAGTTGACGTTCTGCTACACCACAGGGAGGAAGGAACGGGACGGCTCGATGTCCTTTTTCGCTTGACCGGTCTCCTGAAGTCGGAAAGAGCGTTACAACGTGACGCATGCACAACCGTGTTCATTTGTATCGGACGATTAAGGCAAGCGCATAGAAACCCTGGCATGGCAGCTGCCAAACTTAATTATAACGTCTGGTCCAAGCTGCTTCAAAAGGGAAAGAACACAAGTTACCTTTTGCCTTTTGAACTTGACGTCCCCCGCGAATTGGACTCCTCCCACTTCACATCAACTTTCTTCGCTGCTGTCACTCTAACTTTGTCTTGTTCTTGCATCAGTTGTTTATCTTCGATCATCGTTTTGAATTGTATTCTGCTTGTTGTGCGTGTCACCTCTTTTTCAATGTGAATTCATCACATTCTCTTCTCTTTGAACATCACGCCAAAACATCAGATCCGCAGTCCATGAACAAATCATTTCAACAACAAATCCCAAAAAACACCAACAACACATCATCGGACGTCACATCGCCAGCGCCAAAATGACTCCACTATTCCACGAAAGGTGAAAATGGGCCATCGATATGTGGGTACTCACTCGCTCAACCACACATCACTTCACCAACCCTGGCCTCGAAGCTAGCGAGCTACGGGCACAGCAGCAGCACGTCGCAGTCGCAGTCGCACGCGGGCGCATGAAGAGACGAAAAGGCAAAGCGCGGGCCTCTGGACCTCTTGTCCGCTCCGTCCCAAGTCTGGAGTGGAGACACCCCGATCGTGGCCAACATGGATGGAAACTTGGCAGCTCGAGCTCGGATTCGTTCGCCGTCCGTCGATGGTGCGGAGGCCTAGCGGAGGGGTTGTGAAGGCCCAGCCCCGCCCGACCGAAAGAAAGTTGCTCACCTCCGTGTCTGGAGCTTGATGGGCCGCCTCCGCCCTCCCTGCCGTCCGCGAAAGGCCCCAGGAGCCCCGTGGTCGTCCATCACCGGTTCCCCGTCTGTCCGTACTCTTGTTGCATCCACTCCGGCCGTCCAAGTCCCGGCAGTTCTCCGTTATCAAGCTCCTGGTTCGGGCCGGAATTTCGAGATTTTGATACCGAAGCGGGCGTCAAAACAAGCGTTTCCGGCGCCTACTGCGGGAATGCCGCAGGACTGCCGCTGCCGCAGGTTCAAGATGCAATGTTGGAAACTGTAAACATGTCATGCATCTCGGTTTCACGTTTCAAGCAAGCAGAGAACCCGTGTGGTGGTCGACAATGGAAGAGTTTCTTTTTGTGGATGAAATGTTTCCCTTGAGAGCGATGTGAGAGTGCTCCGGGCTATTTTACAGGTTCGCCGGCAGTACCGACGAGACGGAGAGATCGCCAAAGCTCGTCACTCCACGGTCTAAGGTCTATACGCCCCTTCCTCCGTCTATGCTGCAATTCTATGCCGATTCGAATGCACTCCCTCACCCCATCTCACAATGGATATGCGGTGTGGATAATGCCGCATATGACCATGAACCTTTTCGTACAAGCCGGCTCGTCCGCTCTCTCCATATGTACAGGCGATGACTCCAGCTAGGATTCGCCGTATTTCCCGTCCAAGGTTGGATGCATTTAGGTCTAGAGGTCACGTTACGTCAGAGCCGTCCAAGCGCGGGGTGCAGTTGGGCATCCATGAGGATGCTGCGGCGGATGCGGCATTTAGGTTACTTACGAACTTGGCCATGAGGGCAACCATGAGGTCGAAAAGACCGATGGCCTCGACGAAAGCGAAACCAAGAATGGCGTAGGAGAAGAGCTGGCCACGGAGGGCGGGGTTGCGGGCAACACCGTTGAGGAGGGCGGCGAAGACGAGACCGATACCAATACCGGCACCGGTAAGACCGATGGCAGCGGCACCCATACCAAGGTTCTTGGAGACCTCAACCATGGCCTGGGCGATCTCGGAAGAGTAGGCGCGCTTCTGGAAAGCCTGGCGGGTGGTGGCGTTGACGATAGAGGTCATCTGAGTGCGCTTGAGGGTCTGGAGGGGGGAGCCTGGAGGAACATGTCAGACTCTGGTTTTTGCCCATAATCTCAACAATTCCCGCGTCACGAAATATCCCTCTGCGATTCTGATGGATGATCGTCGGGCAGCAGCGACAGAGGGAAAAATTTTCCCATGGCTGGTTCTCGGTCGTGATGTGATGGGAAGGGTCGCTCGCAAGATTCCGAATCACCGCTTACCAGTCTGGATGGTGCGCTTGCTGACCTGAGCAACGCGGACAGCAGGGCGGGCAACCTTGGCGGAAGCAGCCATCTGGGAGGCCAGGCGAGAGGCGAGGACACGAGTGGAGGCCATTTTGTCTATGGTTGGGTATACTCTCGAAGAGATACTAGGTGGACGAGTCGGGAAAGGCTGAGAAAAAAGCTGGAGGAGGGAGAGTTGACAGGTGGACTGCTGGAGTGAGAGAAAAAGAGGAGGTGAGAGGAAAAGTGCGTCGGTGCGGGAAGAACAAGTGGTCAGCGAGCGCAGGAAACCTCGGGCTTGTCCGGGCAACGGCTCCAAACCGCCAAGCACCACCTCTCGTTGGTCAATTCAGGCCGGAGGCATTTTCTGGTGCCCACCATTCTGTGGGTCGGACCACCCAGCTTGCCCAGTGCTTCGTCTTTTGAAGGGGAAAATTGCTGTGGCACGCAGGGCAAGACGGGCAGAACCTGGGGCTGTTGGTCACTGCTTTTTTTGACGACTTGCTGCTCGCTTTTGCCTGCAGTTTCGTGCTGGTGATGCTGTTGTTGATGCTTTTTCCTCACAGCATTCCTCCAAAAGGATGGGAACACAGCAGGGACAGGTAATCGGGCAAAATCGGAACACTGTCTGAGCTTTTTCTCTGTGGCACAGCTCATTGGCTCGAGGAGCTCAAATTTAAGTTTCTTACATACCCAGTTCTATGCTAACTGCGATTTAATAGGGCAAAATAACCAAGCTTCAGCTAGAAGCTCCCCGTCAACAGTCTACAGCTGATGTTGGTGCTGGTTTTGTTGTTTTGGCCATCATCTTGACAGCTCTCGGGCCAAGCTCGCCGTGAATACTGGCTGAAAATTTTTGGGCTGCTGCCCGCCATTGTTGACTGATGTCTGAGGCACTGAGGCTCCCTTCACTCAGGACAGGGGTAAGCAACCCGTGTCCCCCACCCAAAAAGCTGTGATGGACAGCTGCCATTGGTTGAAGCTCAACTTTCACATAGTGCACTTTGGGGGAACAGCTACTGTGGAACAAACGAAACCAGCCAGTGTCGGCTGTGAAAACACAAGTGATGACGACAGGATCGAATAGGATAAAACCGCTCCTCACTGTTCACGCCTCGCGTCTTTGCACAAAAGCATGCATGCGCATAATCGCAACCAAAATGGTAGCGGTGGCGATAGGACGCTCGATAGGCGGTAATGTACAGCTCGATCGATAGTTGTCGAACTCGAGCTTGCGCTGTTTGTGTCCGGATTTAGGATGTTTTGAAACAGGAGCTGTCACCAGATATTCAAAGCTTGGATGGCTTTTAACAAGGCACATCCATAGCATCGTTGAATTGCGCCGAAACTTTGTTTACTCTGTCTCGTCATCCAATCTATACATATGCCGCGCGCGCATCTCCAATTTGCGGAAGCTTCGTGTCAAAGCTGTCGGGCATTGCCCAAACGGCAATGTAAATGTCGATATCAACAGCAACGTCAACCGCACTGCGCAGCCGAACGACATTCACTTGCACTTTGCAGTCAAAAGTGGAGTGGGGTACATTCTCCCTCCCGCACGCACAGTGGATGAGATCTGGATGGTAAATGCGCGGGAATATGGTGCATTTTTGGAGCTTTTGCATTTTGCCCATTTCGCGTGTTTTATCCATATCAGAATGGAGTTGTTGCTTGAAAGTAACGAGGGATATCTACAAATACAAATACAAGAAGTATAAAAGCAGTTCATCTCCCATTGCAACGACGATGACTTTTGTCTTGTCTTTTGTTTCGTTTCTCATTTTGTGAACGCCACAGTACCATGTTCATTCAACGAACCAGTTCTTCTTGTTCCATGGTTTGCTTGGGACTGGCAAGAATAGAGTTCATTTCAACATCTGGAGTTCGATTATGTAACATCCAAACTTCTTTTCACAAATCATCAACCTTTTGCAACATTATAGCCCAAGCAGAGTCCTGTAAGACATGAGTACGTACTATGACATGTTACTGCTATGCGATGTTATTAGATCAGCTATACAATATTTGAGATTACGATAGTCCAAGATGAAAGAATGGGTGATAGACATAGATACGCCCAATTAACTCCCCGTTCACAAAGCCACTTAAAAAAAAAAAAAAAAAAAAAAAGCATTGCGATTATCACAAATACTAACAACGTGGAAGTTCTTCATGGGTGTGTGATATTCCTATCATGAATGACGAGCGAACTTGCCCCAGCTCCTCCTATCCTAGTTCATGAGACTCTTTCGGAGGGTCAAAACTCCCGCGCTCCGTTGTTCTCCTCACTTCTGCTACTATACCGACGAGTCCCACCTAACCATGAGCTACACATGCGGTAGTGTCTGATAATGGACATGAAGGAGCCCTACTGGACTCACTGCGTTCCGTCATATTCCTCCTCTGCACTGCAATAATCCCTCTTCGCAACCAATACCTTCTTCCCCGAGAGCAAGCTGCTCTTCTCGTCCACCCCCTGGCGCCCTGGGGTATCCTGATTTTTGCGCAGGATGATGCCATTGACCCTCTTCCTCTAATCACATCGTATCCTCGGAACTTGTTTGGTACAATTAGTCGACTTTGATGAAAGTACATCGCAGTTCCTTCAGTGAAACTAAGCAGCAGGCAGATCTGCTGGGGGGGGCGGTTGCTGCGGTCACTGGGAGCAGATGGTTCATTGCTGGTGGGTTCCTTGTCAGTGAGGGTTCTCCCTCGATGCTCGCTCGTCCGAATCCGAAGTAAAACTCACTCGCTGGTACAAACTGATAAATAGTCAAACGTCATCGTAGTGATCCTTTTCCTTCTAGAGGATCTGTCGCGGCCATCATAACGTCGACCACTGAGACTGTCGCCCTAGAGCACATATGAGGGCGCGGCGCCAATAGTTGCTTTACCCAGAATACAATGTTCAAACAAGAGCATCGTCGGCACCATTGCCGAGTTTGCAAAAAGTTTCTGCATGGGATATGGATGCCTCCTCTTGCTGAAATGTTGTTATACAAACAGCTGCCGCGGACGCCTAGTATGGTATGACCCAGCTAGGCAGCACCGGCAGTCACTTGCTTTGTGGGGTTTTCATCCCTCTTCCTCTGAAGAGGGCTCCTCCATGATAAAGTCGTCGATGAAGCCCGCAGGATCGCAGGTCCGTTCCAAGCTGATGCGGTTCCGAGTCACCCAGTTGTGCACAGCTTCCAGGGTGATTCGAACCCGCGGGACATCCTCCACCACTGCTGCTGCTGCTGCTGCTGCTGCTGCTGCTACTGCTGGTTCCGGAGGACCGTTGGCCATTTCTTCCTCGCTAGGTTCGTGAATCTTGGGCTTAGGAGGCCCCCTACCCGCGTCTTCGGCAACATCCATCTCTCTCAGCACCGCTAGGCAATCATCGGGGGCTATCCAGGTTGCTTTGCTGCACTCTTCAATGTCGATGACCGTTTCCTCGCCCGGTGTAGTGCCGGTCGGTTCCAAGCTGAGAAGCCAACGGGCTATCTCGCCAGCCCAGAAGCGCTTGTACCCCTTTTTTCCGAGCTCCGAGATGGGCTTTTCGGGACCCCCAATAATTCCCTCGCGTCGAGATATCTCGTACGAGACGCCCATGAGGAGCGCACCCAGGCCTTTGCGCTGCCAAGGTGGGAATATGAGGATACATGCGAGGTTGTTGTTATCCCATGACATCTTCTCTTTGGAGAAGAAACCGACGACTTGACCGCGAGGCTTGACGACCTCGGTCACGTCTGAGTCCGGGTCCGTCGGAGGATCAGGCGGAGTGAACACAAGCAGGAAGTAGTGGAAGCCGCTAACATCGAAAAACACCGACTTGTTGTCCAGGAAGAGCTTTGCAAATAGGGAGAGGTTTTGGCAGAAGAGCTGTGAAGAAATATCAGCAATCTTGCTTGATGATGTTTTTGTAAGAATGGCTATGGGAGCGGTGCTTACCATGTCCTCTTCCCCATCCACCTTCCAAATACTCCATTCCCCTTCATCCTGGATCACCTCCTCGATCATCTTCTGCCCGATACTTGCACGTTTACCCCTTCCAGGCTTGGGAGCCGGCCCTGTTGGTACGAGAACTGTCCGCCGTCCTTTTGGATGCACATAGATCTTGGTTCCGGGAATGTGGCCCCGAGCCTCGCACAAGCAAACATGCCTTCGCCAGGCAACCAGCTCCTTGGAGTACTTGAAACAACACGGGCACACGTAAAGGCGGTCGAGCATAGGCGGCTGGTGGTGGGGTTGGTGTCCATGTGCCCCCTGATTCGAAGGGTTTGTCCCATTGGCAATCGTCGTTCCAACACTAGGCGGGCCTTCACCGAGAACTTCCTTTCCGTAGTAGGAAGGGTACCATGCCCGGAAGCATATGTCACCCAACACGACCTTATCGATGTTACGGTCTGGCCGCTCGCCGGGTGCCCGAGAGGGGTTATCTGATTTGCCGCCACTCGGGCCAGGCCTCGCAATCGGTGAGCGCTGTGTTTGTTGTTGATGTTGTGGTGGTGGTACTGAGGGTGCCATGGAGATGATTTTGTTCATGCTGTGGTGTGGGAGCACCACCGGCCCCGCAGCGGAGCGGCCATGGCCATGTCGTGCCGAGTCGTGTCGTGCCTGTCCTCCGGCGAGAGGGCCTGGGAGGATTGCCGTAGTCGGAGTGGGGGCAGGAGCACGTATGGGAGACGCAGTCGGCGCCTGGTGCGGATGTGCGAGGGGTGATTGATGGGCTGCTGAGCTCTTGATGGTGATTGATCGGGCGGGTGCGATTGCACGGGGACCGGAATGGGAAGAGTTGGAGTGGTGGGAGCTGGCGTGGGGTCGCGGAGGATGCGGATGCGGATTCGGATGCGAGCTGGAATTGGAATTGGAACTGGAACTGGTGGGCGGCGTGGGCACCGGAGGGTCAAAGTCGAAGCTGGTGTGACGCGTCAGGCGAGTCTTGATGATTGGAGCATGTCCATGATGGGAGTTGGACTGCATCGGGATGTTTTCCTTGCCGCGGAGGGCTGGTGGTGGTGGTGGTGGCCCGTTCGGGCGCGGCGCGTCGTTTTGGGTGGGAGACTGGTCGGTGGCAAGGCCAGTGCCAGTGCCACTGCTGTCCCGGCGTCGGCGTCGTCGGGGTGGTTCCGGGTCGGGAAGGACGGGGAGTGGGGCGGTCGATGTCTGGCGTGTCGCTCGGCGCGCCGTTCCAGTTACAGGGGAACCTGAAGCCAATGGAGCAGCGGTAGCGGTAGCGGCGCCAACACCAGCAGACGCAGCCTCGGACGAGTTCGTACCTGTACTGGTTCCGCCTCGGTGTCGTTTTCGCTTGAGAGAGGCCATAGGTACGAATTGGGCGTGTTCCTCTCGTCGCGGATCGTCGACGTGGATGACTAGTCTTTTGTGGGAGTTGTTGCGATGACGAACGGTCAATGGGAATGCAATCTCGTGGCAGTGTCCATTGGGGAACTTTCAGCTTTGTTGGAGGCTGACCAAGAACACGGTATAGATACTCAGCACCCCTCTTCAATATGCAGGCTGCAGAAGTACTGGTACTTGAATCTGGCCAAGAGCTAAACCCCCTTTCCGTCTCGATGTTAGTGACTGATGTGTAGCACAGACCTCCATTTCAGGTTCCCGCTTCACACGCCCGCTTCCACGGCAGGCAGCCGACACTGCTCCGTCGCAACCAGGTAGGGGGGAATGAGGGGGTACTCGTCAGGTCTATAAAATCGACCTCTGACTAGCGGGCGGGCTACTAGTTAGGACCATTAACTCGTATACGATTAATAATTTGTACCGAACGGGGTATATCCCCCACCCGCCATTTTGCTAGCAAATGAAAGTCGCTCATCCGGAGCCAATAATTTTTTTTAGTAATATATCCATATTTTCTAATCGTATACAATATCGCTAACACAACCAACATATATATCAATATATAAAATTATCGTTATTTTATATAACTATCATTACACACCTACTTTAATATATACTATCTTATAATATTAACTTCCTCACAATCAAAATCTCTATAACCCTCTTCCTCTTTCTTCTCGTCGTCATTATTATTAGAAATAGCTTTATTAATATTATTATCGTCCTTGTCTTTATATTCTTCGTATTCTTCATCTTCTTAATTTATTTATACCCATCGTCTATCGTTAGGATACTACCAATCTAAATCTTTCTATATATTTACTAATTCATTATCTTTAATAATCTTAGCCTACTTTAGTTCCTCTAATTCCTTTTTTAACGGTATAATACCCTTACTATTAATTACACTATAATAATATTATTTACAAACTTCTTTTTTACTTTATTAAATACCTATAGAGTATACAGTTTAGGCGGATTATTAGGAAGTTACTAATAAAAAAGTAGAATTAAGTTACTTATAATACATTTACCTTCTAATTACTTAACCTTTTCATTTATAACTCTTTACCTCTCAGTTTAAAAATAGTACTAATAATTAACTCTCTCCTTACAATATTTACTAGATAACTAATCGTTATTAAAGAGCTTTACAATATATAATTTAATATACTTTTAAATCTCTATTCTAAGGGTCTTAAAAACCCTTAACCGTAACTTTTCGTTAATTAACTATACCTTCTATACTACAATAAAGCTATTAATCCATACCCTCAACATACTTTACTCTTATTAAAGCTTTCGAATATAAATATATTCGTTTTCCTTCTTAATAAGGGTAATATATTAATATTTATCTATTATAATGCATAATCGACTATTACTAATAATAACAATACCGCTACGTTTTAATAAACGGTTAATATTACGCTAATTACGCAATACTTCTTCGACTACCTCCTCTTTACATTTACGTTTAAATTCTACCTCCCTTATAACTACGAGATTAAAGGTATTACTAACCTTATTTTACTTAACTAATATGTATAAAACTATTGGAAATATAGCGCAATCTCCCTTAATTGTAAACAAAAGCCGTTAATCAATATACTCGCTATATTCTTTAATAGAGGGGAGGTTAAATACTAATATAACTATACTATTCTAATCTTTAATAATACAATCCTTTTTCTTTAATGTAAATAATTCTATTAAAGTAAGGAATTCTCTTACTATAAAGGAGTTAGTTAATATAAGTAAAGAAGGACTACTTAATATAACTATTAGTACGAATTCTATTATACAGAAGGGTATTGTTTCTAATTCTATACCAAGATCAATAATTCCCTACTCTACGCAACAAACTATGTATCCATTCCTCTATTTAATATACTCATCATTTATTAATAAAGTTAAAGGATCACGAAGCTTTAAAAGAATCAAATCAAGGTTAAAGGGACTCAAGCTAATACACTTCTAAGCAAAATAGATATTCTTGGGTTTAAATACCTTCCTTCGAACCTACTTAAAGCCATCAAAAAAATCCAACTTATTATAATCAACGTTATTAAATACTGACTTCTTACGTATATCAACTTAGTAAAAGTACTTATAAACTTAGAAGATACCAACGTCGAAAGGTTAAAGGAAATATATTAAATAAGGGGGTAAAAAAAAAAGAATAACCTTATTCTTCCTACATTACTCGTAAAATTCGATAGTACAATAACTACTATAATTATCTAGTACCAAAACTCTCCTCTCCTTTTTATTAAAGGGACGAAAATACTCCTCCAAATACTTAAACCAATCAAGGGTATACTAGTCATCGGTATAGCCTCGTAGAGAAGCGGCAATAACTATCCCGTTATCGAAAGAGTTATTAATATATTTATATATAATATTAACGCCAAGAAATAAGACGAAGGGTAATATAGTACAGCCAAATACAAAGATAGCTTCAAGAATAATAATAATAAGTTTCTAATTAAAATTAATGGACTATACTTTTATTCTTTTAATATAAATGTATATATAATAGGCCTTATTTAATATACTAACTCTAAAACTAAACTCATTACTATTCCAAACGTTATCTCGCCTAATCTTATATTTAGTAATAATATTATTAAAGAAATAAAAAACTTCCTCAACGTCTATTCGTATTTATAAAACTTTACGTACCTATACTATAGACTTAGTACGTACGTTATAGAAATCTCCCTATTGTAAATATCGTTATACTTATCTATTATTAGTACGAAGGATAGTGATAGAGGAATCTTTATTATCATTATTACGGCTTAGTCTAATTAAGGCAATCACAATTGAAACTAATTACTAAAGAGTTATTTCAATATCTATAAGGTATAGTTAATTTTATTTAATAGAATTAATAAGTAATATTTACTAACGGATATTTATATATTAATCTAAATATATATAGTAAAATCCTCCTCTCCAATCAATAGGGTTCTATAACTTCTATTATTTACCTTCGAATATGCTCCCTTATAGTGGTTAATAACTTATTTATAAAGAATTCGAAATGCCTTCGCTATATTTGCTATAGTTTTGAATCCGTTATTCTAAAACGTTTTTATAGCGGTTTAAACTCTCCCCTCTATATGGAGCGTCCTTTATATATTATCAATAATATCTTTAATATTAGAAATTAAATTAACGGGCGTCGGATCAGGGTGTAAAGAACTATTAGCAGATTCTTAAAGTAAGTGAAATATAGTGTAATAGATAAGGGATATAGTAATGAGAGGATAATCCGATAGGGAAATAGAGGAAGACGATGAAATTAAAGGAGTTTGAGTATAATTAAAACTAATTGTATGTAAAGATAAGTATAATTATTAATATTATTAATTTAAATAAGTAATTTAAGAAGTAAGCAGTTAAGTGTAAATGGCTAGTGTACATTTAGAGTGTTAGACAGTACGGGGAATTGGGCTACATACAACTAAAAAAATATGTTGTTGAATAGATCTATATTGATTTGCTAGTAAAATGGCGGTGTGGGGAGGTACCCCCTGTTTCGGGTACGAATTAATGGTCCTGACTAGTGGCCCGCCCGCTAGTCAGAGGTCGATTTTGTAGACCTGACGAGTAGCATCCGCTAGTGCAGCCCAGGTCCGAATATCTGGACAAGCGCCTGCACACTGGGCAGAAGAATTGGGGAGAAAGTCAGCAACAGCCAGATTTCCCCAAAACCGCCAAACGAACGTTGTTGGAAATCGCCAATGCAAAGCCCTCCAACCCATCGCCAGCCTGCCGTCTCTTCAGAATGGTTGATTGCCTACATCAATGTTTGGTACTAAAGGTTCCGCCCTAAGAGGTGTGTCGACAACAACGAGGTTCTGCCAGGTAAACATGTGGAACCCTCATGACTCTCTCACCCTTGGGTACCTTGTCGCTGGCCACGAGCACTGACTCCTCTTCAATACAGCTCCCCGCTTGGTCGTCCGTGTGCTCCTCTTCAATACCGGATGGACATGGTACTTTCCGAAGACGATCAACCGCTGCCGCTGCCGCTGCCGGCGCCGAAGCCGAAAATGTCCTCCCCACCGGCTCTACGGCTCCGGCCAGACCCGCTCCGTCTCTCGACGCCTCCACCACCACCTCGGCCGATCCGTTTGCTGTACTAGAGAGAGCTGCGGCACAAGGGGAATCGAGCCGCCGCGAGAGAGTACCTCATGCTTGCGCTCCGGCCAAACCCGCTCCGTCTGTCGCCGCCTCCACCACCTCGGCCGATCCGTTTGCGGTGCTGTGGCATGCGACACGTGGGGGATTGAGCCGCCGTGAGAGACGACTAAAAGATGGGCCTCCGGTTCCTGGGATACAAACGCCCTTTGAGAAAAAGTTCACGCCGTTTTCGCCTACAAAGGCGCTTGCCATGTTCATCAGGCGCAAAGCTCGCAAATATCCACCTCACAAGTGGTATGTTCTCCGTGCTCTTGCCAACAATAAGTCTCCTCGATTGCCCGGTTGTCTGGCACAGTTCATGTTCAAGCAACGTGTAGCGCACTGGCGCAAGTCTCGAATCTCCTTCTACCACCTTAGGGGACTTCCAAGCTATCTGGAAACAGAGCAAGCATGGGCAAGGCGCATAAAGCGTCTTGAAAGGAAGGGATACGGCACCAGCGATCTTGAAGAGTGGTCGTGGATTTTACAAGGAAAGACTGGAGACGAAATCGTTCAGCGGTTCGTCTCTCGTGACACCTTCAAGCCATATTTTCTCATGAACATGGTCCTTGGGCGCGACAAAAGGATATTCCAAGCGCAGAGCCTCGCCGTCATCTTCGACTATATCTCCCGACACTACCTGGAACCGAGACAAAAACCTGAACAGAAACGTGTTGGTCCAGAATTCAGATCTGACGTCTTCAAGATCATGATGTATCGACTCATGTGGCATTGCGCGGCCGTATGGCCTGCTGCTCTGATCTCGGTTGCCCATCTCGTCGCGGCATATCTCGAGACCTGCCGCGCTGATGCCGGAGGTGATGACGAAGTAAAATGGCAGAGAATAAGATGTCGGATCCTTAACAGCGCTCTTTGTGCGCTTGACAGGAGGACGCCCATCGCTCCTTACAAGCACGTCCGTTACAACTGGGAAGCCCAGAAGGTCCTTCTGGCCGCGTCTGTCAAAATGAGACCTCACTTGCTGATTACCCAGAACGGCTACCGCTCAATAAGAAGGGTGTTGCTGGGGATGAAGAAGACACCAGCAGAGGAAAAGGCCATGATTCGGTCTGCAAAGACGTGGCCACCATACCGTTTATCGTGGGATGGAGTGGACGAGCAACGCGATCGTGAAGAAGATCTGAGCAGGAGCGCTAAAGCAGGAACCATGATGGTCGAAAACGGATACCCCTCTCAGCCCATTGATGAGGCATTGACCAATCTGGGTGGTTCACTGCCCGGCCGACAGCGCACGATAATGACCAGAACTGACGGACCACCCAAATGGAGTAGTCCCAACATGTTTGTCTACGCCACGTGGGTTACAGCCATCGAGGCCACGCGCAACGTTAGGGAGGCCTGGACGGAGTTTCAGAGACCTCCTCGACCCAACCTCCAGCCTACTGCCGATGTGTATGCTGCCATGTTGGAAAAGTTGTTTGCAGAGGAAGTGCCCCCAGATAGTCCGCTGCTACCGGGTGACTCGCGGCATTATGTCTTTCCAGTTCATGACGGTAACCTTAGCGCCTATGAGATCGCGAGACTTACTCCTCCGGCTCCTGGTGACTTGTATCGACAAATGTGGGAACGCAACATCCGACCAAACGACCGCCTCCTCGAGCTTCTACTTAAAAACACCAACTCAATAGAGGCCGGGTTGCAATACATCCTGGACGGCGGATACAACGTAATTGCGAGACAAGCTTTGGTTGGGTGGTCCCAGGATGTTGAGCAGATAAATACCCTCCCCGTTCGCGTCTTCGATGCGTGGATTAAGCTGTTGTGCAAAACGCACTCCAATTACCCGGACCCGGACCCTCATTCGTTCTCCCATAACCATATCCCACTGGCTATCAAAATCACCAAGCTGTACCAACAGGGGAACGCAAGGGCTGCTCACAAGGACAAGCGGCCATGGTACACTATTCTCAGAGCTCTGGCCACCAACAAATACATTGTGAGAGAGGGTGAAGGAACAACACACCCACACTTGCATACGCTCAAGGTGTTCATGAAAGCATATCGGCTGACGGTATTCGCGAAAGGCCTGGATACCACCATCTTCGACCTACTTAGTCTCATGGTACGAAAGTCGACGGTTGCACTGGCATTTGAAACGAGGAAAGCGATGGCTACAGCAACACCAACCGAGCAGTACGGAGATTTGAGAATGGTGCCAGTAATTCGCCTGGCTGCTGAAAAGCTCCATGCCACTTTCAAAGAGATGGTAAGGCCCATTTCGGTCCCATCAAATGGCGACGCATCAGCACGTTTCGAGCTCCCCACGTTACAGTACACGCTGACGGCGCCTCATATTTTCCGGTATATGCAAGCTCTAGGATGTCTGGGCAACGCGCAATTGATGTTGAGCTTGGTAAACTGGGTGCTCGACTCTTGGTCAGACCCTCGCATTCTGGAGAACGCAAGGGAGCCGGGCGAAACCGAGTATAAGGTCCTGATACAGACGTTTGCATACTTTATCGAGATGTGGCCTCATCTGCCAGTCAATGATGCGCTAGAAACCATGCTGGTCAGGACGAGGCAAAAGCTCGAAGCACTCAGGCAAACACAAGGCTGCACTTGGCACCTCCCAGCCAAGAGAACGGACGGAGACCTGAAGGGTACGGATGCCGTCGTTGCTGCGCGTTGGCTCAACACGCAGCGATATACCGATACTTGGCTCAACAAACCATCTCGAATTGTTAGGAGAGTTAGGCAAGGAGCAGGAGCTCCTGGGGATACACAGAACCCTAAGAAAATCGGCATGACTGGATTTGAAGCCGAGAAGATGGATTCAACTGCGGAGGACAAGTGACGATGGGATTACTCCCGACTCTAATTGAGTTATACGGATACACAGTACGCTGGGATCAAGATACTCTAGATAGCAAGCGAGCGAGCAAGGAGCGCTTTGGAATACCCGGTCTGTTAGGTGTCTATTTTGGTATTTAGAGATTTTGGGTCGAATACTTTTAATTCATGCAGCACCTTGAATAGGAACAGATTGGTTATGGTAATGGACTGTGTTTGGAGCTGTTGAGCGTTGATTATGACATGCCGGTCTGAGTTCCGGTCCAAGTTCCGGGCGCACCGGAGCAACAGACCGGAGATATGTGGATCTTTACCGGCCTTTTGTGGGTCTTGTTCGTGCAGTTGGAGGATCCGCAAACGGCAGGGACGCGGGTTCTGTGATTGGGCAATTGATTTCGCTTGGCGCAGTTTGCTCACCACCAACCCTTGCCAACCCTCGACAAAGAATCCACAGTCGCGGGACGCGTTCCTCTCGAGGAAGGAAGTCCCGTTCGCTGCACATCCCAGTCGAACGAGGTCCGCAACAGGAAGGAAGAGAGGAATTCGGTGGACAAGGGACTGAGAAAAAAAGAGAATCCATTCAAGTTCGTTGCAGTGTTGTTTTCTGTTGGTTTGCTCCTCCTTCCACCGCGGTCACCTCAACTTGTGCACCCGCTTTCACGCCCACGCGACAGCCAAAATATCAGAATATCTGAGAGCGCTTGATACGACTCTCTTTTTACGTATCGCAATACAACATTAACTTGCACATATCCGGACTACAAACGATACGAATAAAATCTTTTCAAAAAGATTTCTTTTTTTGTTACTTTATTTTGTATTCTTTTACAATCCGGCTTTGCTCATACACCATTTCTGGCCTTTCATCAATAAACGGGGATTGCTAGAATTTATTACGATTTTCTCACCTTATCATCACCAACTCACCTCTCTTGAACATGAAATAATTCGAAAAATTCAATATCGCAACAAGTTACCAAATGTTTTAGCCAAGACATACCTGAATACCTTCTCTCCAGCCGGCCGCCTTCATTCTTGTTATAGGTCCACCCTTGACCGGCTTCGGAGTACGCCTACTCATAAAGTAGAACTAAGCGCCAGATCGTCATCAGCCAAGCCATGGATTCGCCAGATCGCAGCCACGGGGGCATGTTTATCGACGTGCCCGCCGACGCCATGGGCTCTCAAGAAGACTATTTGGACATGTTCGCGTCCGTTCTCAGCCAGGGTTTGGTCAATGAGGGCGACTACGTTCAACCACTCCCAGCAGCCGAGGAGGAGTGCCCCGAGCCCATAGCGGCGACGACCATCACACCAAGTCTTGACGACCCTCAACTTCAACTCGAGCTAGAGCTCCAGCAGCAACTCCAAGCCGAATCCGGTCTGAATAGCGTTGAACCTGCGCCTGAGTCCGAAGACGAGGCGGATCTCCCTGATGGATTTTCAGACGAGGGCCTAGATGACGACTTCGTGGTCCAGCGCAGTAAGCACATTACTGTTGACTTAGCAGTATCGACTCTGATAAACCCAAGGTCGACATTCCAAAGACTCGATGAAAACGATAATCCCATACCGTTCTCCCCGCAGCCGACTACTGAGCGCGTAGCTGTTGAAGATCTCTTGAGAGCTGCGAAAGCAGCTGGCAAGACCAAAGAGGATTATATCGAATTCGAGCTACACGACTTCAACTTCTACGTAAACTATGCTTACCACCCTCAAGAAATGCGGCCAATTCAGCTTATAGCGACCAAGGTACTGCACGACAAGTATTACTTTGACGGAGTGCTGAAATTCGGCAACACCAAGCACTACGTCACCGGCATGCAAGTGCTTGAGCTGCCTGTTGGCAACTACGGTGCGTCTCTGCACACCGTCAAGGGCCAGATCTGGGTTCGATCCAAGCACAACGCCAAGAAAGAAATCTACTACCTACTCAAGAAGCCCGCGCTGGAATACCAGAGGTTTTACCAACCGTTTCTTTGGATTGCCGACCTCGGAAAGCATGTCGTTGACTATTGCACCCGCATGGTGGAAAGGAAGCGCGAGGTTACGCTGGGCTGCTTCAAGAGCGACTTCATCCAGTGGGCTTCCAAGGCCCACGGGAAGTCAAAGGCATTCCAGAAGTGGCGGGCGCAACACCCCAGCGACGATTTCCGGACTTCTGTCGCCGCCAATATAGGTTACATTTGGAAGGAAATCAATGGCGTGGCAGGCGCTAAGAGAGCAGCGGGGGACCGACTCTTCCGGGAACTTATAGCCGTTAAGCCCGGTCAGTATTTCAGACAAGAGGTTCCTCCAGGGCCGGTTGTCACCGAAGGCGATCGAACTGTTGCGGCTACCATCGTCACTCCGTATATAAAGGAGTGCTTTGGTCACATGATTCTTGGAAAGGTGTTACGGTTGGCAGGGGAGGACGCGGAGAAAGAGAAGGAGGTAAAGCTCGCAAAGCGTGTCAAGAAAGAAACCAAGGATGACACCAAGGGCGATACCAAGGATGAAAACGCGACAGAGAGTCTGCCGACACCACTTCAGCCCTTGCCAGTGCAGCAAGTGTCAGAGGTAATGCCTATCGACTCGGATGTCGTATCCATCGTATCCTCGGACGTTCTTCCGCCAGAAAACAATTTACCGCCTTCAACGAAGGAGAACGTCAAGCCTAAAGCGCAACCAAAACCAAAACCAAAAACCGAACAACTCCACCCGGCCTATATCAAATACTTGGCTCAGGACCTTGTCGACCAAATCAAGATCGGAGATGTCATCTCAACCCCCCGAGATGATAGCTCCAACACAGACACCAAATGGAAACCCGCCGACACGGACGACCACAGGTGGTTTGGTCTCGTTCAGAAAGTCCATACTGCCAAGACAAAAAGTGGCCGTGGCCTTGGCCCAAAGAGTTTCGATGTCATTTGGTTTTACCGACCAGAAGACACACCGTGCTGTGCCATGAAGTACAAGTGGCGCAACGAACTCTTCCTTTCCAACCATTGCACGTGTCAGGAAGGGCATTATGCCCGTGTCAAGGGAAATGAGGTGCTTGCCGTTCATCCGGTGGACTGGTTCGGTAGTCCAGAAAGTGGCAAGGACGAGTTTTTTGTCAGACAGTTGTACGAGAGTGAACAACGTCGGTGGGTAACACTACAGGAGGCACACTTGACTTGTTATCATAACCAGCCGCCAAAACCGCCGACACCCCCTTATAAGCCTGGCGATACTGTCCTTGCGACTTTGTCTCCTTCTGACAAGTTCTCGGAACCATATGAAGTCGTGGACTTCTTTACGCAAGGAGAGAAAGATACACCGTTCGTGCGACTAAGAAAGCTGTTGCGCCGACGAAAGGTTGATCGTCAGGATGCTCCACCCAACGAGCTGGTCTATACCGAAGATTTGGTCGAGGTTCGGACCGAGAGAATCGTAGGCAAGTGTCTTGTGAGATTCTTTCGCCCGGACGAGCGAATCCCAAGTCCCTACGATAGAGGAGGAACGGGGAACATATTTTTCATTACGCATAGGCAAGATGATGGGAAATGCGTTCCTCTCAAGACATTCCCAAGCACTTTACGCCAAGGATTCAACCCCTTTGGGAACCCTGGCAAGCCCAAGTTGAAGGGTCTGGATCTATACTGCGGCGGTGGTAACTTTGGACGAGGCATAGAAGAGGGTGGTGTTGTTGAGATGTGCTGGGCCAACGATATTTGGGATAAGGCCATCCATACCTACATGGCCAATACCCCGGATCCGGACAAGACTCGCCCTTTTCTTGGCTCTGTGGACGACCTTCTCCGTCTTGCCCTGGAGGTATGTTCCCTTCTCGTTCTGAAAGAGTTTGGCTAATATAGACAATTTTAACTAACATCTATTATAGGGTAAAATTTCCGACAATGTGCCGCGGCCTGGTGAAGTCGACTTCATTGCCGCCGGTAGCCCGTGCCCCGGGTTCTCGCTTCTCACTCAGGACAAGAAAGTTCTCAACCAAGTCAAGAACCAATCCCTGGTGGCCTCGTTCGCGTCCTTCGTCGACTTCTATCGACCAAAGTACGGTGTCCTAGAGAACGTCTCGGGCATCGTGCAAACGTTTGTGAATCGGAAGCAGGACGTCCTTTCACAACTGTTTTGTGCCCTCGTCGGTATGGGCTACCAAGCCCAGCTTATCCTCGGAGACGCCTGGGCACACGGCGCCCCTCAAAGTCGTGAACGCGTGTTCTTGTACTTTGCTGCGCCCGGTCTTCCTCTTCCAGACCCACCTCTACCGTCTCACTCCCACTACCGCGACAAAAACCGGAACATTGGGTTTCTCTGCAACGGCGAATCGTACGTCCAAAGAATCTTCGTCCCCACAGCCTTCAAATTCGTCAGCGCCGGCGAAAGCACCGCCGACCTTCCCAAGGTCGGGGACGCCAAGCCGGAGGCATGCACCCCTTTCCCCGACCATCGTCCTGCGGCCGGAATCACGCCCTACTGCCGCGCCCAGTACGCCTGCATCCCTACCCACCCGTACGGCATGAGCTTCATCAAGGCGTGGAACAAAGGAAACGGCGTCATGAGCAAGGGAGACAGGGACCTGTTCCCCAGCGAAGGCACGACCCGCACGAGCGATGCTTCGGTGGGTTGGCGGAGGCTTAATCCCAAGACGTTGTTCCCTACTGTTACTACTTCCTGCAATCCCAGCGATGCGCGCATGGGACCAGGATTGCATTGGGATGAAGACCGGCCGTATACGGTCCAGGAGATGCGTCGGGCGCAAGGGTACCTGGATGAGGAAGTCCTGGTGGGACGGACGGCAGACCAGTGGAAGCTGGTGGGGAATAGTGTTTCTAGGCATATGGCGTTGGCTATTGGGCTGAAGTTCCGGGAGGCATGGTTGGGGACGCTGTATGATGAAAGCGCTGGTACTGCTACCGCTACTGCTACCGCTGCTGCTGCTGTTGGTATCACGGTACCGGTTATGGAAGAGGCGAGGATTGGTACGACTGACTCTACGAGGCCGTCGAGGTCGCCTGTTCCTACTGCTGTTGACCTCGACGACTCGAAGAGCGAGAGATCGAGGAGTACTACGCCGGCGACGGTGATTTCTGTCTCATCGGGTGCAGCAGGGTCAGATGATGACAACGATATCGAGATGACTGTGGTGACGAGGAAGAGAAGGTCACCTCTCGTTGAGGAGGGAATGCGACCTAGTAAGGTGCAGAAGGTGGATGAAGTGAAAAGGGCATCTAGGAGGAGTTCAACCAGGCAGTCATCTAGGCAGGCATCCCGACAAGCATCCAGGAACCCGACTACCGCGCCAGTAACCAGCAACAGCAACAGCAACAACAAGGCCACGACCTACGAAGCCGCGCCAGAGGAGCCCGTATCAGATGCCGAGTCCTACCCTGAAAACTACGACCCGGAGGGTTTCGATGGTGATTACCACGGCGGCGGTCATCACGATGAAGAAAATAAGGAGGACGAGGAAGAGGAGGAAGCAGAATACGCAGAACCAGAAACGATCACGGTCAACGGCATGACGATTGTCAAGTTGTAGTGCGACGAGGTAGCGTCATACCCGGGATCGTGGGAGTCGTGGGTGGTTTGATTGTTGTTCCGTGGTTTGTTGTTTGGAGGACGCATCGACGAGTGCGGACAGGGGAACATGGATTGAGTATGGGTGTCTTGAAAGTAGCATGTGGATTGGAGTTCTAAAAAGTTCAATTTGATTTGCATACTGTCACAGCATTATCTGAGTAGGTAGAGGTAAAAGTCCGAGTCGTTGCTCGCGGGAGTGTTTATTCGTCCAGAAATTATTTGCATGGTGGGCATTGATGTTACATGGAAGGGTGTTCTGGAAGATGCGATTGATACAGGCGCTGCTAGATGGCAAGTGTTGGGAGTGTTGTGGAACGGACCACATGCCAGAAATAAGCATGGCTTGTTGGATAGAAATCATCATCATCATCGTAGCTCACTTTCAAAGAAAAAGTTTAGGAGAGAAAAGGCGATCTACGCATCGCTGTTCATCTCATTCGAGGCCGGCTGCTGGACTGGGCCACTGTTGTATATAGCCATGGCCTAGCATATGCGCCGACGGAAATCATCACCTGGAAATGTGATTTCCAAAATCCTTCAAATCTTCCTCAACAAGCGCGCTGCAAGAGCGGGTGTCCGTTCGTTGTGCGAGGTGAGCGGCAAGCAAGCTCGCGGCAAGCAAAGCAAAGCAAAGCAAAGCAAGGTGCTGAGTACCTACTGACGTTACATCCGCATCCGCCCACCACCAAGAACAAAACCAATGCAGGGGTTCATTCAGTCCACAGAAAAAGAGCCTCAGGAACACCCCCGTCAGCCGAGAATGATTGGCCCTGAATCGCGGGCGGCTGTGACCCGTTTTGGCGTTTCCAAGTTGGCCAACCAATGAGGTTCGTGAACCGAGAAAGGTTGCTTGTTTTGGGAAACAAAGGGGGGGAGACAAGGGGACGTCACTGGGGGAAGTGACTGGAGGTTAAACGGACGACGGCTAACCACCACCAGTCGCTCGCTGATCCCTCGGTTGGTTCAGTTGGTTCCCTTTCGGCGGGCGCTTCATGGCCAAGCGTTCTTTGTCAACTCGATACAACACCATATGCGCTGAGACCTGACTGACTGACCGAAGCGAGCGAACGAGGGTGTCTTTGTTAGCAGGGCGGGCATGACTGCCCAGTATCTCCCCACGTCGAACTTGCGCCCTGGATCGATATGCCGAGTGGACATTTACATACTGGGACCGAAGACGACGACTCATCGAGGAGTCTAGGCATTTTCTTCCAGGCATGCGGTACTAGGTACACTGCACTACACTTTCCCCATGTCCATGGCATGCCGGCTTCCGCCCTCTTTTTCTCATTTACTCACGATGCTTGGCTGGCCTCGAAAGTTGGCCGCCGGCCATCCAGTGATTTCACGATGCTGCGCAGCGTCTGTTACCATACACCCTTGGCTATTTCTCGGGGCAACCCGATCCATCCAAAGAGACAAGTGGACTCAAAGCTTGAAGAGAATCTCATAGGGCGGCGGCTTTCTCGAAAGAGGAATGGTGCGTCGGGTTTCGTGACGCGACATTACCTGTCATCGCACCTTGCATCGACGGAGGACCATGTGGTTTTCTGGAGCTAGCTAGCTAGTAGCTAGTCCTGACTACGCTACCCAACGAACGAGTTGGGCTTACCGTCTCACGATATCTTCTCTGGTCTGGATTTCTCTCTCCTCGTCCTCCTCTTCCTTCTTCCCCTCCCCATCTTCTCTTTGGTTTACTATTCTGCTTCATCGTCATCTTTTCTGTCTTTCCTTGACTTGTCATTACTCATCGATCACCAGCGTTCTCTTCTTCTATACAAGCGTTTACTTCCTTTATCTGTACCTCTTGTTTGGGATTTTAACGGCTTTCTACACACATCTCAAATTATATCCTCTGAAGAGTAACACAAAGAAAGCAGTCGATCTTCTTTCTTCAAGTTACCGCTTCCACGAGATCATCTCTCCCTCACCCGCAACGCCTTCAGGAACAACCGAAACGAGGATCCTTGGTCATACCCGACTGGTCGGTCGATCAACCCGAATTCTCGATTCTCATACTTGCCTACCACCTGGATTTCCTTCCTTTCCTTTCCTTCTTCTTGGCTAAGATACCTTATACAACAATTTACTCAACGGAATAGTCAGGATCTTGGATACTTTTTCTTTTTTTTTTCCTTTTTTCCTTTTCGTGGTTTCTCCTGGTCTCAGACCATAGGTTACACCTATTTCCGCATACCCAACTCGGGCATCACAACAACAACAACCACGAGCAATGCGACCTACCACAACAATAAAGTTGGGTGCTCTCGTCGCCGGTCTCTTGGCAACTACTGCTGAGGCTGGTCCTCTCAGGAGTCGTCCAGTACAGAGTCAGGCGTCGTTGCAGAAGAGACACGATGGGGATGATCATTCAACAATAGGAGAGGGCGGTGATGGATCAACAACGATTGTGGTGTCTTACACGATACCAGGGTTCATTGGGGTCACGACGGACTTCCCGAGTGACTACTTTGGGAAGTCTTCGACGTCGACGGGCGCTGGGGTGGCTAGCAGCAGTGGTGCGGTCGTGCCCGGGGGAGTGTTTGTGACGGCGTCTGGATCCGCAGCAGCGTCATCGAGTTCTGCGGTTGCCTCATCGTCAGCGGCTTTGCCAGCAACATCTTCTTCTTCGAACACCCAGCAACAACAACAACAACAACAACAACAACAACAACAACAACAACAACAACAACAACAACAACAACAACAACAACAACAACAACAACAACAACAACAACAACAACAACAACAACAACAACAACAACAACAACAACAACAACAACAACAACAACAACAACAAAAAACCGGATCCGCCGTCATCAGCAACATCCTCAACAACCTCCCCACCGCCGTCACCGGCGCCCTTCCCTCCGCCACGACCACCGTCTCCCCCGAGATCTACGCCAAGAACCTCGCCGACGCCCGCCGCTACAACGAGCAGTTCTCCAGCCTCACCAAGGACACCACCTGCATCTCCGGCCAGGCCGCTTGCGTGGGGGGTGGCCGTGCCTACTGCAACGCCCAGGGCAAGTTCAACGTTGCTCAGTGCGGCAGTGGCAAGAAGTGCTTCGTCATGCCCATGACCACCGTCCAAGGCGTGGTAATTGATTGCTACGAGCCGGATGAGGCGGCAAAGGTTTTGGCGCCTATTGCGGCTCCCATTGGAGGAGGAGTAGGAGCGGTTGGTAGCAGCAGTGCTGGTGCTGGCTCGGAGGTGGTTATTACAAGTACGGTGAAGGTTACACAGAGTTTCGGCACGGTGACCATGACGGTGCCTCCCCCCTCTGGATCCTCTGGATCTGGGGGAGCGGTTGGTAGCAGCAGTTCTGGCCTGGATGTGACCGTTACGGATACCACCAAGGTCACTCAGAGCGTCGGTCCGGTGACGGTGACTGTTACTGTTGTTGGTCCTCCTCCTGGAGTAGCTTCATCATCGAGCGCGGTTGCTGTCACTACTTCAGCTGCAGCCTCGTCGGTCATTGCCTCAGTGCCGCCTACGACAAGCTCTATGACTGCTTCTTCATCGAGTGTCATCGCAGTTCAGCCTCCCGTTTCTTCTTCCGCTTCGGTCTCCTCATCCTCCTCGGCGAGCTTGCCTCCTACAACTACTACTGATAGCAAGACATTCATCACGGTGACTGCTATTGTTACGGACGGCGGGAGCACTTACCCGATTACCTTCACCGTGGATCCTAGCTCGCTGCCTGTGTCTTCTTCGGCATCCTCTTCTTCCTCTTTGTCTTCCGCCAGCAACATCGAGCCTACCTTGAGCCTCAGCTCCGTCATAAGCATGCCTCTAGTCGTCTCGAGCAGCATCCTTTCGTCGACCACCAGCGTCGCTCCGACCATCAGCAGCAGTAAGCTACCCCCTTCTACCACCATTGTGACCGTGGAGACCACCCTTCTCCTCTCTACCACTATTAGCATTTCCCCCTATTAGCATTTCCCCTTCCATCACCACCAGCAACCCTCCTCCCCTTCCTACAACCTCCACGATCACCTTAACCACCTCAAAACCCTTGTCCACCATACTACCCTCAACAACACTCTCATTTCACAACGTTCCTAACCAAAGGATTTCTACCTTTTCAGGCTCTTCAGTCTCAGTCTCAGTCCCATCTTCAGCTCCTGCTCCAGTTACCACCAGCAGCGTTACCACAACCAGCGCTCCGATCATCACAAGCAGCGCCGAAAGCAGCGCCGCTTCTAGCACCACCAGCGACGACGATCCCCTCGTAATCATCCCCGTCACCGGCACCGTGACGGACTTGGTATCTTATGAACGTTTTGCTCAGCCTACGGAGATTGCCAATGTCAACAATGTCAAGCTCGTTCCTGGTCCTCCTGCTGTTGCTGCTGCTGAGGTCACTTCTGCCCCTGCTGCCGCTTCTGCTGCTGTCGACAGCAAACAAGCATCAGAAGCACAATACTGGGCGACAGTCGACCGCCTCTTCAAACCCCCTCAATACTCCTCCGGCAACGGGTTAAATGGGAATGAGAACCATGTCAAGTTAGCAGCTGCTGGTTCGGAGAGTGCAGTCACGGTCTCGGTGTCGGTTACTGTTACTGAAACGGCTACAGCTACGGCTACACAGACACAGCAGATGTTCCAAACGGTCACTGCTACCATTAAGGGGGAGGCGGTTAAGGAGACGACTACGACTACGGTTAAGGAGACGGTTACCGAGACTAAAAGAGAGACGGTCAGAGTGACGGATACGTTGATTCATAATGAGACTGCCACCGTTACGGAGACGCAGACCGTGACGGTGGCTGGGCCGGCGGTTGCTACCGCTGCGTAGCTGCGTAAAGGGACAAAATGGGGGGAAAAAAAAAGGGCAAGGGGGAGGAGCTTTGCTGAAGAACTGTCAAGAACATTTGGTGGGGCTGCAAAAGGGCCGGCCCACGGAATTATTAATCTCATTTATAGTTTGTTTGTGTTTGAAGAAAGAAATTTTCTTTTTGTAAATACCTATGATTAGCGACGGGATTCTGGGAGGCCAGACAGAGGAAAGGTTTGATACCATTGGGACTGGGGAGGAAATAGTCTTTTTATAGCATATTTGAAATTTTGTTGTTCTACATTTTATCAGCCGGCTGGCTAGCATATATCAGAAAGGCATCCTGACTTTATCGAATAATTGCACCTACCGACTGCTGTGAATTGATACGTGATACATTCCCACCTAAGTATACTTGCCGCTCGTATAAGAAATGGATAACGACAAGTCGTCCTGTTCTACTATCAATAATAGCTCCATGTCCTTCACGTTGAATGGCGCCAAAAAAAAAGATAAGACGCAATATCACAGTTCATCTCTTCATTACCTCCCTCCCGATACCGTTCGTTATGCTTAACATCTCACAGCACTACCTCCTCCTCCTAAACCGGCTGTTATGAGCCGGCCCACCCTTTGCCCCGTTATTCTTCAGCTTCAACCTCTTGAAGTTCGCATTTGCCGTAGCCTTGACCATACGCGGCTTCTTGACCGGTTCTTCATCACCATCCTCTTTCCCTCCGTTCTTCTTGTTCTTCGTCTTCTTCGTAGTCACATCCTTCTTTTTCTTTTCCTTGGGCTTTGCTGGCACCTTCTTCTTTGCAGCCTTTGCAGTCTTTGTCGTGCTCGCCTCTGCTTCCTCATCTTCACCTTCACCTTCACCTTCTGACCCATCATCATCATCATCAAACTCCGACCCTGATCCTCTAGACAACAACGGATCCAGATTGTGACTATCATCTCCAGCCGCATTATTCTTGGTCGCATCGAATTGTGTCTCCGGTATCACGTCGTCGCCATCTTCTTCTTCTTCTTCTTCTTCCTCACTGTCGTCATCCTCTTCCTCGGCAACCGGTGCACTAGGTCGTTTCGTCCTTGTCGGTCGCATGTTGACCTTCCTGGTCGTCCTCTTCTGTCCCTTCTTCTTGAACACCCTTAACGGCTGTCCATTGCGATCTAGTCCCTCCTTACTCAAGTCGCCGTCATCTTGGCTGTCGTAGACATTCTCATCGTCGAAACCGCTTAGTAGGACCGGTCGCTGCCTCTCCTTCTTCCTCTTCGATGATGGTGATTCAAGGAAGCTAGCTTCGACCTCGATCAGAGCTGCCTCGTCCTCTTCGAAATCGTTTGCCTCTTCTTCTGCTGCTCCTCCTTCTGTCCCCGCAGGACGTGCTTTCTGATTATCTGTGTCTTCCCTTGGGGGCGCAACCGTCTTCTTTGGCGGAGGAGGACCCATTTCGCCTTGTTCCATTGCTTCCATTTCCCTCAACATATCCAGCTCCTCGTCCAGCTTTTCTTCCTCCATCTTCCGTAGGCTGGCTACCACGCGGCTCAGCCCCCTGCCTTTTGCTATGCTGAACGGTTTTCGTGGTAGCTTCAAGGGCTCGATGTCCAGCCACTCGCCGTTTTCGTCCACAGGTGGTAACGGCGCAGATATACGACGTAAGAAAGCGGGTGTGGCGAACTGTAGCTTAGACACAGACCGCTCCCCGGACGGTGTCTTGTTGAGGTAGCTTTTCGAGGGTGAGTTCCCATTGTTTTTGTTTAGTGGTGTGGATGTGTTGGTGGCACGGACTCCGAGGAAGCTATCGAGGAGGTTGCGATTGCGCCCAGAGGACGGGGTTCTGTCGAGATTACGATGTCGCGGGATGCTGGGGGTTATGAATTCCTTGTCGTCCTTCTCATCATCATCCTTATCGTTCTCGAGGTCTAGGGCATGGCGGCGTTTACTTGGCGTAGCCGTAAATCCGGGCGCTCTTGGTTTGGAGTCATCTGTTGACTTGGAGGAGGTATGGGATATAAGGTCGAAGAGACCGAGAACACGGCCATCTTTTTGGGGCGTAGGGCCAATCGAGGATGGGACGGCAGGGCTGAAGAGTTTCCGTGCTACCTCTGGGGTGATGGCTTCATCGACGGCAATATAGTGTTGTGATTTGGGAGTAGCGGCAGATTTGTTTCGTTTGGAGGGAGTCGAGGCGGATGGGAGGAATGTCTCTGCTTGCTTGCGCTTGCGTTGGCTCGGGTCTTGGTTGTCGCTTTTGGGAGGAGGGATCTTTCCGGAGAGTATGTCGCGGAGTTTGTTGTACTGCTTGTATTTCTGGGCTGTTTGGGATCATCTGTTAGAAAAGTCAAAGAAGATCAGTCTGGATGGCATACCAATATCCGGATTCTGTTTGATGGCTTCACGGGACGGCTTCTTGCCGTCGTGGTTCTGTGCCCATTCTCCCTCGAATTGCTTCAGTTCTGCGCGCAACTGTAGACTTTGGCTCTCATATTCGGATTTTAGCTGTTCGTCCATTATGGCGCTACTCTTGATTTTGAAGAAAAGAGCAATTCGAGGCGCTTGATAGAAAACGCTCTGTCTTCTCCAAAGTTGAAAAGTCGAGAACAACTGAAAGCGGAAATCAATTAAAGATACAGACAAGGCGCGTCTCAGTGAATGGGAGGACGCGATCTTTCCCTTAGTTGATGTTTCGCTCTTACGTTACCGTACGTTACACCCCACCCAAGCACCACATACAGTGGGGCATCCGTTCATCAGAACCCACTGACGGCAGGGGCTTCCGCGCCCAAGATGCGCTAAAATGTCGAGCGTGTGGCAGCTGCACTGTATTACATCAGCACTTACTGCACCAAAACATCTGACGGCACTGACAGCTTTTGTCCAACAACGTAGTCCACGATAAAACCATCCACTCTTGGAGCCCATATGGAAGCAACCGACGAGGCTCTCGACATTCAGGCCCAAGTTCTGCAAACAACCCTCCAGGAGATCACAGCAACGCGACGGGCGAGTGCCGCCAACGAGAAAGATGGCGACGGCGGGAACGACGAGGTAGCCGAGGCAGACGACTGCTGTGTCATCTGCCTTGATTCCATATCAGAACCTTGCACTGCTATGCCATGCGGGCATTCCCATTTTGACTTTGTATGTCTTGTGAGCTGGTATGTCTTTCAATCTCGAGTTGCAATATGCTTCGCTGGGCTAACAAAGGGACATACATAGGCTTCAAGAACATCCAAACTGCCCACTATGCAAGGCAGCCATCTACAAGGTCCGATACGTCGACTCGACCTCGAACGAGAGCTTCTACCGAGTACCTAACGCCCCGAGGCCACGCGATAAGGATGAGAACAGAGGAAATGGGAACCAGTCGGGCAACCCGGCACTATCAAACCTCCTTCGGCAGCGACGTAACGACCAGCGCCGACGACGAGATCGCGACGCGAATACTCATAGCACGCCCACCCCAGGCGAAGCTATAGAACGCCGCAGACACATATACAGGCACCAGCTATATTCCTTACGTACGTTGTTTCATCGAACAATGATGCTTGGTCAGAGACTAATGTTTGTAGACGTCGGCTCAAACCGCATTTCTGGTTACAAACCAACCCCAACGCCTGAACAGTTCGCCACTACACCACACCTAATAACTCGTGCTCGTCTCTGGATACGACGCGAGCTACAAGTTTTTGCCTTTCTCTCCGACCCCGAGCCAGCTGCTGGCCTCAGTGGCAGTACAAGCAGCGCCTCCGAACGCGAACTGACCCGCCGTCGAAACAATGCCGAATTCCTCCTCGAGTACATTATTGCCATACTCAAAACGGTCGACATACAGGGCAGCGCCGGCCAGGCAGAAGATATGCTGGCTGATTTCCTAGGACGGGACCATGCACGCTTGTTTCTGCATGAACTGAGGAGCTGGCTGAGAAGTCCGGCGCATTCGCTCGTAGCGTGGGATAAGGAAGTTAAATACCCTGAAATTTCAAGCACAGGGGAAACCAGCAGAAAACGGAAGGCGCAAGAGTCTTTAGACGTGGAGGGTGAAGGGGAAGATGACACTAGGCGGCATGCATCTGGATCCGAGAGGAGGAGTCAGACCCCAAGATGGCCAGAACGCGATATTCACCATCGGCAAACCGGCCATGATAGGATATGGAGGCGCAGAGACTTTGACAGGAGTCCCAGACGGGATGGACACTCAGAAAGTGACCGCCAAGGGCCAGGCTGACCTCCAGTGTCAAGCTATGAAGTGAAATATCGGGCCGTGCCTCTCCCTTCGACGCGAAAAGATGAAGAGTGAAGCTTATGGTAGCAGAGATAAGCCGTCGATACGGATAACGGATGCGAGCATCTACGGCCGCGTTCCAGAGCCTGAGTGCCGATTGAGGAGATGCCGAGTACCGGCCACTTGGGTCTGAGGTTACCTGGAACCACATGTGCCGTAATGGGAGGCTTTAAAGCAACCGTTGCAAAGCGATCCCAGGCGCCCGTGTTCAATCAAGGCTCTCGGATATACCGACGGTTTGGATATGCTTCAAGTCATTCCACGTACTACGCCTCTCCACAGCATCGATCATATTTATCCCATAGGGCTGGACTTTTGTTATCGAAAGACCGCGGTCAGAAAGATCCCGAAGGCCATGGTTGTGAGTAAGCGACCAACATGTGGCGGCGTTACATGCATGGTGATATATGAGAATGGTGTGAAACGGCATTCCGGTGGGCCAGCAGTCTTAAGTTTGCCGCAATGCCGAAGCTTTTCAATCAGAGATAACAATGACTGACCTCGAACCTGACTGAGAATTTCATAAGGGTTGGGTTAATAAGGTCATAATGTTTAGAGCATGCGGCCACCTACCGGAATCTTCTCGTGGTGCTGCCTGGGCGTTCGAGATATCGACTGGTGAGAAGTGATGGAGACTGTGACATCTCCCCGAGAAGTGAGAATAGTTCGGCCATGGCGACCTGGGCATCCCGCCTTTTCACGCCCAAGACACAAAATCTCCAAGTATCACCCGGTGTGTTTTCGGCTCGAGTGTACCTTCACAGCCGGTCACACCGTCTTGATGCACCTCATGTCCAGTCTGCGTCGTTTAATACATCAGCTCCTCCCGAAGTGGAAGGCATCAGGACTCCCCGAACCCCCATCATGCCAGTCTCCCCATGTTTTCACCAACCAGAGCCGCAGCCTCCGGAAGGTTGAGTGTAACGGACCGGAACAGAGACTAAGGCAAGTCATCGGACAATTATTGCCGAGCCCAGAATCTGTAGACCCGTTACGATGATTGGGGAATTGTCAAGATGGCCGTCAGCACACTGTTGCATTGCAGAGTGATGTCTCGTTTCTGGGCCATGGTCTGGCCAATTGAACACTAACAAATTTGTAAGAGAAATACTGCGGCACTCGTTAGTGAAGCACACCACTTTTACAATTCCCAGCCTTCAACCCAAGACAAATCTATGTATTTTATGCATCTCGCTATCTTGTCCCCATACGGCCACTTCCATCCATCCATCCATCCCGTCCATCCATCCCAGACCATCTTGTGTCTTTCGGCTGGAACGCCGACGGCAATTTTCATTTGGTGCTCCAATAGAGCCAGCCAGACCTCGCTTGTCAAAAGCCTCCCTCAATATGGGACCGTAACGCCCTTCCTTCATTCATCCACAACACCAAAAAAGCGAAAAGCAAGCAATGATCTGCTTCCCGTCCCGAGGTCCAGGGTCCTTTTAACCTTCACTTTTTGGGAAACTGGTGATGCAAAAACGACAACGGCTACGACGACAACAACACCGGGGAAGTCAACGGCTCCCCTTCCCGGATTTGGGAATAGCGCCATAAACTAAAAAAATATGCGCCCGTTACGGCTCCTGGGAGAGAAACTTGAGACCTTCTGAGATTGAGGTGCTCCACCTCACCTCACCTCCCCCATTGCGGTCAATCAGGAAAATCGAACGTCCATTCAATACACTCACCAAGTGCTAGGGATCCTCCGTCATATTTTACTTGGCAGACTATTCATTATCATTTCGCCGATTCTCGTGTAGCTATTGGAAGTCGCTCGGTCTGGCTTCACGAGCGGCTCATACACAACTTGTGCTCGGGTGCGATTACGATTTGGACTGCGACTGCGACGCTTCGGCGCTTTCGCTCTTCTAGGGGTGTGCGTGCACGCAGGCAAGTCGGTGGCTCGTCCGGTTGAAAAGGAAAAAGTCGAAAGAATCAAAAGGAAACATGATTCCCGCCCGAACCGTTGCCGCGCCTTTCTCCGCCTCCGCCTCCGTCTCCGTCTCCGTTACCACCGTTATCTTCCGAATTGCCTGGTACCTCTCCCTGGTAGCGCTCTTCTACTCGACATGTGTCGCCTCGGCTAGCATCAATGCCGTCCGCCGCGGTGGCGACGGCAACGGCGACGGGGGCGTCTTCCCGGCCGGCGGTACTCGGAGTCTGAACCTGCCTCTCATCATCAACCACCAAGCAGCACCACCAAAAAAGCGAAGCACCACAGAACACGTCATCCTCTGCGACTGCATCTCGGCCAGCGGGATCCGCTCATCGCAAATGGCCTACTACAGCGCCCAAGTCAGCGGGTTACCGACGGGGGGCGTGGGGACCGTGGACACGGCATTCAACACGACGGCGGGGTGGTACAACGACACGACGTCGGCGACGTGGGCGGACACGGGTGTGACCTTTAAGGCGGTGATTGGGTACCACGTCGCTGAGGACGATTACGTGGGCAAGGGCAATAATGGGTATGGCGAGTTTAGTTGTTGGCAGAGAGCGAAGACGGGGTTTGCGTATGATTTGAATGGGGATGGGAATGTGTGTGAGATGTTGATTGATTGTAATAAGGATGCTGCGCCTTGTAAGTCCCGCCGCGTCGATAAGCCTTCTCGTGTGATAAGTTGAAAGTGAAAAAGTGGGAAAAGAGGGTAGCTAACGAGGAAACTATATAGCCACCAACCCGGCTTACGTCCCCCTGGAATCAACCACCACCACACCAACCGACAACAACGGCCAAGCAGCAGGATCTTCATCCATCAGCACCCCAGCCACTTTTTCTTCTTCTTCTTCTTCCTCCAACCCAGGAGGAAACGCTCAGCAACCAGCAGCAGCAGGCAAGAAAGACAAAGCAATCTCCACAGGAGCAGTAATCGGCATCGCCATAGGCATAGTCGGAGCCTTCACCCTCTTAGCCGGCGGAGCAGGTTTTTTCCTTGTCCGACGGCGTCGAATCAGGAAGCGACAGCGAGAACAAGAGCAACGACAACGAAAGGGAGCGAGGACAGAGTCGACCATGACCGAGGCGTACGCTCCCGGTTCGGATTTTGTGAAGAGCGGCGATCCGAACGCCGTACACGAGCTGGATGGAGGTTGGTACCGCCGACATGAGATGGGCGACGATACGGGCCACTACGAGATCGACGGGCAGGTCAGGTGCGAGATGGACGGGGATGGTGGGGAGATTAAGGAGAAGATGGATGATTTGTTTGCTGAGGCGGATGTGAAGGAGGTGATCATGTTGAATGAGAAGGCGGACTCAAAGAAGGTTATGCTTGATGAAAAGAAGGAGAAGAAGGGGTATGTCGTCGGTGTGAGTGAGAAGGAGAAGGAGGTGAGGAGGGATAAGGAGGAGCGGGAGCGAGAATGGCAACAACAACAACAACAACAGCACCATCAAGAACAGAACCAACAGTTGGAGGAACAGAAGAGAAACAGAGACGCCGAAGAGCTACCACCAGTCTCACCAGCGACAACAACATCATGGACGGAAGAAGTAGGGCAAACACCATTTTGCTTGCCGGCCATGATGCCGGAGCTGGAGAAGTTTATGGCGGAGGAATTCAGAGCACACAAGGAAGAAAAGAAGAAGAAGGATGAAACGAATATAAAATTCCGGCTTGAGGAAGAAACACAGAAGTATATGAAGGTCGAGATACTACCAGCAGGAGAAGGAAGTACTCATATGACCCGACCCCATACCCAAAGCTTCCTGACCCAAGTAGATACGCCAAGACCGACCCCACACTATGAAAAATCTCTTAGCTGACCCTTACCCCTTTAATAAGTCGTATATACAATATACGTTCCCAAAGTTCCCCCGTAGAGAAATAACTTCACTCGCTCGCCTAAAGTTCCTCCGTAGAGAAACAACCTCACTCGCTCGTCCAAAGTTTCCCCGTAGAGAAATAACCTTATTCGCATTTTTGATCCTTAATAAACGAAATTTGCGTACGAGTACGAATACCTCAAGTCCGAACGATCTTAATCCGAATACCTCCGTAATTCATCCCTAATTTATCCTTAATTCATCCTTAATTCATCCCTAATTTATCCCTAATTTATCCTACTCAAATTAAAATAAGTATTAATACTATTACTACCGCCGATACCTTAATTATTATTACTAGGCTCGGCTTAGTTAAATAGAATAATAAAGTATTTAATAAATGTTAATTATATTCGAATTACAATAAGTAGCTAGTATAGCGGCCGAATTTAATAAGTTGGAGGATTTAAAAGATATAACCCCTCCTAATATTTTAATATTTATCAACTTCCTAATAAGTATAGTTAATATATTATTAATATATCCTAAATATATTTCTTATTAATCGATAATATAATAATATTATTTATATAAAAGTTGAAATTATAAACCTAATATTTATTTTATTCGATAGTATTAATTAATATTCTAATTTCGTTTAAACGATATATTATATTATAATTATTTTAAAATACTCTAAATTTTCTATTCTTAGCGTAGCCTACGTCGTAAATATTAAGGATTTAACCGAAGCCTAAATTAAGGCCCCGTAGGACGAAGTATATAAAGTAGAGTAGTCCGAAATAAGTTAGCAATATATGTAAGATTAATCCCTAATTAATTTATAATATTATAAATCTAATATTATATAGTAAAGAAAATATTTATTAAGGATACTTCGTCTAATTACCTAAATAATGCTATACTATTATACTATTTATAAATATATTAATATTAAATGTTATAAATATTTAAACCCGCGAATTTAGTAGGCGTACTAATAAGGATCTACTACTATAATTGATAAAGAGGTTATAAACCTTTTATTTAAAATCCGCTTCTGATAAAATAAAGTCTCTTTAATTAAGCGAGTTATTAAGTACGGATTCATCCTTAATTTATCCCTAAATTATCTTTTATATTGCTTTAACCTAATTAAAAATAATTATTTTCTATTAATACTATTTTAATAATTAGTTAAATATAAGCGACTAAGACGCGTTAGGAGATATAGGGTTATAAAGAATCAAAATCATTATATAAATTCGTTTAATATATAAATAAAGTATATTTCTATTTAAAATATATCCTTAATAATTAGCGTTAAATTTAAAACTTATTTTTATTTAAATAATTACCGGTTATAATTGCTATTGGTTAAAGTATTAGAATTTAAAGCCGGGAGAGAAAATACACTTTTTTTACTAACCTTCCTAATAATCTTAATTAATATTAGTTATATGTTAAATTAATTATTAAAGGGTATTTAAGGGACTTTATACCCAAATTATTATATATTAAAATATATGCTAAAACGAATACTATATTAATAAAAAGGATGCGTTGTACTAAATAGATCTTTGTTTAATATATTTAGGATTTATTAAAAGTTCATTATCGATAAATTAGAAACCGATTATATTTAAGGTTATAATATTATTAAAATTCGAAATTATAATATTACTATTAACTTTTATATTTTAATCGATATTCAAACTATCCTATATATTATTATAATTTCCTATAATCAATATACCTACCTACCCCCCCCCCCCCCCCTCTCTTAATAAAACCCTTAAATAGATTATTATTAATTTAATACGGGTATTAGAGAAGGTAAGAAATTTTAATATAATTTAGAGTAAATAAATCCGGAATATATTGTTAATAAATTAGGGATAAATTAAAAATTAATTTACAATTTAGTAATTTTAATCCGTAACCCCTACTTTATTCAATTCCTTAACGAATATAGTACCAATATTATTAACTAAATCTATACGAATTTTAATAATATTAATAAAGTTCAATTAGTAACTAAAAAGTATTACGCTTTTATTTAGCCTTTAGGAACTTCGAACCTTGAAATTATAATATAAGAATATTGATTAAAATACTAAAATTTAAATACTTGTATAAATTTATATATCCGGGATTTATTAGGAATAAATTATTGATTTTTTAATAGTATATTTAAAAGGTCTTTAACGATAGGATTAATTTTATAATTATTTATTTCTTTAAAGAATAGGTAAAATTCTTTTATAAAGGTTTTGTTAGATCCTTCGAATTGGATATAAATTATAAGTATTTTTCTGGTATAGAGAATAAAGAGGTTATTTAAGGCTTCTACTTAGAATAATTAAAACGATATAAATTATTAATTTATCCCGAATTTATTTCCGATAGATTTCTAATTCTGATATTTATCCCTCTTATCTGAATCCTTACTAATACCGATTTGCCGAAGATATATACCCTTACTTTTAAAATAATATTTAAAATCTTTCAAGTTAATTGTAGATATATAATTAAATAGCGGGAATTATTTGGAGAAGGTCTTTATAGTATTATTATAAATTAAGATTTTAAGATAGTTATAGGTATGTTATTTTATTCTAAAATCCTTTTATAATATATTTTTATTAATTCCTTAATTAATCGATATAGGCTTTTCGGTATATATTTTTGAAATGGATCCCTACTCCTATAAGGCTATATATTTCGTTCGCTATATAATATATTTCTATCATTTTTATTTTAAACGTAGTATTAAAAGGTACGTAAAGAATAATCTTTAATTTTACTAATAAATAGAAGGGTTATTTATATATTTAACCCTTAGTAAATATACGTAATTTTACTACTATTTAAAACGTAAATTGAAAATTATTTATAATTATTTTTGGATCTATTTAGGATAGATCCTAAATAGAGCCCTAATTAATTATTCTATAAGTAAATCGCGGGAAGAAGTTCGGAATTAGGTTTAGAATAAAAGTATCCTAACTATTCGCGCTAAATACAACCACGTTTATTCTAATATAAACTAAGAAATATAAGATATACTTCGATTAAATATTAATACGGTCAAAATATTATATTAGTAATCCTACTATTAGAACGATCGGTTTATATTGCTACTTCCTTATATTTACGCGTAAATTATTAATAAAAGTTCATTACCAATATATTTAAAATTCATTACTAATATATTATAATTAATTTATTAGTAGAAATATAAGATTTAATCGCTATTTTGTAGTATACGAATAACCTTGGACAAAATATAATATTAAATTTGGGTATCAAACCAATTTATTAATAAATTAATGAAATTATAATATAACGAGGGTAAATAGTAAATTAATAATAAATTAATAATATATCCGATATATTAATAGTTAATTTAATATAAATAAACGGAAGAGGGATAGTACGTTTATAACGGAAAAGGTAATTAAGAAGGTACTAATTTTCTTTAATTTAATAACCCCTCCTCGTCCTTTAATTCTTCCTTCTATTTCTACTTTATAAAATATAATAAAATTAATATTTAATAATTCTCCGGTTATATTATTATCCTATGCCTTTAGTAATTATTAACCTCTTAGAAAGGCTATATTTTCTAATATTATTACTTTAAAATTAATTTTAAATATATTTTGGACAAATTCGTAAAACGCCCTTAGAATTTTAATGTATATATTAGACGTTAATTATTCTAAACGTTTACCCCGTAGTTATAAATATCGGCCTAAAGGGTAAGAGAAGTATAGGCCGAGGAAAGAGATAGAGAATTAGTGCGCGCCTTCGAATTCGAAAATACCTGTACGAAGCAAATAAAAATGGAAACTATAAATACTAAAGTATAAAAAGAAATTATTAATATATATAAAGAAACGGCTAACGTAAAAACTATAAATACTAAAGTATAAAAAAAAGCCGCCCAAATATAAATAAAATTATTTAAATTAATAAAGGGGGGTAAATTTTAAAAGTAGAAAGTATTTATCTCAATTATTAATGCGATTTGTATACCCCCCTACAAATAATTTACTTTGGTTAAATAATATACTATATAAAATTATAGGTTTATATAAGAACTTAAAGCAATAATAAATAATACTAATTATACGTTTATAAGGTTACCACCGTAGAACCTTCCTTATACGCAGCTAATCCCGCCCTTATATAATTGGAGATATAGAAAAATATTTATAATAATTAATAAATATAAATAATGAATAAATATAAAAAGAATATGAATATATTTAATAAATTCTTTAAATACCTTATATAAATTTCTAATATAAATATATCATTTTTCTATAAGGCAAATCTAAGCTAGCCTATATAAAACCCTCCCTATATACGGTTAATCCCGCCCTTATATAACCGGGGATATTATAATAATTATAATTAACGAATACTTATTATTCATAATATTATAATAATTAATAAATGTAAAAGATAGATAAATATAAGGAAAATAAAAAGCCTTTATTAAATCCCTAAAACGCCCTACGTAAATTATTAATTATAATATATTCTTTCTCTATAGGGAAATCCAATTTAATTAATATCCTAAAGTATTTACTTTCGAAATAAATTTATATACGTAAGGTATAAAAAGCCCCCCCCCCCCAGTTATTCCTTCCTATTCTTTTTCTTCTTCCTTCTTACAATTCGCGCCTACCCTTTAAATTGCCTATAAAGAAATAATTTATTAGAAATCGCTAATTAATACCCTATCTTACTATATAAGTAGATTTACGATTATAAATTAAATAGGGCTTATATATATAAAGTATAAAACCTTCCCCCGGTCGTTCTTTCTTATCCTTCTTCTTCCTTCTTATAATTCGCGCCTTCCCTTTAAATTCCCCTATAAAAATAATTTATTAGAAATCGTTAATTAATACCTTATCTTACTATATAAGTACATTAATAATTATAGTTAAATAATAAGGTTTCTACGCGGAGAAATAATATAATTATAAGTAATTCTAATTCGGATATCGATCGGAGCGGCTAGGCGGATTAGGTCCGGTCTA